GAGATGGTATTCCCTGGACCAACATGGCTGGCTTGATATTCCCACATGTTGGTCTGTTTGGCTATGACCTTACTCTGGTCATCATTTCTCGAGGAAGACATTCATCATAGCTTAGTCCAAAACCTTGCATCTCCCTAAGGAGCCATGAAGAAAAGAAATCTGACCTTTCTTGGTTGGGATGTAGAAACAAGTTGGTTTCAAGACTAACTTTTCAAGAATGAATCATTAGCAAGACAGTGGTTCAAGTTTGGTTTGGATGATGTCCTGAATGATTAGTGTATACATCCTGGGTTTTGTTTGGGGGTTGTTGTTTTTCTTCATTTAATTAGTTTTTATAAGCACATCACTCACCAAGGTGGATAATAAAACACTTCATTAAAAGGCATTTCATGTTCAAGTGGATGGGATATAGTTATTACCATGCAGGCTCGATTTAGTGCTGTTACTTGCACTGATTGCAACCCAATATTACAAAAGTGCAACCTAGTTATTAGTCAACTTTGCACCTTTTGAGTGGGTAGCTTCAAAATAAAAGATCTAAATAATTCAGTAGCGTATAAAACAGTGCAGCTGGAATTGGGCATGTGCAACTAGGTTTTTATCTTAGGTTGCACCTGGTGCAGAAATGAATTAACATCTCTTAAATCGAGGCCCTGCCATGAGATACGGCTGTTGTTCCCAAAACTGTACACTCCCACATTTGTGGCAGATCTGGGGTGGATGTGAGATCATTGACTCATACTTCCCAAGAAAATAACAAATGACCCTCAATGACTGAAAGATAAGGATTTCGAATTTGAAATGTTTTTATATAATCAATTAAATCGACTGAAATGAAAAGTTATCCTCACCTTTAGGCCAAATGGTAGTAGAAATTGCCTGTGGCAAAGATATTATAATTCTCCTTGCCTGAAAGGTCCTGTAATTTGGATACATTTTCAGGAGTTTCAGTTACACCAGTAAGACCAGTAATACTCTGTAGGCAGTTCCAAATGACATGTCAGATTCTAATACGAATATATTACCACATTGCCCCATGACAGTTGACTTACATTGATACAGATATTGATCAAAAGATTTTTGAGCAGAATTATTTTTTAAAACATGTCTATGAATACTCAATGGAAAGACACAATGGAGTAAAAATACATTGAATGCCCTAGAAGAGCAGCAATACGCCAATTTGTATGTTAAATGTATGATTAAATGCTCAGTGGTACAAAAGTCGAGCCCTGTTTGTACACTTGTTACTTAATAGAGATGTGAAGCTCTGCTGAATGGGCTGGAGAGAGATGCGGACCATGCGTAAAAAGACATTGTGGAGTTTATCCTCTACGTTGCTGACATAGCGTCGCACCAAAGATTGTCAGCATAGACTTGACTTCCGACAACAGTACATAGAAGTGAAGTCCCAACATTTCTATTGCGGGTTTTAGATTTAATTTCCAATGGTGTTGATGTCAGGAATGAGTCTCCTACTGAAACATTGTAGCGTTTTCCTTGATTGCAGAAATTATCAGTGTTATGTTGAAAGAATGCAAAAGAAAACTTTATGGCAGAATGAGATATATATATGTTGAATAGCCTGTATCCATAAATGATGTTATAATGAATATTTTGAAAAATATTTCTCCATTAAAAATCTCCATGATATGTAGTAATGTGTCAGGATAGAAATTTTATAATCTTAGGCAATTTATGACTGAACTGAGGCCATGTGAGTTATTCATTAGATTTTCACCCATAAGCCTTCATTCTTGTCTTGAAGTTAGTTGTAATAATAACAAGGAGATTTTTATCATAGATGAGTACATTCTGATTAGAGATAGTTACTCTTGGTTTGAAGCTCAATTAAGTGAGTCAAAGTTTTTACTTGTAAATGGGTGAAATCTAATAGTAATATTTCAACAAGGACCTCTAGGTCATCTAGAAATAAAATTATCAAATAGCTCAAAGAATAAATCCTGAAGAAATAAATGAATTGCAACCTGGTAATCTACTAGACATGATATGAAAGGTTGGTGATGTTATGTGGAGATGTGTCCGCAGATGTATCGGATCTCTCCTCAAACTGGTTTGTTTCCTAACCCTTCTGAATCCATGGATTTTTGATAGGTGTGTCAATCATATTTGTTTGTGACCCCACTCACTCAATCAGCCAGTCAGAATTCTGACTTTATGATGGATTGTTTCATTCAAACTGGTTTGTTTCCTAACCCTTCTGAATCCATGGATTTTGATAGATTGTGTCAATCATATTTGTTTTGTAACCCCACTCAATCAACCAGTCAGAATTCTGTTGACTTTGTGATGGATTGTTTCATTCAAAACTGGTTTGTTTAGTAACCATTTTCAATCAATGATCCAGTCTAACTTAGTAATGGATTGTGTCAATCAGATTGGTTTGTTTCTGACCCTCCTCAATCAACCAGTCAGATTTCTGACTCAACAATGGATTCCTGTTGGTCCACCCTGACGATGACCTTCATGATGACCTTGCAGTTCAGGAAAGAGATTGAATGGGTAGGTAGGTGTTGTTTCTGCAGTCTCTCCGTTGTTGTTTCTGCCCAGTCTTTCCGCGTTGTTGTGGTTAGAACACAACATATTTTGTTTGCTGAAGTTCTCATCTTCACAGCGTAATGTAACTGTGTGTTGCACTGGATTTGATTATGAGTGTGTGTTCCTTTGTCATTTGTTCTGTATGTACTGGAACTAGTACTCCATCATCACCCAGCACAAATGGCCCTGAATATCATCAATTAAGATTTATATTTGCAGATTGTAATACCAATATCAATAGTATTTCATTCATGCCAAACCTCATTATTACCTTGCATATAATTTTGATGACAATCAAAGAAAACATATGAAAAGAAGTGTCAAGGCACATGAGTCCAACTAGACATTGTACATCTAGTTTAAAGCTGCTTTTAGCAATATTCCAGCAATATCATGGTGAGAACACCAGGAATGGGCTTCACATGTTGTTCCTATGTGGGGAATCGAACTTCGGGTCTCTGGAATGGCATTAATATTGCTCCTGGAATGCTTTACAGGTTCAGTGGGACTACCAGCTGGTGCCTAATCAGTTTACCTAACGCAGCTTCGAATTCAGTTTACTGGGTGAGATAGGGGATCAGATGCAGATAGCCGCAGTATTCCTGTCATGGTTTGATACCCTTTGAGGAACATCACACCATTCCCCATAGAAATCAATACTTTAAACCCACTGATATGCATGGATTCAAATCGTTTCCTGTAGGCTGATGTGTAGTGCATTGTGGACATTTGCTATGCAGGTGCATCATTGTCAGTCCAGAAATTGAAGTTGGTTATGCGGAATAAGATTTGAATAGTTTGGTTAAGATTGTTTGATAGCAATTTCAGCTCTGAATCACAACTTTCCGTAGTTCTTTAGCTGTAGTCGCAGCAGCGCAGTCAGTAGTAGTAGTCTGGTAGAAGCAGTAGTAGTAGTATCTAGCAGTAGCCGTTAGCAGCAGTAGTAGCCATCCGGGTCGGCAATAGTGGTCAAGCAGTAGTAGTAGTAATAAATCGTCTAGAAGTAGTAGTAGTAGTCCAGTAGTAGCAGTAGTCCAAGCAGCAGCTGTAGCCGCAGCAGCAGTAGCAGCAGCAGCAGTAGCAGTCATCTGGGCAGGTAGCAGTATGCATCAGCAGTAGTAGCAGCGGTAGCAGTAGCAGTAGCAGCAGTAGCAGTAGTCAGCAGGGCGTTGGTGTTAGCGGTCAGTAGCAGTAGCAGCTCCAGCAGCAGTTGTAGCAGCGTTAAGTAGTAGTCCAGCAGCAGTAGTAGCAGTAGTAGTCCAGCAGCAGTAGCAGTCTAGCAGTAGCTGTAGCAGCAGTAGTAGTAGTAGCAGCAGCAGCAGTAGCAGTCATCCGGGCTGGTAGCAGTAGCAAAATGAAGCCAGTAGTAAAGTAGCAGTAGCAGCAGTAGCAGTAGCATCAGTAGCAAGCAGTCAGTAGCAGTAGCAGAAGCTTAGCTGAAGTCTAGCAGCAGTAAAGCAGTTGCTGGTAGCAGTGAAGTAGCAGTAGCAGTAGCAGCAGTAGCAGTAGTAGCAGCCAGTGCAGTTGGTAGTAGCAGTCGTAGCAGAAGCAGTAGCAGTAGTCCAGTAGTAGTAGCAGTCCAGCAGCAGTAGTAGCAGTCATCAGGGCTGGTGGTAGTAGTCGAGGTAGTGAAACTAGCAGCAGAAGTAGTAGCAGTAGTCTAGCAGAAAGTAGCAGTAGCAGCAGCAGTAGCAGTAGATGATCTGGGCTATGGTAGTGTAATCGCTTTGCAGTAGTAGTAGTCTAGAAGCAGTAGTTATAGTAGTAGCAGTAGCAGCAGTAGCAGTAGCAGTAGTAGCAGTAGTAGCAGTAGTAGTAGCAGTTGCTGGCCCATTAGTAGCAGTAGCCAGCAGTAGTAGTCTAGTAGTGCAGTAGTAGCAGCAGCTAGTAGTCAGTAGTAGTAGTAGTAGCTAGTAGTAGTAGTAGTAGTTGTAGCAGTAGTAGTCTATTAGTAGTAGTAGTTGTAGCACTAGTAGTCTAGTAGTGGTAGTTAGCAGCAGTAGTAGTAACCACAACAGTAATAATAATGTACTAATACATGTCACCTATTTTACACACAAAGTGCTTCAATAATATCCAGGTCAATGGGTCACTTTGTATTCAGTTCTCAACTCCTTGGGGAGCTGCCTCCAGTGAAACGCTAGAACGTTTACAGACAGTGTCACTGTCCTACTGGGTACCCATTCACTGCTTGGTGAAAAGAGGCATGTTTCAATATGAGAACACTGTGCTACATGTGCTTCAATGTTGAGTAAAATGAAGGGTAGAAATGTGGTTATTTATTCAAGTTTATTTAGTGATTATTTTAAAGTTGTCACTGACTCTCTTTTTGCAGCTCCTACCATCAGCCTGAGTTCACTGTCCACTGATTCATCTGATTCAAGCCATGCTTCCACAGAGTGGCTGACTGATCAGAAGTTTGTCGATAAAGAGGGGCACATTCAAGCAAAGGGTAGGTTGGAAACTATAAGCATTTAATTCAAATTCATTGCATTCATTCATTTCAATCTTGATTTTATAAGTATAAAAATGTCTAAGAATTAGTGGTGGTCCGATTAATTAAAATAATCGAAGATTGGTCGCGAGTGCCTAAACGATCTGGCAATCAATTGTGTTCTCCTCATAGTCGAACACAAACCAATTTTGGAACACTTGTTTGCATCAACAATATTTTATACAAGGTTGGTTTTGTCTGTGTCATTAAATTTACATTTCATAAGCACAACAATCTCGTTCCAAGTCATGATTGAATTTATCTTAAAGAATCCAGGAAATCTGTGTTCCTAACATACTAATCACCCTTTATTTGCAAAATTTGCCAATGGATTTTGTGCTATTTGCAAAAGACCCAAATTACTACATGTTTTTTCTTTTTTTTGTGTGTATGCGTTAACAAAGATAACAGGAACATTTGATAAATGACGCAAACCAATTATTTTAGATGATTGATCGGTTGTAATGAACCAATCATCAATTATGAGATTTTAACCAATTCCCAACACTACTAAGAATTAGTGACATTGTTCAGTTTAATGTGTTAATGTTGATTTTTTAAAAATTGATCATATTCAAATCAAAATTGATTAAGAATACATTTGCTGTATAGTGTGCTGTTTGTTTTCCTTTAAGGTTGATTTTCTGTTGACATCGAAGGAGAGATCTCACCTAAAGAGATCAATGCAGACCTATGAAGTGACGCGGTAAGTGACAAGCGTTTATGACAGGTGTGGTGTGAGGGATGGGTGTTTACTACAGGTGTGGTGTGAGTTACAGGTATTTACTGTTTGTGTGGGTGACAAGTGTTTATGACAGGTGTGGTGTGAGGGATGGGTGTTTACTGCAGGTGTGGTGTGAGTTACAGGTATTTACTGTTGGTGTGGGTGACAAGTTTTTATGGCAGGTGTGGTGTGAGGGGATGGGTGTTTACCACAGGTGTGGTGTGTGAGTTACAGGTATTTACTGTTGGTGTGGGTGACAAGTTTTTTATGGCAGGTGTGGTGTGAGGGATGGGTGTTTACCACAGGTGTGGTGTGAGTTACAGGTATTTACTGTTGGTGTGGGTGACAAGTTTTATGGCAGATGTGGTGTGAGGGATGGGTGTTTACCACAGGTGTGGTGTGAGTTACAGGTATTTACTCTTTGTGTGGGTGACAAGTGTTTATGGCAGGTGTGGCATGAGGAATGAGTGTTTACTACAGGTGTGGTGTAAGTTACAAGTATTTACTGTTTGTGTGGTGTGACAAGTGTTTATGGCAGGTGTGTTGTGAGGGATGGGTGTTTACTACAGGTGTGGTGTAAGTTACAGGTATTTACTGTTGGTGTGGGTGACAGAGTGTTTATGGCAGGTGTTGTGTGAGGGATGGGTGTTGACTACAGGTGTGGTGTGAGTTACAGGTATTTACTGTTTGTGTGGGTGACAAGTGTTTATGGCAGGTGTGTTGTGAGGGATGGGTGTTTACCACAGGTGTGGTGTGAGTTACAGGTATTTACTCTTTGTGTGGGTGACAAGTGTTTATGGCAGGTGTGGCATGAGGAATGAGTGTTTACTACAGGTGTGGTGTAAGTTACAAGTATTTACTGTTTGTGTGGGTGACAAAGTGTTTATGGCAGGTGTGTTGTGAGGGATGGAGTGTTTACTACAGGTGTGGTGTAAGTTACAAGTATTTACTGTTCGTTGTGGGTGACAAGTGTTTATGGCAGGTGTGGTGTGAGGGATGGGTGTTTACTACAGGTGTGAGTTACAGGTATTTACTGTTGATGTGGGTGACAAGTGTTTATGACAGGTGTGTTGTGAGGATGGGTGTTTACTACAGGTGTGGTGTGAGTTACAGGCATTTACTGTTGGTGTGGGTGACAAGTGTTTATGGCAGGTGTGGTGTGAGGGATGGAGTGTTTACCACAGGTGTGAGTGTGAGTTGCATTTACTGTTGGTGTGGGTGACAAGTGTTTATGGCAGGTGTGTTGTGAGGGATGGGTGTTTACTACAGGTGGTGTGAGTTACAGGTATTTACTGTTTGTGTGGGTGACAAGTATTTATGGCAGGTGTGGTGTGAGGGATGGAGTGTTTACTACAGGTGTGGTGTGAGTTACAGGTATTTACTGTTGGTGTGGGTGACGTATTTATGGCAGGTGTGGTGTGAGGGATGGGTGTTTACTACAGGTGTTGTGTGAGTTACAAGCATTTACTGTTGGCGTGGGTGACAAGGCGTGTTTATGACAGGTGTGGTGTGAGGGATGGGTGTTTACTACAGGTGTGGTGTGAGTTACAGGCATTTACTGTTGGTGTGGGTGACAAGTTTTTATGGCAGGTGTGGTGTGAGGGATGGGTGTTTACCACAGGTGTGGTGTGAGTTACAGGTATTTACTGTTTGTGTGGGTGACAAGTGTTTATGGCAGGTGTGGTGTGAGGATGGGTGTTTACCACAGGTGCGGTGTGAGTTACTGATATTTACTGTTGGTGTGGGTGACAAGTGTTTATGGCAGGTGTGGCATGAGGAATGAGTGTTTACTACAGGTGTGGTGTGTGAGTTACAGGTATTTACTGTTGGTGTGGGTGACAAGTGTTTATGGCAGATGTGTTGTGTGAGAGATGGGTGTTTACTACAGGTGTGGTGTGAGTTACAGGTATTTACTGTTGGTGTGGGTGACAAGCATTTATGGCAGGTGTGGTGTGAGGGGATGGGTGTTTACTACAGGTGTGGGTGTGAGTTACAGGTATTTACTGTTTGTGTGGGTGGCAAATGTTTACTACAGGTGTGGTGTGAGGGATGGGTGTTTACCACAGGTGTGGTGTGAGTTACAGGCATTTACTGGTGGTGTGGGTGACAAGTGTTTATAGCAGGTGTGGTGTGAGGGATGGGTGTTTACTACAGGTGTGGTGTGAGTTACAGGCGTTTACTGTTGGTGTGGGTGACAAGTGTTTATGGCAGGTGTGTTGTGAGGGATGGGTGTTTACCACAGGTGTGGTGTGAGTTACTGGCATTTACTGGTGGTGTGGGTGACAAGTGTTTATGGCAGGTGTGGTGTGAGGGATAGGTGTTTACCACAGGTGTGGTGTGAGTTACAGGCATTTACTGGTGGTGTGGGTGACAAGTGTTTATGGCAGGTGTGGTGTGAGGGATGGGTGTTTACCACAGGTGTGGTGTGAGTTACATGCATTTACTGTTGGTGTGGGTGACAAGTGTTTATGGCAGGTGTGGTGTGAGGGATGGGTGTTTACCACAGGTGTGGTGTGAGTTACAGGCATTTACTGTTGGTGTGGGTGACAAGTGTTTATGGCAGGTGTGGTGTGAGGGATGGGTGTTTACCACAGGTGTGGTGTGAGTTACAGGCATTTTCTGGTGGTGTGGGTGACAAGTGTTTACTACAGGTGTTGCATGAGGGATGGGTGTTTACTACAGGTGTGAGTTTGTTCCTCTGTGGGTTTGGCCGGTGAGATTTTACTGCAGGCGTGGACCTGAGGCATGGGGATTAACTGCAGGTGTGGGCATGTGATGGTGGTTTACCTGTGGGTGTGAATGGAGGCATTTGCTGTAGGTATTGGCGTAAGTGACAGGATTTTCTTCCTCTGTGGGTGTGGAGGCGAGAGTTTATTGCAGGTGTGGGCGGGAGGGATGGGGATTAACTGCAGGTGTGGGCATGTGTGATGGGGTGTTACTGTGGTTGTGAGTAAAAAGGATTCACTGCAGGTGTGCATGTGAGTGATGTCAAAACTTACACAACCATGAAATACCCAAACCAATGCCCAATAAAATTTACACATTTTGCCATATCTGTGAACACACATTTTCTGACTATACACTGGGTTATCCAATAGATCCCCATTTTGCCATACCATCTCCAGCCATACAGATGTAAATGTGATGATCCTGACTACCTTGTACATACATGCCCAGTTTTTATCATCAGCAAAAATAGAAGATTTATGGTTTGGTATCAAAATGACATTCACTTATAATCCAGTTTATTATAAATACTTGTATAAAGCCAATATCCAGCTCAGCTGCTCAAAGGCACTTTGTTTTTCCATCAATCATTGGATGTCAAACGGCACATCATATTATCAATCTCAACTCCCTGGGATCATACAACATAACATAGAATCACACTTCTACATGATGATAACAATGTGTCAATATTGACACCTAAGAAATACAACACTCAATATTGACATCCAAGAAATACAACACTCAATATTGATTTCCAAAAAATACAACACTAATATTGACACCCAAGAAATACAACACTCAATATTGACACCCAGGAATACAACACTCAATATTGACACCCAAAAATACAACACTCAATATTTACACCCAGGAAGTACAACACTCAATATTGACACCCAAGAATACAACACTCAATATTGACACCCAAGAAATACAACACTCAATATTGACACCTAGGAAATACAACACTCAATATTGACACCCAAGAAGTACAACACTCAATATTGACACCCAAGAAATACAACACTCAATATTGACGCCCAAAAAATACAACACTCAATATTGACACCTAAGAAATACAACACTCAATATTGACACCCAGGAATACAACACTCAATATTGACACCCAAAAATACAACACTCAATATTGACACCCAGGAAGTACAACACTCAATATTGACACCCAAGAAATACAACACTCAATATATCACCCAAAATACAACACTCAATATTGACACAGGAGGAAGTACAACACTCAATATTGACACCCAGGAATACAACACTCAATATTGACACCCAAGAAATACAACACTCAATATATCACCCAAGAAATACAACACTCAATATTGACACCTAAAAATACAACACTCAATATTGACACCCAAGAAATACAACACTCAATATTGACACCCAAAAAATACAACACTCAATATTGACACCCAAGAAATACAACTCTCAATATTGACACCCAAGATGTAAAACACTCAATATTGACACCCAAAATACAACACTCAATATTGACGCCCAAAATACAACACTCAATATTGACACCCAAAAATACAACACTCAATATTGACACCCAGGAATACAACACTCAATATTGACACCCAAGAAATACAACACTCAATATTGACACCCAGGAAGTACAACACTCAATATTGACACCCAAGAAATACAACACTCAATATATCACCCAAAATACGACACTCAATATTGACACCCAGGAAGTACAACACTCAATATTGACACCCAGGAATACAACACTCAATATTGACACCCAAGAAATACAACACTCAATATATCACCCAAAATACAACACTCAATATTGACACCCAAGAAATACAACACTCAATATTGACCCCAAAGAAATACAACACTGTATATTGACACCCAAGAATACAACACTCAATATTGACGCCCAAAAATACAACACTCAATATTGACACCCAAGAAAATACAACACTCAATATTGACACCCAGGAATACAACACTCAATATTGACACCCAAGAAATACAGCACTCAATATTGACACCCAAGAAATACAACACTCAATATTGACGCCCAAAAATACAACACTCAATATTGACACCCAAAAATACAACACTCAATATTGACACACAAAGAAATACAACACTCAATATTGACACCCAAGAAATACAACATTCAATATTGACACCCAAGAAATACAACATTCAATATTGACACCCAAGAAGTACAACACTCAATATTGACACCCAGGAAGTACAACACTCAATATTGACACCCAGGAAGTACAACACTCAATATTGACACCCAGGAAGTACAACACTCAATATTGACACCCAGGAGTACAACACTCAATATTGACACCCAGGAAGTACAACACTCAATATTGACACCCAAGAAATACAACATTCAATATTGACACCCAAAAAATACAACACTCAATATTGACACCCAAGAAATACAACACTCAATATTGACACCCAGGAAGTACAACACTCAATATTGACACCCAGGGAAGTACAACACTCAATATTGATGCCCAAGAAATACAACATTCAATATTGATGCCCAAGAAATACAACACTCAATATTGATACCCAAGAAATACAACACTCAATATTGACACCCAGGAAATACAACATTCAATATCGACACCCAAGAAATAAACACTCAATATTGACACCCAAGAAATACAACACTCAATACTGACACCCAAGAAATACAACATTCAATATTGACACCCAGGAAATACAACACTCAATATTGACACCCAGGAAGTACAACACTCAATACTGACACCCAAGAAATACAACATTCAATATTGACACCCAGGAAATACAACACTCAATATTGACACCCAGGAAGTACAACACTCACACTTACCACATAGTAAGCTCCACACTTGTCACCAAGGCAACTAAAGCATTACAGTAGGCCTGAGTCAGGTTGTTCCTCTGGGCTGAGTTCACCTTCCCTCACACTGACTCCTACCAAGTGTTCCCATTGACTGTAGGTACCTCCCTCCAACACTGCCTCACACACACATACACTGCTGGTGAACCTTCCTGACAGCCGGTGGAGTACTCTACGACTTGTTACGGTGTATCTCTCACATGCTTAACTGTTTCCACCTCTTCACTGCACCGTGGAGCTAAGCACATCTGCCTTGTTTTCAAATGTAGAGCTGGAGGGATGCAGATAAGTATTTGTGGTATATCGGCTGTGGTCAGGAGATTCCACTGCGATTTGGGGCAGTGGGTAGACTGCTGGATAAAGTGTTGGCTTGAAATAGTGGGTTCATTTCGTAGGGTGGTTACAATATATATAGTGTGTAAATAATGTTCCACTAACTCACTCAATCAGTCACCAACTCACTCTACACTCACTCACCCAACCAATCACTGTCTCACCCATTACAACAACCGACCAATCACTCTCACCCATTACAACAACCGACCAATCACTCACTCACCCATTACAACAACCGACCAATCACTCACTCACCCATTACAACAACCGACCAATCACACACTCACCCATTACAATAACCGACCAATCACTCACTCACCCATTACAACAACCGACCAATCACTCACTCACCCATTACAACAACCGACCAATCACTCACTCACCCATTACAACAACCGACCAATCACTCATGTACTCACAGGGATTTATCTAGACAATCTCCGAGGCTCCAAGTCTGCGCAGCAACTGATATAAAAGTATCAAATTTAAATTACAAGTGCCCTAACTTCTAAAACTTTATGAAAAAATATGAAAATCTTGTTGTGAGCAAAAACACATTGTTTTTCCAAATTTGCAAGCCAAAGCCACTTAGTTAGAAAATCTAAATCCCTGTCTCACTCACTCATTCACTCACTCACTCAACCAACCAACCAATCATTGATCATCACTCAACCATTTGCTTGCTTACTCACATTCTCTAAACCAACCAACCAACCAACCAGTCAACCACCCACTCTATTAACCATTTAATCAATCATTTAATCAACCACTCACTCAAACACAAAGCCACTTACCCAGTCAACCATTCAAGGATTCAGTCAACCACTCTCCAACCCACTCACCAAACCTGCCCAATGTTTTTACATTATTGTCCTACTAGGCAACAAGTCAATTCTCTTCAAAATGTTATGTGTTTGAGAGTATTGATCAGTTTGTATCTACATATATTCAAACCAAAACCTTCATTCCCTAATGTGTCCATGCTAGAGATGAAACTGTATCATAAATAACAGATTACAATTAATAGTTTGTATTAAATAGCTTGATAAAGCTGTGGGTATTCTCTTTGCTCGAAGAATCATAATGGATCATTGTTTCACATCCTTGTGTCCTACCCAACCAATACACACTGCTGGGGATCTCCTTGTGTCCTACCCAACTAATACACACTGCTGGGGTAGTTCCTTGATTCCTACCCAACCAATACACACTGCTAGGGGGAGCTCCTTGTGTCCTACCCAACCAATACACACTGATGGGGAGCTCCTTGTGTCCTACCCAACCAATACACACTGCTAGGGGAGCTCCTTGTGTCCTACCCAACCAATACACACTACTGGGGAGCTCCTTGTGTCCTACCCAACCAATACACACTGCTTGGGGAACTCCTTGTGTATTACCCAACCAATGCACACTGCTGTCTGTCTCTGTGTATTGTGATATAAGCGATCTGACAGTTACTAATTGTGTATCTTTATGTTTTCAAACTGAATGTTGTAGTGTCAAAATAATTAATAGTACTTATTCCTATTTTTCAAATAAGAGATATATTTATGTTGGTAATTGTATGTTCTGCTCAAGGAAGCCTATTTATGTTTGATTGGAGATAGTGCCATGCTGCTGTATCATGTGTCTTGTATAATAAGGGTTCTTTGTCATTTATTGTATCTTTTATGTTGTGTTTACTCAGAGATGTGGTGGAGCTTGAAACAAGTCTGTCTGAAATTCTGGACACACCATCAAAGAGGACTTTGTGGATGTTTGTGATCGCCCGTCTGCCTCCTCAACATCAGGAGTTCTGTATTCACCGAATCAGTCTGCCTCAACACATCCTGCTGGGTGAGTTTACAATGCCCAACACATACCTGCGGCTGAGTTTGTATGCCAAGTTCAACCAATACCAACTGCTGGCTGAGTTTGTGTACCCTGCCATATAAGTCCTTCATTTGTTTGAGATAGTGTACCCTGTCCAACCAATATGCACTGCTGGGGGGAGCTCCCTGTGTCCTACACAACGAATACACACTGCTGGGGGAGCTCCTTGTGTCCTACCCAACCAATACACACTGCTGGGGAAACTCCTTGTGTCCTACCCAACCAATACACACTGCTGAGGAACTCCTTGTGTCCCATCCAACAAATACACACTCCTGAGGGGTGTCCTTTTGTGTCCTATACAACCAATACACCCTGCTGGGGGAACTCCTTGTGTCCTACCTAACCAAAACACACTGCTGGGGGATCTCCTTGTGTCCTATACAACCAATACACACTCCTGAGGGGTGTCCTTTTGTGTCCTATACAACCAATACACCCTGCTGGGGGAACTCCTTGTGTCCTACCTAACCAATACACACTCCTGGGGGGAGTCTTTTGGTGTCCTACCCAACCAATACACCCTGCTGGGTGATCTCCTTGTGTCCTACCAAACCAATACACACTCCTGGGGGGTGTCTTTTGGTGTCCTACCCAACCAATACACACTGCTGGGGAAACTCCTTGTGTCCTACCAAACCAATACACACTCCTGGGGGGTGTCTTTTGGTGTCCTACCCAACCAATACACACTGCTGGGGAAACTCCTTGTGTCCTACCCAACCAATACACACTGCTGAGGAACTCCTTGTGTCCCATCCAACAAATACACACCCCTGAGGGGTGTCCTTTTGTGTCCTATACAACCAATACACCCTGCTGGGGGAACTCCTTGTGTCCTACCTAACCAATACACACTGCTGGGGGATCTCCTTGTGTCCTACCCAACCAATACACACTCCTGGGGGTGTCTTTTGGTGTCCTACCCAACCAATACACACTGCTGGGGGAACTCCTTGTGTCCTGCCTAACCAATACACACTGCTGGGGGAACTCCTTGTGTCCTGCCTAACCGATACACACTGCTTGGGGAACACCTTGTGTCCTACCCAACCAATACCCACTGTGGTTGACTTAAAAATATGTGTAACTCCACTGTCAGGCTTCCCATCCCAATGCTTGGTGGTCTTCACACATATACACCAGTCAGTGCATTTCATTCACCCTTCCACATCTTCCATACTCCCATTTCATTCACCCGTTCCATCTTCCATATTCCCATTTCATTCACCCTTCCACATCTTCCATACTCCCATTTCATTCTACCCTTTCCACATTCTTCCCATCTCCTCCTTCCATCTATTCCCTTCCTACATCTTCCATACTCCCATTCAACTTCCACCTGCTCCATCTTCCATATTCCTATCTCTATTCACCCTTCCACATCTTCCTCCATGTATCTCCATACTTTCATCTCACCCTTCCACATCTTCCATACTTCCCATTTCATTCACCTTCCACATCTTCCATACTCCCATTTCATTCCCCCTTCCATACATCTCTTCCATGCCTTCCATTTCTATTCACCCCTTCCACATCTTCCATATACTCCCATTTCATTCACCCTTCCACATCTTCCATACTCCCATTTCATTCACCCTTCCACATCTTCCATACTCCCATTTCATTCACCCTTCTTCCACATCTTCCATACTCCCATTTCATTCAATTCCCATTTCATATCATCCATTCCACTTCCATCTTCCATACTCCCATTTCATTCAATTCCTTCCACATCTTCCATACTCCCATTTCATTCTTCCACATCTTCCATACTTCCCATTTCATTCTTTCCACATCTTCCATACTCCTTCCATACTTCCACATTTTCCATACTCCCATTTCTTATTCACTCCTTCCACATCTTCCATACTTCCCATTTCATTCACCTTCACATCTTCCATCTTCCATACTCCCATTTCCCATACCCCCATCTTCATTCACCCTTCCACATCTTCCATACTCCCATTTCATTCACCCTTCCACATCTTCCATACTCCCATTTCATTCACCCGTTCCATCTTCCATACTCCCATTTCATTCACCCTTCCACATCTTCCATACTCCCATTTCATTCACCCTTCCACATCTTCCATACTCCCATTTCATTCACCCTTCCATCTTCCATACTCCCATTTCATTCATCCATCTTCCATACTCCCATTTCACCCTTCCACATCTTCCATATCTACTCTCCATATTTCCATTTCCATTTGCTTCCACATCTTCCATACTCCCCATTTCATTCACCCTTCCACATCTTCCATACTCCCATTTCATTCACCCTTCCACATCTTCCATACTCCCATTTCATTCACCCTTCCACATCTTCCATACTCCCATTTCATTCACCCTTCCACATCTTCCATACTCCCATTTCATTCACCCTTCCACATCTTCCATACTCCCATTTCATTCACCCTTCCACATCTTCCATACTCCCATTTCATTCACCCTTCCACATCTTCCATACTCCCATTTCATTCACCCTTCCACATCTTCCATACTCCCATTTCATTCACCCTTCCACATCTTCCATACTCCCATTTCATTCACCCTTCCACATCTTCCATACTCCCATTTCATTCACCCTTTTCCACATCTTCCATACTCCCATTTCATTCACCCTTCCACATCTTCCATATCCATTTCATCCCATCTTCCACTTCATTCACCCTTCCACATCTTCCATACTCCCATTTCATTCACCCTTCCACATCTTCCATACTCCCATTTCATTCACCCTTCCACATCTTCCATACTCCCATTTCATTCACCCTTCCACATCTTCCATACTCCCATTTCATTCACTTCCATACTCCATTTCATTCTTCCATATACTCCCATTTCATTCAATTCTTCCACATCTTCCATACTCCCATTTCATTCACCCTTCCACATCTTCCATACTTCCATTTCATTCAATCATCTTCCATACTCCCATTTCATTCATATTCCCATCTTCCATACTCCCATTTCCAATTCTTCCACATCTTCCATACTCCCATTTCATTCACCCTTCCACATCTTCCATACTCCCATTTCATTCACCCTTCCACATCTTCCATACTCCCATTTCATTCACCCTTCCACATCTTCCATACTCCCATTTCATTCACCCGTTCCACATCTTCCATACTCCCATTTCATTTCACATCTTCCATACCCCATTTCCACATCTTCCATACTCCCATTTCATTCACCCTTCCATACTTCCACATCTTCCATACTCCCCATTTCATTCACCCTTCCACATCTTCCATACTCCCATTTCATTCATTCACTTCCATTCCACATCTTCCATCTTCCATACTCCCATTTCATTCACCCTTCCACATCTTCCATACTCCCATTTCATTCACCCTTCCACATCTTCCATACTCCCATTTCATTCACCCTTCCACATCTTCCATACTCCCATTTCATTCACCCTTCCACATCTTCCATTCACTTCCCACATCTTCCATACTCCCATTTCATTCACCCTTCCACATCTTCCATACTCCCATTTCATTCACCCGTCCACATCTTCCATACTCCCATCCTCCGCACTATCCATGCCAGCATCCACAATTTCAATATATTAACAAAAGGTATTCTTTACACACATGGTTAGTCTCTCGTACAGACCCTGAAGCAAATATATCCAAGAAAGCCCACGCAAGTCTAGAAAATGTGGCAAGTCTAGATTTCCACGAAGAAAGTCTCAGGGCTCCTTTTCATTATATTTTTTTTTTTTTACTGTGAACTTTTTTTTTCAGTAAAATATGTTCATTCCAGAGACTAGTTGTTAGTCTAACACATGGTAGTTAACCCAAGATATTCACAAAACATTGGAGAAGCCATAATTTTCTGTGCTCCACCTGTCAACTGCCAGACTGAGTGAGCTAGCCCAGTCACAGCCTCTGTGTTCATGGAAGTGTTAAGTGGTTCAGACAAACCAGCAGCAAGAGAATTAGCAAATGTGTGGAATGAAGGCAGTTGAGTTGTGGAGCCCCCCTGAGTAATCCACCACGTCTCTGCCATATTCTCCAACAATTAGGGAACAACTTTGGAGGCAGCCCATGGGTCAGGTGGAGTAACTTAGTCAGCATCAGCGAGCAAGCATGTCTTCATAATTACATCCCGTTTCCACATCCAAAAACACAAACATTTCATGACTTCCATTCCAAACATTTTTTCAAGAGTGTCTGACTGTCAGAAGTTTTTCAATTACAAAAATTACCATTGCATGAAGTCAACATGTTGGAACTTTTATTTTTCAGAGGTTTTGCGAACACAGCAGAAAATAAACGGCCATGGGCAAATGACAGCAAGTAAGGAGAAAACTTATTTACTCATTTTTTTATGAGAAACAATTTGCTAGCTTCATAAAAAGAGAAATGGAACTAAAAAATCGATTTGTTTCCCTCTCAGTCAAGTGATAGGAATCAGCTGCCAAAAGGGATGAGTCAACATCCCCAAGAGGGGAATGTTTGATATATACTGTATTTAACCTTGTAAGTCTGGGGACCCTGCTTTCCACACAACTGTTTTGCATATATTGTTATAGTGACATAATTTGACTTGGGAGTGTGATCTTTGGCCCATGGGAAATGTAAAATGTTTGAGTTTGAAACAGTGGTATGAACATTCTCAGATATGTTCAAATGATCTGGGTGCCGTTATACAAAGCGATCTTAGCACTAAGGTGATGGTGACTTCCACACCTTAACATAGACTTAAGGTAGTCTTAGTGCTAAGGTTGTTTTGTACAACGGCACCCTGTTATGTACTTTTATGTTTTTACACTTCCAAGTTTTGGACTTACACATGATCCAATACATAAATGCCTAAAATGAGCATTAAAAAGTGAGTTTTTCAACTTTAGAGAAAATCTAATGGAGAAGAAGTCTGTGACCCGAGTTTATTAGAAATATCACCATACTAATATATAAAAACAGCAGTTGTGTGGAAGGCAGGGTCCCAGAAAAAGACTTGTACTGTACATCAAACATTCCTCTCCTTGGACTGCTGAGTCATCCATTTTTGCAACTGACTTCTATTTACGTAGAGGGAGACAAAATGATTTTAAGGTCAAACACTTGTACATGTTCAAATATTAATCCTTCTTGGCAATTTCTTGTCCATGTCTTTTTTCATTATTTGTTGTTGTAAGTCCATAAAATGCAATTACAGAAATTAACAAAGTGTAATTCTGAAAGATTGTTGATTTCTAAAGGTAGAGCTCTTTTCATCAGTTATTCAGATCCAGTGACCAAAACATACCTTATTATATCAGTGCCAATGATTGCAGCGTAAACAACAGGGTTTCACAATAAATTCTGATGAGGAATTGTGTTAATTTTAGTTCATATAGTGTTAATTTGACTGAGACGATAATAATGACCAGTTTGTGAAATTGGATTGGCGAAATTTCAAAAATATTTCATCATGTCAGCTTGATGCAGGAGGAAATCCCAAACTGCGGCGGGTCTTAGATAGTTACCGCCGTGGTGAAACCACAAGTGTGGTGCTGACAAGCCTAGAAACATTACAATGTAGAATCTGGGATTCAAACCACTTGACATTAAGAAAGTATGTAAACAATGCCATTCTGGTGTAAGTACAGAAGTGCAAGACTCTTCATGTAAATGGTATCTTGTACTTGTTATCCCACAATGCAATGTTTTGTCAGATGGTCTCCAGCAGGCTGGGTGGGAGACCCACATCGGGACGTCTGCCCGTCTGCCCGCTTCCTTCCAGCAGCAGATCGAGTTCCTGCTCACATCACAGGAGCGGATACAGATCAAGCGCTCCCTCCATATGTATGAAGACAACAGGTGGGAAATCACAGATTAATTACATCCACAAGTATTCTTGATTAAATCAATAAATTTTTCATCTTGGCAGAAGGATTTTAGGTTTGGTTCCTTCTTGTTTTAGTTTGATCTCTGAAAAAAAGTTTGGTCCGTCAACTCAAATAGGAAAACACATTTACAGAAGGGATGGTTGCTTGGTGTTAGATTTTTAGAGCAATTTGAACACTATAAAAGGTTTATTTGTTCCCAGTCTTCTGGAGTTGGACAAGTTAAAGAGTTACTTCCTTTATCTACTAACCATATTTTCGTCACGCCGAAGACCCGGGTTCGAATCCCCACTTGGGTACAATGTGTGAAGCCCATTTCTGGTGTCCCCCGCCGTGATGTTGCTGGAATATTGCTAAAAGCGGCGTAAAACCAAAACTCAGTCAGTCAGTCAGTACTAACCATATTTGAAGTATTACTGAAATATGTTGCTGCATGCAGTATTAAATGTCAAAGAAAGAAAAGAAAGAAAGTTGACACATGGACAAATTATGCTCAAAAGTTTAGTGAATATTATTGATGATTTCAGATTTGTTGTAGGAATATCCTAACAACCATATAAAATGACTGACTGACTGACTGAGTTTAGTTTTACGCCGCTTTTAGCAATATTCCAGCAATATCACGGCAGGGGACACCAGAAATGGGCTTCACACATTGTGCCCATGCATATAAAATGAAAAATGTTGCCTTTGATAGAATAATAATGAATGCCAGTTTTACAGTATAGACATTTTGTAAGTTTGGGTAGAGGTACCTTCAAAAACAAATTGCAATCCCAGTGTAAATGAGATGCACAATTAAGATAAACAAACTTACGAACTCTTGAATAAGTATCTCACATTCTTGTCTTTCTCTGTGTGAATAATTCTGTCTTCAAAGAACTGGTTTCAATATTCCACATGGGTAATAACACTCATTAGCATGGAACAACATGTTGGCAACATGTATATCTTCAGCATCATATCTATCTCATTAAATGTTCCGGCAAACTGAAGGCAATTATCTGCCAAAACTGGAAACATAAAGCTAGACACAGACTTTTCTTCGTCAGCGCCATATTGAATTAGAGTTGCTTTCAAGTTTCTTTTTCAATTTCTGTATCAGTTTGATTACCAGTTTCTTTCTTTTTGGTTCGACCATACAATTATGTAAGCACACTGAGCATACAACTGGTGTATTGAAGTAGTGCAGTATAAGTAGACACATTATTATAGTAGTATTATTCAGCAACCCATGCTGGTCAAAGGTGAGGTGAGGTGAGGGTTTTACGTGGGATTGAGAATATTTGGCTCATATGACTAGGTGCATGAATATCATTGATTGTATGTGTGGCTGCTTGTACTTAGCCCAGACTTAAGCTGGTTTTATAGTGCTAGCCCACTGAGATACCATGCCGCGGTGAAGCATGAATACCCCACTCAGACACATTATACTGACTCAAAGCCAACCAGTCCTTGTTGTACCCATTAATGCTGAGCGCCAGGCAGGGACCAAATAAGTACCATATTTTAAGGCGTCTTTTTGGTGTGATGCGTTCGGGATCGAACCTGCCTCCTTCCGGTAACTCGTATGGAATTTGCAATGGTAAACCACTACACCATAATCAGGCGGTCCATGCTGGTCAAAAGACTGAGAGGCAACTAATGGGATTGGGTGGTCAGGCTCACTGACTAGTGGATGAATATCATTGATTCCCAACTGTGCAGATCAATGTTCATGATGTCAATCACTGGATTGTCTGGTCCTGACTCAGTTGTTTACAGCCCACTGTCATATAGCTGGAGCACTGCTGAGTTTGGCATTAAACAACAAGAAACAAACAAATCTTTCTTCTTGGTTCACAGAAACTGAAATCTTACAATATTAGATAAATTGCTTGGTTTCAGTGAATCTTAAACTGAAATCTTAAAATTAAAGATAGTTTAATAAATAAATATCAGTTACACCAGATACTATAAGTATTGATGAAGTTTTATACTGCCAAACCACTAGAATAAAACATTTTGATATCAAAGGTCATTGAAACTATTTGACATAAACTGAAATAAGATACAAGTGCATTTTTTAATGCTTAAAAACAATACAGAAACACCAGTCTCAATGTCCTATTATTATTTACAGATCCGTTACAGAAAGCGTTTTTGGGGTTTTTTTTCTTCTTCTTTTTTTCATTATTCCACGTACTGATCTGATGAAATCTCAAACCACTAAAACACCCTTTAAAGGCATTTAAATGAGTATTTTTAATCATTGCAACTTACTGACCAAATGTTTCACCAATAAAAGTTGCATCCATGGTCTGACCTTTGCCATTAATAACTCCTATATGTAGTGACACCTGTATAGAGTGTTAGCCCACATCCCTCTGTGATCAATAGCTATATCTCCCACATGTTGACAGCACCGACAGGTCTGCTTGCACTGTGTTGCAACACAACTCCCAGTGTTGGGCGAGATTGTTTACAGTGCAGTAACTTCTATTGTGTGTTCTGTCTCTGTGGAGATGGTATTCCTGGACCAACATGGCTGACGATATTCCCACATGTTGGTCTGTTTGTATGACCTTAATCTGGTCATCATTTCTCAGGGAAGACATTCATCATAACTTCGTCAAAACCTTGCATCTCTAAGGAGCCATGAAAGAAGAAATCTGACCTTTTTTGGCTCGGATGTAGAGCAAATTGGTTTCAAAACAATACTGTGGTTCAAGTTTGGTTTGGGTGATGTCCTGAATGATTGGTGTATACATCCTACAGGTTTTATTTGGGGGTTGTTGTTGGGTTTTTTTCTTTATTTTTTATTTTAATTAGTTTTTTATAAACACATCACTCACCAAGGTCGGTTAATAAAACACTTCATTAAGGCATTTCATGATCAAGTGGGTGTGATTATAGTTATTACCATGCAGGGCTCGATTTAGTGCTTTGTTACTTGCACTGGTGCAATCCAATATTACAAAGTGCAACCTAGATATGAGTCTAACTTGCACCAGGTGCAAGTCAGTTTTTGAGTGGGTAAGCTTCTAAATAAAACATCTAAATAATTCAATAGCATATAAAGCAGTGCAGCTGGAATTTGGTTTGTGCAACTAGGTTTTTATCTTAGGTTGCACCTGGTGCAAGTAGATTAACATCTTTTAAATCGTGCCCTGTCATGAGATTCAGCTGTTGTTCCCCAAAACTGTACACTCCACATTTGTGGCAGATCTGGGGTGGATGGGAGATCATTGACTCAATAACAAATTACCCCCAGTGACTGAAAGATCAAGGATTTGAATTTGAAGGAAATGTTTTATATAATCAATTAAAGCCGACTGAAATGAAAAGTTATCCTCACCTTTAGGCCAAAAGGTAGTAGAAAATTCCTGTGGCAAAGAATATTATAATTCTCCTTGCCTGAAGGTCCTGTAATTTGGATACATGTCAGGAGTTTCAGTTGCACCCAATAAGACCAGTAAGACCTCTGAGCAGTTCCAAATGAGCTTGTAATCAGATTCTAATACACGGAATATGTTACCATTGCCCCATGACAGTTGACTTACATTGATACAGATATTGATCAAAAGTTTTTTGAGCAGAATTATTTTTAGAATATGTCTATGAATACTGAATGGAAAAGATGCAATGGAGTAAAAATACATTGAATGCCCAAGGAAAACAAGCAACACGCAATTTGTATGATAATGTATGATTAAATAATCAGTGGTACAAAAGTCCCGAGCCCTGTTTGACAATGTACCCTTGTTCTATAGAGATGTGAAGGCTCTGCTGAATGAGCTGGAGGAGATGCTGGACACGCCATCCAAAAAGACATTGTGGAAGTTTATCCTGCCATTGCTGACAACGTCGCACCAAGATATTGTCAAACGCAGACTTGACTTCCGACAGCAGTACATAAGTAAGTTCCAACATTTCTATTGCCGGAGTTTAAGATTTAATTTCCAATGGTGTTGATGTCAGGGAATGAGTCTCTACTGAAACATTGTAACGTTTCCTTGATTGCAGAAATTATCAGTGTTATGTTAAAAGAATGCAAAGAAAACTTTTATGGCTTAGAGTAGAGGATATATATATGTTGAATAGCCTGTATCCATAAATGATGTTATAATGAATATTTTGAAAAAATATTTCTATGTAAAAATCTCCATGATATGTCGTAATGTGTCAGGATAGGAAATTTTATAATCTTGGGCAATTTATGACTGAACTGAGGCCATGTTGAGTTATTCGTTAGATTTTCACCCATACGCCTTCATTCTTGTCTTGATTGATTGTAATAATAGCAAGGGTATTTTATCATGACTGGCACATTCTGATTGAGATGATTTTCTTGATTTGGCTCAGTCGTGAGTCAAAGATTTTTTACTTGTAAATGGGTGAAATCTAATAATGTCTTCAGCAAGGACCTCTAGTCTGTCTAGAAATAAATGATCAAAATATGCTCCAAAGAATAAATCCTGAGAGAAATAGATGAATTGCAACCTGGTAATCTACTAGACATGATATGGTTGGTGATGTCATGTGGAAGTGTGTCAGCAGATGTATCATGGATGTCACTCAAACTGGTTTTTGTCCTAACCCTTCTGAGTCCATGGATTTTTGATAGATTGTGTCAATCATATTTGTTTTGTGACCCCACTCAATCAGCCAGTCAGAATTCTGACTTTGTGATGGATTGTTTCATTCAAACTGGTTTGTTTTGTAACCATTTTCAATCAGCCAGTCAGTCTAACTTAGTAATGGATTGTGTCAATCAGATTGGTTTGTTTTCTGACCCTCCTCAATCAGCCAGTCAGATTTCTGACTCAGCAATGGATTCCTACATTGGTCCACCTGACGATGACCTTCATGATGACCTTGCAGTTCAGGAGGAGATTGAGATCGGTAGCTAGGTGTTGTTTCTGCAGTCTCTCACGTTGTTGTTTCTGCAGTCTCTCACGTTGTTGTTTCTGCAGTCTCTCACGTTGTTGTTTCTGCAGTCTCTCACGTTGTTGTGTTTAAGTGCACAACATATTTTGTTAGCTGAATTTCTTGTCTTCACAGCATGTATCTGTGTGTTGCACTGGATTTGATTATGAGTGTGTGTTCCTTTGTCATTTGTTCTGTATATACTGGAACTAATTACTCCATCATCACCGCACAAATATTTCAGATATCATCAATTAAGATTTATGTTGCAGAGTTGTAATACCAATATCAATAGTATTTCATTCATGCCAAACCTCATTGATACTGCTTGCATATAATTTTGATGACACTCAAAGAAAACACTTATGAAAAGAAGTGTCCAGGCACATGGGTCACTATGCAACTGAACATTGTACATCTAGTTTTACGCTACTTTTAGCAATATTCCAGCAATATCATGGTAGGGAACACCAGGAATGGGCTTCACATGTTGTTCCTATGTGGGGAATCGAACTCGGGTCTTCGGCATGACGCACAAATGCTTTATCCACTAGGCTACCCCACCGTTCCCCTCCCCAGTTAATGGACAGAGCACATCTGTCATCATCATCATCATCAGAAGTAAAAACTGCTACAAGCACCTGCAGAAAATGGTAGTGCTTAAACCAGAATCCTGACAAAAGAGCAGACCATGCAGCTCTGTTCCTGACATGGAAGAAAAGGGTCTCTGGATGTGGTAGAAACAGGTCAAGCCTTAACTTGTGTCATTATTCACACATTGCAGCAATACTCATGAGAACAGAGTAAAACCTCATTCACTCCTGAGGTCACCAAGTTGATTGTTTTCTGAAATAAACAGGCAGGCTGAAAGCTGGGATACGGTATTGCCAGCATTACATTCACATGACACTCCAAGCAAGCAAGTTTCTCATTGTCCTCCAGTCAATCAGTTGCCTTCATTTTCATGGTCCAAGATGATGTTTGACAAAGTTGTAAATCCAGTAACCACCATTTAGATAGCAGCTTCACAGATGTGTCCAACAATGGTCTTGAAGTGCTGTGTTCATTAGTTCCTTTCAAACCATGGCTATATGGACCAACTGTAAATGTGGCCATACAACCCGCAGATATATTAAGTACCATCAGACCATGGCCATATGGTCTAATCAAACCATATGGACAAATGGCAACCATGTCTATTTAAGTAGTTCCCTAATCATGACTGTTGAGCCCCATCAAAACGCAACTGCCAAATTAGTAAAAGGTCTATCAAAGATGCCAGTCATCTTCCAATGCCCTCACTGTCCAGTCACCTGCTTCCTAGGACAGTCTAATGAAAAGTCAACTAAAAAGCCCAACCCTGAGATTTTAAATGATGGATCCCTTTTTCTGCAGCAGCTGACATTTTGGTTTCCTAGACCTTGTGATTCCTCAAGATGTTCCACCACTTAGTGTAGTGTTCTGTCTCATCAACCCTCTAGTTCCTCAAGAAGTTCCACCACTTAGTGTAGTGTTCTGTCTCATAAACCCTCTAGTTCCTCAAGAAGTTCCACCACTTAGTGTAGTGTTGTCTCATCAACCCTCTAGTTCCTCAAGAAGTTCCACCACTTAGTGTAGTGTTCTGTCTCATCAACCCTCTAGTTCCTCAAGAAGTTCCACCACTTAGTGTAGTGTTGTCTCATCAACCCTCTAGTTCCTCAAGAAGTTCCACCACTTAGTGTAGTGTTCTGTCTCATCAACCCTCTAGTTCCTCAAGAGTTCCACCACTTAGTGTAGTGTTGTCTCATCAACCCTCTAGTTCCTCAAGAAGTTCCACCACTTAGTGTAGTGTTCTGTCTCATCAACCCTCTAGTTCCTCAAGAAGTTCCACCACTTAGTGTAGTGTTCTGTCTCATCAACCCTCTAGTTCCTCAAGAAGTTCCACCACTTAGTGTAGTGTTCTGTCTCATAAACCCTCTAGTTCCTCAAGAAGTTCCACCACTTAGTGTAGTGTTCTGTCTCATCAACCCTCTAGTTCCTCAAGAAGTTCCACCACTTAGTGTAGTGTTGTCTCATCAACCCTCTAGTTCCTCAAGAAGTTCCACCACTTAGTGTAGTGTTCTGTCTCATCAACCCTCTAGTTCCTCAAGAAGTTCCACCACTTAGTGTAGTGTTCTGTCTCATCAACCCTCTAGTTCCTCAAGAAGTTCCACCACTTAGTGTAGTGTTCTGTCTCATCAACCCTCTAGTTCCTCAAGAAGTTCCACCACTTAGTGTAGCGTTCTGTCTCATCAACCCTCTAGTTCCTCAAGAAGTTCCACCACTTAGTGTAGTGTTCTGTCTCATCAACCCTCTAGTTCCTCAAGAAGTTCCACCACTTAGTGTAGTGTTCTGTCTCATCAACCCTCTAGTTCCTCAAGAAGTTCCACCACTTAGTGTAGTGTTGTCTCATCAACCCTCTAGTTCCTCAAGAAGTTCCACCACTTAGTGTAGTGTTCTGTCTCATCAACCCTCTAGTTCCTCAAGAAGTTCCACCACTTAGTGTAGTGTTCTGTCTCATCAACCCTCTAGTTCCTCAAGAAGTTCCACCACTTAGTGTAGTGTTCTGTCTCATCAACCCTCTAGTTCCTCAAGAAGTTCCACCACTTAGTGTAGTGTTGTCTCATCAACCCTTTAGTTCCTCAAGAAGTTCCACCACTTAGTGTAGTGTTCTGTCTCATCAACCCTCTAGTTCCTCAAGAAGTTCCACCACTTAGTGTAGTGTTCTGTCTCATCAAACCTCTAGTTCCTCAAGAAGTTCCACCACTTAGTGTAGTGTTCTGTCTCATCAACCCTCTAGTTCCTCAAGAAGTTCCACCACTTAGTGTAGTGTTCTGTCACATCAACCCTCTCATTCCTCAAGAAGTTCCACCACTTAGTGTAGTGTTCTGTCTCATCAACCCTCTAGTTCCTCAAGAAGTTCCACCACTTAGTGTAGTGTTCTGTCTCATCAACCCTCTAGTTCCTCAAGAAGTTCCACCACTTAGTGTAGTGTTCTGTCTCATCAACCCTCTAGTTCCTCAAGAAGTTCCACCACTTAGTGTAGTGTTCTGTCTCATCAACCCTCTAGCTCCTCAAGAAATTCCACCACTTAGTGTAGTGTGCTTATTCTTGTTCCAGGGTCTGGGAAAGTCCATCATCGTCAGGAGGAATTGGTAAGACATATATCATTCAGTTCTTCCAAAACACTGTCATAAAAAATCAGGACTACAAGTATGATATTCAAACTTTCAATTCCAAATTCATCGTTGAAAGAGTGACCTTAACGCAGCATCAGCAGAAGTGCAGCTATTCGCAGCGAAAACCCTCTGCTCCAGGGTTATATTGCCTATATCTCATAGATGAAGTATAACAGTTATAGGCTTACTGAAACACAAACTGAAGTAAATCACCATTCCGCATTTTCATGGTCATTCAGTCATTGTCTGATGATGAGGAACAGACCAGTTCAGCTTCTTCTGAATCTATCGAGTGGCGACCAAAATCCAAAGATCACAAGGAGAGGTCTGAGCGTGCCCTACTGCGGGAGTTGGAGCAGACGAGGAAGGCTGTGCAAGATGTCAGGGAGGCACTTATGAGCCGGACGGTTCTTATTGGTAAGAGATCTGTTTCTGGAACCCAGGACAAGTTTGTCACTGTTACGTAGGTTACCAGGTTGCATATGAGGAAATTGTCATGAGAGCCAGTTAGGTATTTATCTATGAAGTCAGTATGAGTGTCCAGTTGATTAATAATATAGTTTTGATGATGATGTATGTTAAATGTTGTTATCAACAGTTTGTACATTGTGTTTTCTTGCATTCTTAGCAGGTGATTCTAATGGCAGTCCCCTGTTCGCAAATGGAGAATCTCCAGACTCGAAGCGATTTGTAACTGTTATCCCGATCGGGTACCAGGAACAGGTAAAGCATAGTTCCCATGGCAACATCCCAAATGGAGTGTCCACAGAGGTAAAGATTCATAATAATGTGAGCCACACCACCTCAAATGAATCGTCGCAGAGCTCTGTCGGCAACCATGTGTTTTATAGTACAGATGAAACGGACTATCACACAGATAGGGACTTATCCAGCTACTCTGGGGACACGTTCAACCAGAAGGCCATGGTGGCCCTGAAGGAACTAGATGCTGTGATGGCTGCTGAGGCAGAAGAACTCGAGCGACCCGTGGTCAACAAGAGTCATCAGACTAATGGTGTTTTGGGCCCCAGGACCAATAACATTACCATAGTGACCAAGAGTGACCAGGCTGCAGTCAATGGGGTTGTGTCGAGGTCAGGGAGTAGTGTAACTGCCCAGAACAACCGAGTGTCCAGATCCAGTAGTAATGCCACAACTCGGAATAGTACGTTTGCTGCACCAGCACAAGCACCACCACCACCGCCGCCCCCCCCGCCGCCACCACCACCACCTCCTCCACCACCACCAGGTAAAGTTCCATCTCCTTGCTTATGATAGTGTACTGACTGACTGAGTTTAATTTTACGCCGCTTTTAGCAATATTCCACCAATATCACGGCGGGGGGACACCAGAAATGGGCTTCACACATTGTGCCCATGTGGGGAATCGAACCCAGGTCTTTGGCATGATGAGCAAACGCTTTAACCACTAGGCTACCCCACCGCCCCTGATAGTGTACAGTAAAGCAGCAACAAAGGTGTAGACTCTGGGCAGAAAATACTGCTTGTGGAGTGTTTGTACCTGTGTCATCAGGTACAGGTTGAACCACATTTAGTAATACAGGCTCGACTCGTAATCCTGTTGGTTTGGTGACATTTCCTCTGCGGTTATCTGATATCAGTTTTATGGTCATGCGACATCAGTTCTATGGTCATGTGATATCAGCTGAATGGGGTCATGTGACATCAGCTCTATGGTCATGTGACATCAACTTTATGGTCATGTGACATGACCTCTTTGCCTGTGTGGCATCAATCCTGTGGTCATGTGACATCAGCTCTGTGTTCATGAACATCTGACCACTGACCAATGTTTCAAATCTGAGACAGAAACCTAATTTCCTATGAAATATCAGGGATAAAATAAAAGACCCCAGAGTATTTAACTGGTCTATTTTCATCAGTATATTGTGTCATTTTCAGTAACAAGTACACCCAAGTAAAACAATGTTACAATTAGGAGATAAACATCGCGTGTTGGCCAATTTCCGGGTGTTATTGAGTATTTGAAGCACAGGAAATTATTTGGAACCGTCGGCGTCAGCCGGAGGTTTCAAATGAAATATTCCTGTGCTTCAAATACTCAATAACACCCCGAAATTGGCCAACACATGATGTTTATCGACATTGTAAACACAAAAGTAAACCAAAAGGTCTACACACGTTTTTGTGTCTGCACTCATTGACATCGAGTACAGGTACAGCAATGAAATGTCATCAGCCTGCCGTTTCGGCTGTCTCCCATGGTAGCATCTGGAACTGGCCATTTGTGACGTCATTCGGACTTTACGTCACAATATGATTTTAATGACGTCATCACAGCTGACGACGTAACAATACAATGGTGTGAGCGATGTTTGTATGTATTAATACGCAGCGAATTTCCAGGAATCGAATACCATTTGATCACGTTTTTCAACCAATCAGATTAAAGAACACAGTGACTTTTGGTTTACAATGTTGGTTTATATGTTTCCATTCTCCTACTATTGTTAAGTCTGTATGACATATTGTCTGCATACTGTTCCGATTCCACAGGTCCCAGCAGTAAGATAGAGCCGGGCGGCATGAACGTGAAGAGGATCAACTGGGAGAAGCTGGACAACAACATTGTGGAGAACACAATATGGAGAAATGTCAATGTGAGTAGTTCCAGAGACTAATTGATATGGAATGTTAATATGAGTAGCTTCGGAGAACTTGCTGGAATATCAATGTGAGTAGCTCTATGAATATTGGGTCCTGCAAGGCCAAAACAGTTTTCAGAAATACATCCGTCTAATATCTAACAATTATGTTTATTATATATGGTCCCTGCTACTATCTTTTAAAGAAACATGACTCCAAAGACAGTTTGCACATAGACACAGATGTTTAATATTATAGAGAAATATAGTTAGAAATTGCACTTGAATCTAAGGGGTTCACATTCACAATATTCATCCAATCAGATTAAGTGATTTTTTCTGTTGAAGTTCAATCCTGCAGCCATTCAGTTCACACAGAGCTGTCCTCATTTGTTTGATAGTAACTATTGAATATGTTCTGCACATACATACAACTACAGAATTTCAATTTGGGTCCTTATCTGTGTATTTCATGTGATAAATACAATACTGACTGGATGTAACTACTCGTAGGGCTGGCTAAAAAGATCAATAACCAGAACAATTGTCAATACCATTATTAATGAATATCAATATGAAAATTGTGTCATTGATAATATTCTACATAAAATTTGGTGATAAAATAAAGTTTCAATATATGCACACAATACTCAAGGTTAGGTCTTTATTAAATAATCATTATGCTGTTTTATTAGTTATCTGTGGATGAACATGTCACCACTAACACCAGTGATGTGAAATGTATACATTTTTTCCGACAATTTTTGGCATTTTTGCTCAAAGTTACTTCTATTCATCAATAATTGATTGATATTTAGTTAACGATTATCAGTCTCTGTGATCTCTACCGATTGGGTAATGATTATCCCTGTTGTAAAAGCATGATGCAGTTCATCTCTGGCATTGATAGATTATCATCCTGCATGACAATGTTCCAACTTTCAGAAAGACAATGCTTCCCTGGAAAAGATGGTCAAGCATATGGAGCTGGAAAATCAGTTTAGTACCAAGATGCAGAAAACACGTAAGTCACCCAGATTAGGTTGAGAGGGCTTCTTTGTCACGTGTGAGGGCACAGATCACAGCTTTGTAGTAAGATTAGCGTTAGAATCTGGAACTGATCCATTAGTGCCAACATGTATCAATAGAAGTAGACTGACTGACTGAGGTTGGTTTTACGCCGCTTTTAGCAATATTCCAGCACCATCATGGCGGGGGACACCAGAAATGGGCTTCACACATTGTACCCATGTGGGGATTCGAACCCGGGTCTTCGGCGTGGCGAGCCAACGCTTTAACCACTAGGCTACCCCACCGCCCCAATAGAAGTAGAAGAAACTATTACATATGGACAGTGCTCTACATGCATCATCAGAACTTGGGACCTAAATGTACCGGTACTACCACAAAGAAAACTGATCATGTTCTAAAGAAAGCTCCTACCAGGGGCGTAGCTACCACTATGAAAAAAGGCCCGGGCTTACACATGATTGTTGCTAAAAAGGTTGGACAAGCCCTCCATGCTATCTAAATATAAAGTTTTGCAACCTATCCGGCTTACATAAAACAATTGGCTTGCTACACGCCTGCCTACCTATGGTCTTTCTGTTTGTCTATTTGTTTCTTATTTATACTGAATGCAGTAATTTCCCAATATATGATGCTGGTCTGTAAATACTCAAGTCTGGACCTGAGAATCCAGTGACTGACATCATGAGCATCAATCCACATGATTGGTATACTATGACATGTATCAACTCGATCCTGTTAGTCACCTCCTGCGAAAAGCATCTGCTGCTGAAGACCATTTCTAAAACAGATTTTCACTTGTCCCTACCTATGGCAGCAAGAATGGATGTTAATTTGATACTAAGATTCAGAAGACATGGGTACAGGGCTTTTTGTCAAAATATTTAGACAAAGTCCATCACTTATGGTCTGTCCCTTGTCTGGATTTCAGATTTTCATGAGAAGCGACAGGAGCTCTGTATTCTTAATCCAAAGAAAGCCTACAATGTGTGTAAGTATATCCCATCCACAGCAGTTTGTCCTGAAATTATGTAGGATTATTTGTTTGTTTTTTAATGCCTCACTGAGCAATATTCAAGCTATATGGCTACAGTCAGTAAATAATCAAGTTTGGACCAGACAATCCAGTGATAGACATCTACGCAAATGGGATACAATGACACCCGATCCCATTAGTCGCTTCTTACAACAAGCATGGGTTGCTAAAACCAATTCTATCCCAGATCTTCACAAGTTGAAATTTGTCTGAGGTCATGAAGGTTGAAGTATTTGTACCCACAAAAAGTTCAAATGGACACAAAAAACATTCCACTGAGGCTCTGTGAATCATTTCTTCAGGCTCTCCTTGTCAGATTAAGTTTGCCCAGTCATGAAGTTGAGTTTCACAAATACCTAGGTTTTATTAGTTTCTGGTACCATGGTAGTCAGTGTTTTTACTGAATGTCCCAAGGACTGGCAAAGTGATAGATCCAGGTAAGTGTTGGGAGCAGGTTCTGTCCCTGTACTGTATTCTGCTGTCTGTTGGCAGCCATTCTGATGGGTCACCTGAAGATGACCGGAGCCAAGATGAAGGAGGCCCTGTATCGGATGGATGAACACATCTTGACTCCGGAGCTCATTAAACAACTCCTGGCTTACTCTCCGAATGGGACAGAGGTAACCTCAAGACTTTTACCAAATATTTGTACCAGAATGATGTAGATTTCTGTTGTGAAAGTCTAGTTTAGGAAAGTCAAGTATACTACTCAAGAAAAGCTAAGGTCCACCGGTTCTATTTTAATCTGTCATGTAATGGAAAGGTTACCTGTAGTAACATTAAAGAATCATGTATCCTTAACCTTTAATAAGTGGTTTGAAATGCAAATTTTAAAGGGGGCGACATTGAGACCAGTTGCCAATCCTAATTCAAGCAATTCAAAACCACAATTTTCTGCTGACTCGGGTATTATGTGAATCAGTCTAGCAGTGAAAGATTACTTGTATCTTAAATCCACAGAGATAACGTCTCACTTCCACACATTGTACTTACTGGAATGTTTAAACCTGAAGCATACATAGGACCAGGCAATGAATTATATTCCCTCTTGAAAGAAAAAGTTTGTTTTTCGCAATACCATGTAATCGTGTTCACTTTGACACTGAAACATTAGATTGACACTGATTCACTTGCCACTTATTAACCCACTGAAAATAACAGGCCACAAGATGCATGAAATGTTAGAGGTAAGTTTTGCACTGAGACACTGTGGAATTATGCAGTCAAGGATTGTTAAGATCTTGTAATCATGAACTCTAAAACTCCCCACATCACTTTTCCTCCATATTTACTTACGAAATATACTTTATTTTTAAAACAATGGCACTGACTGAGGAAGAATTGTCGTGTCCAAGGTTACATGATTACAATAGGCTAAAAAAGAAATGGTTTCTATCGATCATTGGCGTGTCACTTTATCCTTTGTATCAGTCTTTTTTCTCATTGATTTATTTTTTTCAAATTCCTCTTGTGTTTCTGTTATCCATGCTTGACAGTTGACATTATATTCAAGAGCCACGTTCAATGTGTGTCCAGTTTTGTTTACTGGTATGACTGGTGGGGACAAAATATATATTGTACCTCAGACGCTCATCACCATTCTTTATTTTTTTAAACTAACAATTTCTTTATTTTTTTAAACTAACAATATGTAAAATAATTCTTCTCAGCTCCTCACGTTTGCGAAAAATGTTCCCCAAAACATTTCTAGTAGGCAGCCTAGCAGTGAAGGAATTGACACACCAAGACTCAGGACTGACTGACTGACTGAGTTTGGTTTTACGCCGCTTTTAGCAATATTCCAGCAATATCACGGCGGGTGACACCAGAAATGGGCTTCACTCATTGTACCCATGTGGGGATTCGAACCCGGGTCTTCGGCGTGACGAGCCAACGCTTTAACCACTAGACTACCCCACCGCCCCCAAGACTCAGGAAGTGTGACCCATTGTTTCAAGTATTCTTTTGATGTAGGTCAACATATTTTTTCTGTTATGAAGATTCATACAGCTTATTCATCTATTTTTTTTAACCCACTCTTGTCAGATGGCCAGCTATGGTGATTTCAAGGGAGACATTGAAGATCTTAGCAAACCTGACCAGTTCACGTATGAGGTAATCCACTAGTTTGCCACGCACATGCTTGATATGGCGCCACAAGGTAGATGAAGCACTCATACAAGCAGCATGCAGGCTTGGGCCACTAGTGTTCTATGTTTCGCACATAAGTCACCTGATAAGGAAACCAGTTTGTAAACGTGGATGTTGAATATGGAGAAGTCAAGGAGCTAAAAGTACCATCTCCTTGCTGTCTTAGACATTTTTAAGTGTTAGGGTGAAACGCTGTAGAAAATGTAAAATCTAACTCACTCATTCTGGGAATGTGATGAATGGCCCTACTACTGCTGCCCTTCCTAAACAAACAGGATTATTACTTGCAGAATTATTTTGTAGTTGTTTAACTGATACAATTTGATTTTCATTGTGAGAATACAGGAACCATTTTTCCTTGTATGATGTCATTTGATTTCGTGATGACCCTTTGTGGTTTTAATCTCCAGATGAGCAGGATTCCAGGGTACCAATCGCGACTCCACGCTATGCTGTTCAAGACAAACTTTGAGGAGAAAATCTCTGAAATGAAGGAGGTAAAAAGTTATCTCCCCTTAATACGTTGGTCCATCTTGGATGATCCATGTTGGGTATGGGTCCAGAAATCAAAGACACATATACCATTACAAACCACAAAGTAGGTTTTTCCAACTGTCAGCATTTACTGGATCCCATGAACACTCCACCTGCTATTGTAGTCTTCGACCTGTGAAGATCCGGGTTAGAATTGATCTTCAGTAACCCATGCTTGTCGTAAGAGGCGACTAACGGGATCAGGTGGTCAGACTCGCTGACTTGTCTGACACGTGTCATCGTATCCCAGTTGTGTAGATTGATGCTCATGCTGTTAATCACTGGATTGTCTAGTCCAGTCTTGATTATTTACAGACTGCTGCCATATAGCTGTAATATTGCTGAGTGCGGCATAAAACTAAACACAATCACAATATTGTAGTGTTTAGTATACAAGCCAGTCACATCTAAACAATGTCAGCAACGTCTGTGAGAACTGTATCAACATATCCAATATATTCAGACAATATTCAGATTTTACTTGAACTGCCTTGAAAACATTGTCAGCTTGAGCCCCTATTTTCTCCCTTTACGAAGGTTAACCTTAACTCCCATTCTTTAACATTGCACTAAGGTTTCCTTCGTGACTTACAATCAACATAGTGCTTTGTGAAAGGAGGCTCTGCATTTGGTACATTTGTTTGCATGAACTTCAGAACAGTTGTGAGCCTGTATATTTTAAACTAATCATTTGACCTTTTTTCAGAATCTGCATTTCATCAAGACAGCATCAGTAGAAATGAAAGAGAGCAAGAAGTTGGCAAAGATTTTAGAGGTAAGACAAAATATTGTAGAGTAATAGAACTGTTGCGACACGGCTATATGTTTGTTTAAGATGATTTTTGTCCCTAAACCTATGATGAAGTTATATCATTATCACTGACAAAAAGGGAGAACTTTGTTAGAGGAGTGAAGAGACATCATGTCAGCTCTGAAGACCCTTCACAACAGTCATGTTTAACTGATTAAATTAAGATTTGATTTAAACAGTTAGATGAGTGTCAAACCATCTGACTGTGTTAATGCTTTGCCTGTTTACAGACTGGATATTTTTACTTTTGCAATCCAGTTATGATTCAATCTTTCATGTATAAAGCAAAATGGCATCAAAGTATGTTGTCACCGTCAACAATGACTGTTAACATCAGTGAAGAATTGTGCCCTATGATCACGTGATGCCTTGTTTCAGCTGATCCTGGCGATGGGGAACTACATGAACAAGGGCAACCAGAGAGTTGGAGAAGCAGCTGGCTTCAGAGTCACCTTCCTCACACAGGTAAGTCAACACACATCCCTCTCATCATCTACAGGTAATGATAGGCCATCTCTGAGATGTACAAGATGCCATAGTTTGCTTTGCAGAGTTTTGTCCCTTTGTCAAGCCAGAATCTAATGAGTTCACCCTAATTACGAGTCTGCTTGCGTGGTTTACCAACCTTATATGTCTGCAACTTGATCAGTTCACTTTTTGACCTCCCAAATCAAGGTGACACAATGATAAAACTATAATGCTTGACTAAACAGCAGTAAAAATTAACATGGAGATGCAAGCATTGATAATGATATTTGTTGAATGGTCATTAAGAAGTGTTTCCAGGGCTACAGATAATGGCCGTATTGTCGTATGTACGGATAAAAAATAGACACAATACAGTAGGAAATAATTTAGAAAACGCAGCAGATATCGCACCACAGCAATTGTGTACGGTCTTAGCATCATTTACAGACATATTTATCTGAAAAAGTATTGTTTAATTGTTTATTGACCATTTACACCAGAGTAGCAATGCTGTCATGCATATATGAAACGAAGCACAAGTTTAATGATTCACCATTAAATTCCATTCAGTACTCTAAATGTACTTTTATTGTTTTCCAGTACTCATATATTGAAAAAATAAGGAGTACGTACTCCTGATGTTGAAAAATGATCTGGAGTCCTGGTTTCGCTACCGAATGATTTCCAGTTTGACTCTTGTTTAAGAAGATTTTTGCAAACAGCAGTAAAAACTAAACAGTAAATATATTGTGATATTTGTTGGAAGTTCTAACAGAAATGTTTGACTTCAGAACCAATTCCAGTTTCATGTGTGAGACATCATTACAACGTCATTTATGTGATTAATATGTTTCAATATCTCTCAAGAATTCAAGTGATCGATTCCACCATATCCATCGATGAGTGAAATAAAACTGTGGTTTGTCGATATGGAGGCAGTTGTATATGATGGTAATGTTTATATCCCAGCTGGACGTTACAAAGACAAGCGACAACAAGCTGACCTTCCTCCACGTACTGGTGGACACCATCAAGACCAAGTTCCCGGAGCTCATCACACTCAGCGAGGAAATTAACTCAGTTTCTAAAGCTAGTAAAGGTACTGCTCCTTGTTATATCTTGTTTCAGATCTCTCTCCCATACATAGCAGACCATGTATTAAGGTTAAGTGTATTTCCCCTAACTGAAATGACATGTAGTTTGTCCGCATCCTCTCATAGAGAGTAGGGCTGCGCAATATAACCGGTTTACCGGTATTTACCGGTTCAGACATGAAAACGATACGTATTACGATACGCAGATCGAAAACCGGTATTTTAACATGCATTCGGAAAACTTCGTAACACTCGGAAATCTTCATTCTCTTCCCACAGAGGTTACTCCTGTCATATCTTCCTACATAACCTCTGTTCTAATACGCCATATTTCCCGTCCTCGTGAAAATCCCCTAGCGGCAAAAGATCGCAAACACAAATTATCTCCCTTCTTTCTATCCAATCAGAACACGGTTACATCGAATTTAGATTCAATTTGACTAACACAAGCAAATGCGGGCCACAAATATCCCCATCTGCCGGGAATTGTGTTGATGTTACACACAAGACGCTTAATGGCTAGCTTGTCCGCTTGTCAACGAGGGCTATGGAGACGCCATTGATACCATTACATGACTGAGTTCTGTCTAGAAGAAACGCTTGGCGCATCGCTACCGGAAGAGGTTCTAGTTTTCCGGGCATAATGGAAATTACCGAGGCCTTGCGAATGATCACTTTTGAAACAACGCCGCTGATTGCACAACTAAATCGGGCTTGTCTCCAATCACGAGCCCTTGAACGCTGACACCAAGAAAGGGTCGTATTAGAACAGAGGTTATGTAGGAAGATATGACAGGAGTAACCTCTGTGGGAAGAGAATGGGAAATCTTCAGATATTTCCGTTTTTTTAAATTATTCCTTTCTTTGTTTCATTTGTGCCAAACATTATTTACATTTTTATTTTGTCATGATTAAAAGTTTTTATTAACGCCTAATCAAGCATTGTGATTTTGTTGTGTTTTTACTTTGTAAATCAAGCATTAACTCGATTATACGTATTTTTTGTTTAAGAAAACTTCTTGCAATATATTGCAATACATATCGCAATATATGCTTTCGCATCACAATTTATCGCAATATGAAAATTCCTTGCAATACCCACCCATAATAGAGAGGAAGGTCGATGGTTCTATCCCTATCTGCATCATGCCAAAAGATGTTCAAAAATGGTACTTGGTACCATCCTGGGCCCCGTTTCACAAAGCTCTCGTAGGCCACGACTATCGTAATTCTATGTTATAGTATAGGAGGTAGGTATGCTACGAGGAAAGTTACGAGATCTTAGGCGTACGAGAGTTTTGTGAAACGGGGCCCTGGTGCTGTGAATTAACAGAATAAAACAAGCACTGGTTAGTCAGAGTCAGTATACTGTAACTGAGTTCAGTAACCATGTTGAACTGCAGCATGGTGTCTGAGTGGGCCTGCACTTTATAAGCAGCATTAGTCTGGATTAGTACTCAGTAATTGATCATTTTGAACTGTTTGCTAAGCTGACCCACATAGTAACAATGAGTATGCTATAAGTGTTGACAATGAGTATGCTATAACTGTTGACAATGAGTGCTATAAGTGTTGACAATGAGTATGCTATAACTGTTGACAATGAGTATGTTATAAGTGTTGACAATGAGTATGCTATAACTGTTGACAATGAGTATGTTATAAGTGTTGACAATGAGTATGCAAACTGTGACAATGTGTATGTAATAACTGTTGACAATGAGGATGTTTTAACTGTAGACAATGAGTATGCTATTACTGTTGACAATGAGTATGCTATTGAGTATGCTTCAAGTGTTGACAATGTTGACAATGAGTATGTTATAAGTGTTGACAATGAGTATGTTCTAACTGTTGACAATGAGTATGCTTCAAGTGTTGACAATGAGTATGTTATAACTGTTGACAATGAGTATGATTCAAGTGTTGACAATGAGTATGTTATAACTGTTGACAATGAGTATGATTCAAGTGTTGACAATGAGTATGTTATAACTGTTGACAATGTGTATGCTGTAAGTGTTGACAATGTGTATGCTGTAAGTGTTGACAATGTGTATGCTGTAAGTGTTGACAATGAGTATGTGTTAAGTGAGTGAGTTTAGTTTTAGGCCGCACTCAGCAATATTCGAGCTATATGGTGGCGGTCTGTAAATAATCGAGTCTGGACCAGACAATCCAGTGATCAGTAGCAAGAGCATCGATCTGCGCAATTGGGAACCGATGACATGTGTCAACCAAGTCAACGAGCCTGACCATCCGATCCCGATAGTCGCCCTGTACGACAAGCATGGGTTAATGAAGATCAATATTTTAACCCAGACAATGAGTATGTTATAAGTGTTAACAATGAGTATGCTGTAAGTGTTGACAATTAGTATGTTATGAGTGTTGACCACACTTATGCTGTAAGTGTTGACAATTAGTATGCTATAACTGTTGACAATGAGTATGCTATAAGTGAGGTGAAATTGGGTTTAACGTCGTGCTTGAGAATATTTCGCTCATATGACGACGTGCATGTGTGTGTATGTGTATGTGCGGCTGCTTGTACTAGCCCAGACTGAAGCTGGTTTTATAGTGCTAGCCCACTGAGATACCATACCACAGTGAAGCATGAATACCCCACTCAGAGACATTATACTGACTCCGAGCCGACCAGTCCTTGGTGTACCCATTAATGCCGAGCGCCAGGCAGGGACCAACAAGTAGCATATTTTAACGTCTCTTGGTATGACGCAGTCAGGGATCGAACCCGTGACCTTCCGCTCTCCGGGCGGACGCTCTAACAACTACACCACGGAGGCGGTCGTATGTTATAAGTGTGGACAATGAGTATGCTATAAGTGTTGACAATGAGTATGCTATAAGTGTTGACAATGAGTATGCTATAAGTGTTGACAATGTGTATGCTATAAGTGTTGACAAAGAGTATGTTATAAGTGTTGACAATGAGTATGCTATAACTGTTGACAATGAGTATGCTATAAGTGTTGACAAAGAGTATGCTATAAGTGTTGACAATGAGTATGCTATAAGTGTTGACAATGAGTATGCTATAACTGTTGACAATGAGTATGCTATAAGTGTTGACAATGAGTATGCTATAAGTGTTGACAATGAGTATGTTATAAGTGTTGACAATGAGTATGCTATAAGTGTTGACAATGAGTATGCTATAAGTGTTGACAATGAGTATGCTATAATGTTGATGCTATAAGTGTTGACAATGAGTATGCTATAAGTGTTGACAATGAGTATGCTATAACTGTTGACAATGAGTATGCTATAAGTGTTGACAATGAGTATGCTATAACTGTTGACAATGAGTATGCTATAACTGTTGACAATGAGTATGCTATAACTGTTGACAATGTGTATGTTGACAATGAGCATGCTATAAGTGTTGACAAAGAGTATGTTATAACTGTTGACAATGAGTATGCTATAACTGTTGACAATGTGTATGCTATAAGTGTTGACAATGAGTATGCTATAACTGTTGACAATGAGTATGCTATAAGTGTTGACAATGAGTATGCTATAAGTGTTGACAATGAGTATGCTATAAGTATTGTTTCTATTGCAGTGTCCAACGTTCTGCTCCAGCAGGAGTTACTGGATCTCAGAAAGGCAGTACAGGTACAGCACCTTCATTCTATAACCATACATTCTGACAGGATGGTATATAAATATAGCAGGTTCCTTTTAACAATACATAAACAGTCAACTTGTACAAGGTCACTTGAATCAATGTCAAATGAGATTTATCTAACCTAACATTTAACAGATTTATGTCATCATGTTCACCCATTCACAGATATAGCCTGTCAAATATCTCACAAATATATGTAGATGTTTGATTTTGTTTGTTTGTTTGTTTGTTGCTCTACTCCTGACTCAGCAATATTCCAGCTATATGGCGGCAGTCTGTAAATAATCGAGTCTGGACCAGGCAATCCAGTGATAAACAGCATGAACATCGATCTATGCAATTGTGATATGATGACATGTGTCAACCAAGTCAGCGAGCCTGACCACCCGATCCCGTTAGTCGCCTCTTATGACATGGGTTGCTGAAGACCAATTCTAACCCGGATCTTCACGGGTCTAGATATATGAAGTTTGTCTGATGCTTCCATGGTAATTACAGGAAATCTCCAGCACCCTGGAGAAGATGAAGGGGCACCAACCACCTGCCGGCATCACCGACAGATTCAATGACGTCATTGGTGTATCCTTTACTGTTAGTAACCACTCAGTATTACATAAGGTTTCAGTCATACAAGCGTCAAGAAGATAAACTGCATCAAGCAGAAAATGGGATCAATTGTCCCAGTGCATTCATTTGGGAACAACTTATCTCATGCAGACATCTTTCTGTGTGATGAATTGTACTGCCACCTGTTAAAATAATCCAGTATTTGTATCAGCTGTGGCAGCTTTGAAATTACTTTTCATTATCTTCTGAGTTACGAAAATATGATTGAAATGAATGCTACAAAATGGATAAAATTTCTCATTGTGCTTACATTGAAATGGTAATAGTGACAAGCGAGATACACAGTAGGACTCCCTTCTGAACCTTAGATCAGCTACTATATGTTTAAACTAACCCTCTTACAGACCAGGGGCGGTGGGGTAGCCTAGTGGTTAAAGCGTTGGCTCGTCACGCCGAAGACCCGGGTTCGAATCCCCACATGGGTACAATGTGTGAAGCCCATTTCTGGTGTCCCCCGCCATGATGTTGCTGGAATATTGCTAAAAGCAGCGTAAAACCAAACTCAGTCAGTCAGTCTTACAGACCAGTAGACAGATGCGAGAATACATATACCAGACACTGGTTGTTTACAACCTCAGTTGAAGTATAGGTGGATTTTGTTACTTCTGTTTACATAGTATCATTTCTATTTACATTTAATATATGTTCTGATGTTAAAAAAATGATTATGTATGTTGCTTCTTGAAAGTACAGAGTAATGATGTATGCATACCTTCTAGATAATATCTAGAAGGTATGCATACATCATTACTCATATTATGTCACCAGCGTCATCATCAAAGGGAGATAATTGAGATCAAATTGTGTAATATTTATATGACACTACAAAATCTTTAATTTACTTTTGATTCAGTTAGTTTTATATTGTGAAAATGTCCCTTTAGGTAAAATTTCCTCATGTAGGTATAGTTAGTTTTGCAAGGTACACATGCTTCTGGAATAGTTTTATCAATATTTTTCCTGAGTTTCCCACAGAAATTCATTGGGCGTGCCACCAGTGAGGTGCAGTCGATGTCCCGTCTTCAGACTACCGCCATGGAGGCGTTCCACGACATGGTGCAGTACTTCGGGGAGGATCCCAACAAGATGGACACAAGCGACATGTTCGGAATATTCAACCAGTTCGTTATTAAGTTTGAGGTGTGTTGTGGGAATTATGTTCCTCCCCATACTGACAGCCCTCGTGTAAATTTCAGCTTAGAGTAGATACCAACTACATGTTATGGATGTTGATGGGTTTATGGAGGAGGTGTAGGTTGGTTGCGATAAAATGAATTTAGGGGATGACCGTCTGATGTTGTCAGATGTGAAAGCTGAGGTTAGATTTGTTTGAAAACAATCATCTGTCCCCAAGAATGTCAGATAAAAGATTAAAAATAAATTCCCATCAGATTATATGTCAACGAAGAAAATGTTTGAAGGACATGCATGTCATCAGAAACATTGTGTGCTGTAGGCCTCCCCACCTGACTCCATAGTCGGGGGGTTTGGGGGGAATATTGATCTTGTTTATCACTGAGGTTATCGCTGAGACATCGCCGGGTGTTATAGACTTTTTTCATTTATGTTTTTCTATCATTGTATATAGTCAGCGGAATTGTTCAAATTGTATTTACATTGTATAGACTTTGGGAATTATGATTCATGCCTGAGATGGTGCCAAGACAATTTCAGACACTGTTGTCTATTACATTGGTCTAAAGGTTTGTCATTTGATAAACCTCCATGTGAAATCTAGGTAGATTGTTGGCTGTTAGGCATGTTTTCTGCCATGTGTTTTATGTATATGTTAACATTAACAGATACCAATATTCTAGGAATATGCAACAAGAATATTTCAAACATTTTTGAGGGGCATGACAAAATACGATATATAACTCCAATCAAACACTCCCCCAATAATAAACAGCCAGTCCCTTAACAGATTTTGACGACATGTTTTAAAGCACCTCCACGTGTCTTCTCAGAAGTTAGGACGTACAATATTGAACAAACTTTATGGATAACAACTTCTATTTTGAGAGTGTGACGTTTTAATACAGATTCTTGCATCTTTGTCAAGCAGGAATGTAAAGGACGCAGGTGTATCTAAACATCGCAGTCATGAAATAAAGGAATTGTTATCCATAAAGTTTTCTCGATATTGTACCTCCACATGCGGTATATTAGTCCTTGATATGAAGAATCATGTGTTCTTTCATTTCTTCACAGTAGTACATACACATATGCCAATGGAGCCCAACTTCACTGCACTATTCTATCAGACAGTGTAATGATATCTGTTTTACAAATTGACTTCATGATGAAGTCACTTTTATGACATCTGTTGCAGCTAATCAATATAAGTCAACTATATCAGAACATGTAACTCGATGCTATCTGTAACTACAGTGTAGTGAATAGAACATTATACCTCACACTGACTACCAGGTTCATTACACATGGATGTTCATTACGAAAGGTTATAAAGGTGTTCTTTATATGTATATGTATATGTAGATAGAACTTTCATTTATTTCTGCATTATTACAGAAATTAAATTAATTTAAATTTCTAATCCTTTCCTTCATTACAAGCTGATTTTATCATACATGTATATATATTTTCATTTTCGTCACTAATGCTGGTGTATACAGTGGAATTTCATACATTCAAGTCCAAATATTATGAGAGTGGAAATTAATATTTTTTTCTCATATATCTTTTTTTAAAAATATTACTTTTTATCCCAGCCAAAAGAGATACCTGTTGGCAATATTAATGTCAAATATACCCCAAAAATCTTTGAACTGCATTTAGAAGTGATACAGATAAAGGAGGAAATTTTATGGATGTCAACGTCTGCAATATGAGGAACATGTCCTATTTTCAGAGTATAGTCTTACTCTTCCATCCTTCATTATCTGATGTAGGAGAAAGAATATACTCTAAAACATAGAGTTCCTTATTTGTCATAACTTGATATTCATAAAATTTCCCCTTCATTAGGAATAGCAGTTATTTAGTTCTTCACTCGCCAAAGTTCCCAAATGATGTCCTGATTGACCACCAATGGATCCACCCAAGAGGTCCTTATTAGCAGAAATCTTCTAATGAGACCATCATCCAGTTCCATCTGCACTACTTTCTGCTTGCATGTGTTACACCTTGAAATTCACTTTGCTATAATTGTTCATCTGTCAAAATTATGAATGCTTCACCTACTATAATTTGTTTGTTTTGATTTTTTCAGAAGGCACATCGAGACAATTTGCAGCGTCACTGACATTAGCCGCCACTCACTTTTGCCACAACCCTGCACATTTGATATGGCCTCACGTTTGAGTTGATCTGTTGAGCTTCAGCATGTGAACTGTACCAAACACGTCCATCTATGTTGGCAGTGCACAGGAAAGCCATCTATGTATGTCTTTGATTGTAGTTGGTGTACAGGAAAGCCATCTATGTATGTCTTTGATTGTAGTTGGTGTACAGGAAAGCCATCTATGTATGTCTTTGATTGTAGTTGGTGTACAGGAAAGCCATCTATGTATGGCTTTGATTGTAAGTGGTGTACAGGAAAGCCATCTATGTAAGTACACTGTACCCAGTGTTCAGGAATGCCCCAGCATGACAATTCCGCCAACACAGGAATATCGACACCACGGGTCATCTCCAAACTACAGCTTTATCTGGAGTATGTCATGTATGATAGCTTGATTTGGGGAAATAACAAGCTAGTACCAGATTTTCACAAGTCTCAGAAAAGGTACTAATAGCTTTTTTATCCTTGGAACTCTTGTACAGACCCCCTTTTTGACAAAGGAATCCTAGCACTATGATTATCGTAATATTTGTTACATACTGAACATGTTTAGTTATAGCAAAACTGCTTCTGAGAATTGCATAAACAGTGTTAGACATTTTATATAATGTGTCGAGGGACCCATGCAGTTTTCTGTTTTAATACTTGAATTAGAAGTGAGTGAGTGAATTTAGTTTTACGCTGCACTGAGCAATATTCCAGCTATATGGCAGCGGTCTGTAAATAATCGAGTCTGGACCAGACAATCCAGTGATCAACATCATGAGCATTGATCTACACAATTGGGATACGATGACATGTGTCAACCAAGCCAGCGATCCCGACCACCCGATCCTGTTAACCGCCTTTTATGACAAGCATGGGTTACTGAAGGTTCATTGTAACCTTCACAGGTCCTTGAATTACAAGACCCGAAATCATTTATATTCAGCATTGGTTATGTCAAGGACCCATTGACATTCATTTTAGATCATATTCATGTCACGTTAGTTACCTTACTACTAGTAAGGTGTAACAATAGCCTAGTGTCACAATAACTCCATTTGTACATACCATGTATCTCCAGAAACTGTAGGATTAGGCCACCAGTTGATTCCATTAATAAACATGCTTCACATTCCACACTCGAGCCTTTGATTGTAGCCACATATCTGAACCAGTTCATATCCCAGGACACCTTGAAAACTGATGGATGTTTTAAGCATCAGAATCAGCTGCAGTGTCATCCCTCTTGTTGGCCCTGCTGCTGCTGCTGCTGTACAAGCTCTCTTATGCAAGGAACATTGTCCTCATCAGCAAGTATATTGGCATTGTCACTTCATATCTCATGCTTGTATTGTTATCAGCTGTATTCAATGGATGGCCAGTACGAGCTACCAAGACTCTGCCTCACCTTGGGAGTCTTACTGTAGCCCATTTACTTAAAATGTCGAAATTCTGGTCTGATTAGTGAAATATTGAAATTCAGATTTTGTCCTTGTAAATGCTACGTAGTCCTGTAAATATGCATTTTGTATAGTATTACACCTAGATATCTCACAATAGATGAAACATTCAGTGTGCATGTATAGATACAATGAGAACAAAAGCAATATGCAGTCACTGCAGATTTCTAGTCACCATGCAGACAGCTTGGTGTTATTATCTAGCAATGAATATTATCAGTTAAAACCAGTCATATAGTACAAGGCTAGTGAGTGATACATGAATGTTTTAATACCTAAGACTGTTCAGAGAAACCTCATGAAGAATAATGAACAATTGCATGTATGTATGGTTGAATACTGATATTATTAGTTGTTATCTGTATGGTAACAATATCACTCTTGCGACCTTGGAAAGGGAGAAAGAAGCGACAAGATAATAATCCTAATGACATTCCTAATAACATTAATTGTAGTGGCAGTCTTACCACAAGGCTGTGGGTTGTAGCAGCATTAGGCAATATTGGTGCTTGGTCACAGAGAGTAAGTTCAATGTATACCCATGTAGAGAACTAAACTAGGGTAAACAAGTGACCACCCTTTCCATGTGGCAACCTTCAGGTCATATCATGTTTGTGCACATTTTAATACCGGTACTTGCAGGCAACATTCCACAGTATTTTTTATTAGTATATTGTGCTATGTATTGTTACTGTTGTTTTTTGTTAATTAGTTGTTTTGTTAATAATATTATATTTTTAAAGTACGCAGTTACATTTGAATAGAGATATTATGGAAGAAAATTGATTAATATCCGTCCAGTATTCATCTACCAAACTTCATATCAGCAGTGATACATTTACATTACAACCTGACAGAATTTATGGGGGGGGGATGACTTTTATGCAGAAGCATGTACAATGTGAATGACCCTCCCTAAAATTTAGGTACATAGTAAGTGACACCCCCCTTGCATATCATGTACAAAATCAATTACCCCTCCCCCTTCCCATAATTCTTTAACATAATGATTAAATATTTATATGTACAATATCGCTGCCCCCAAGTAAGTACATGAGTACAAAATTGCTGACACCCCCACCCCCAGAACAAAATGGGTGGAAACACACACACACACACACACCCTAAAATCATCATCACCCCCCCCTAGCAATAAATTATGAACGGTCCCTAAGAACATTATGAATCCCCACATTATAGTTCTACTATGTCCCTGACAACAATGTACATTTGTTCATTCTATCATGTCTAAATGATCATTACATAACTTCAAGCATCAGGACAAACTGGGTGGTTTCAAACCTGTTTTTATCCAGTACAACTAGCAACTAGTATGTATATGCAATTCTCAATTCAAGACTAGTTGCAAGTCGTATTATCTTATTTAACATATGTTATTTGTTTGGGAGAGGGGTGGGGCAAAGTATGATATTTATGATATGGTCGTTGTGTATAATATGCATATTAATTATTTTATTTTACACAAATTCCGTTATGGGATTATGTACATGTGCAAATCGTTTAGTTTGTTGATTTATGGCACACTCAGCAATATTCCAGCTGTATGGCAGTCATGTGAAATGAGCAGCTTTGTAAAATATTTATAGTCACTTTTAAGTGGTCATACATACATGCTTGATACCAGAGACATCATTTTATTTATTGCCCCCCAAAATCTTAATATGTTGCAGGATATTGGTGGCAATTCCTGTTTTTTCTAAACCATTTAGTTTGTCTGACTCTCTAATACTGTTTGTTTGTTTGTTTGTTTGTTGTTTAACGCCTCACTCAGCAATATTCCAGCTATAATGTGGCGGTCTGTCAATAATCAAGTCTGGACCAGACAATCCAGTGATTAACAGCATGAGTATCTGTCTACACAATCTGGATATGATGTCATGTCTACCAAGTCAGCGAGTCTGACCACCCAGTCCTGTTAGTCGCCTCTTACAAGGATGGGTTGCTGAAGATCAATTCTAACCCAGATCTCACAGGTACTCACCCATACTGAATTGTACAGTTTGTAGATTTCTTAACATCCAAATCCAAATGGTATATGTTCCTGATCCACTAAGGTACTTGAGGATCAAACATAAGATGTTTTTGTATATTCATTTGTAATTAGATTTTTAAATTTCATTTTTCATTGTTTATTTGCTTGTATTTCCTTAGCTGTCAATAAATATGTTTGAATTTGAAAAGAACTCTTGCATTTTGACACCACACAAGATTTATTTTATCTAATTCATCTTTGCAGATTGTTTGAAATAAAGCATTTATAATTAGCTCAATGAAACCAGCTGTGACTGGTTAATCACCATGATGTAAAATTTCATAATCCAGATATCTTGAGGTCATGTTGTTGTAAATGACCTCATCTGCTTGTCATACATAGTTGCTGAGTTTATTATCAGTCGCACGCCACACTCAGCAATATTCCAGCTATATGGCAGCGGTCTGTAAATAATGAAGTCTTGACCAGACAATCCAGTGATTAACATCATGAGCATCGATCTATGCAATTGGGATATGATGACGTGTCAACCATGTCAGCGAGCCTGACCACAATTCTAACAGGGATCTTCACAGGTGCTCTCAGTTTGTTTGTTGCTAGTGTGGTACTCAGCATTGTCAGCCAATGAGTTAATGATTGACCACCCATGCTACTGCTGTTTAATGACAAACTGTCCAGCAAATTATTAGGGTGCTGGTTTCATTTCAATCTGTGGCATGCATCGGTTTCATGGGTCCACATTCTATGGAATGTTTTTTTGTTTGTTTGTTGTTTCATATGGCACTCAACTATATGGCAGTGGCCTGTAGATAATCTGGACTAGTCACTCCAGTGATTGACAGCATGAGCACCAATCAGTGCAAATGGGATACGATGACATGTGTCAACCAAGTCAGCCAGCCTGACCACCGATCCCGTTAGTTGCCTCTTACTACAAGCATTGGTTGCTGAAGACTAGTTCTAACCAGACCTTCACAAGTCCAGCATATGCAATTAGATTTCTAAATGGTATGACATATGTAAAGTCCAATATGTCAAGATATCTGTGTTTAAATGAATTCAACACAAACTGTTCTCAGATCAAATGTTGCCAATGTTCACTGTGGAAAGGATAGGGAGATACAGCACTCAGAGTCGGTTTATAACATAAGAAGACATTAATATAAGAGGCCAGCTAAATTAATGTAAAATGTTGATGAAGAAAAGTGGTAATATTTACCATTATGTATAATAGCCACTGGATTTGTGTGTATGCAACATGCGCTCTGTGACTATAACATTTGTGGAAATAATAAATACAAAATTGAGAGCATTACCTCTCAAACAAAACGTTTTGTTTGAAGTTTTACATATTACATTGTCAAGAGAAAAATTAGAAAGGCTTTTATGTTTTTTACTGGATAAAATAACCATTTGTAGAAAATTCAACCAAGAAAATGCAAATGAACGGCAAAAGCACAAACTGCTGTTTTAATTTTAAGTTAAATGAATCTTAATAAACTACCGGTATTGTTTTTTAAGTGAACCAACATTTCATAAATCTTAATCTTGGATTCACAGAAATCCCTTTTTTTATCATAACAACACACAACAAAAGCCTTTATGAATGGTCTCTTTGGGGGCTAAAATTTAGACTACTCAGAGTGAGTTTTTGTGCAAAATATGTAAGATAATGAAACAATATTAAAGTGTCACATATTACACTATTTACATACTTTATATGTTCACTCTGTTTAAATCTCCAGCCTATACGACTCAAATATGAAACGTAATATAGAATCAACGGTGTATCGGGAAAGTTACTACCGTCGTTTCTTCAATATAGTCACTGAAGCATACATAAACTGGGCTGAAAGGAAAAACATCCTCCCAATTAATATTATAGTGAAATGTGTTACATAAAGGCCAGAATTAAAGAAGACTTGAAAAATTTGTTGATATTCTTCATAAAAAGATTCCTCATATGATCTACAAGTCATGACATAAACCAAAATATGGAAGTTTTAACAAATCAACAATTTTATGACCCAATGTCCAAACTTATCGTCGCCGAAGACGCGTGTCGCTTCAGGCGGCAGGAGAAATATCAAACGAAATTCAGTGTCCATGTCTTTGTAACTCATCCATAAGATCGTTACTTCTTTTCATAACGGGATCTACATGCACCTAGGGAGCTTTGACTGGCATTTCCTGGCTTTTGGTCATACAATCTAAACAATCTGCAATATTATCTTCCGACATACGGATAGACAAATGTACAGTTCCCACTGTTAAAATAATGTATAGCATTCGGTGACGTGTACGACGGTCACTCATTGTTAAAACAAATGCATAACGAACAAATCCCCTACTCAGCTGGCGACAGGTGACTTCCGAATGCCGGAAGCGGTAATATATGGCATCCTCTGACGTCATTAATGACATCACAATGTATTGGCCGCCATTATGACGTTACCTGTAAACGGATCACATAAACAGAGGAGAAACACGTTCATGTGAAACAAAAATACACACACATCAATGAACAGGATATGTAATGTTGTCGAAGGTAAGTTGATACAGAAGTGAACACATTTGCCTCACCTTCGTTGTTTAAAAAGTGCGATATTCCAATCTTGATCGAAAAAAGCCATTATAACAAGATGGAAACGTAACCGACATTCGAGTGACACACCCCTTTGAATGTTCCGTGACTCATTCGATGCTACTCAATGTATAATACACTATTTACGTCATAAAACTGTGAAAACCTCCTAGCTTCTACCATATTAGTATCACATACCTGGATTCAAGATGGATACATGCAGATCAGAACCAGATCATTTGAATGTTGAAAGATATGAGACTGCAAAACAAAACTGAAAACCCACGTGGGCCACTGGCACTGCCGCAGCTAATATACCAGATACGTATTCTAGATCGAGTTTTTGCTTTAGGATGATATCATGTGAACTCAAAACTGGTGATCTAATTATAATCATAATTGTGAATACATGTCATGTACCATATGTATGCTGTCACATATGACTGAAATATTACCCAAGGCCAGACTTTCATTCTAAGACCTATTTGTAAAATCAAACCAGTCAGCGTAAATTTTGTAAAAGGTTGCTGTACCTTCTGAGCCACCGAAACATTATACATTGTATAATCTAAGAACGTAAAACGTCTTGGACTTTCATTATAATCGTATCAAAGATTGTCCTGCTTTTGACCGTTCTTTGTCCGCCATTTTTGCATGACAAGGCTAGATCCCACGTACATCATTTTTTATGACAACTAGGCCTCGTGGTTCATTAATGTAAAGGGTAATTTCTTATCGAAGGTCTGTGACTAAAAGACGACAGTGATAGTTACCTTATTGATTTGTTGTGTTACTACATGACAAACGTCCGGTTTCATATTGATCAACATTCGTAGTTTAATACTAAAGGGAAGTCACTCTCTTTCCACTGTTCTAGTACGTAGTCCGCGCACAGTTATCTCCCATGCAATATCAAATAACAAAGAAGTATTTATCGATTTCTTAGGGACCGACGGGTGGGGCGAGATGAGGATCCACTTACCTATTTCGAACTTGAACACGTTTAGCTGCCACAATCCGATACATGTTTAGACCATGAGCGCTTACAAATTAAGGGAGATTGTTTTTGGTTAGGTTCTAAACATTCTTTACACATTGCATGTCACGATCATATAGCTGTTATTACAATTAAACAAGTATTAAACATTTCTTGTATATTTGTTGTTTTCATCGATAGAAACTAAAACTTTCAGCCAGCATGTGGAATGGCAACTTTCTACTAGTCCTTATGAGACCCTCACCTATTTGACAGTCTGACAATGACTATAAAACATACAGTGCTAATTTCTATTATTATATTGTTTTGAGATATTTACTGTGAAAATCATGATACTAAGTATCCTAACGAGAAGTAAAAGCCACTTTAGACCTCCAACACAACGCCCTTTTGTATACATATCATCAACAGACAAGTATCATAAATCCTTGTCCCAAGAGGTACAAAAGATCACAAAAATTGCAAAGCATAACTATAGATATTTTCCTGCCACCTCTCTCCATATGAGATGTTTCCTAGTGTGTGTGTTATCAGTTCTACTCCTGCAGGTGAAGGCGGTGCACCTGCTAGGAACACTTCTGGCTATCATTAGTCTGTCACAGGTGTGTCACACCATCATCACACAGGCAGGTAAGTCCACCAGTCTCCCCTCCCAGTCCCCGACCATTCTCGGGAGAAGCGTTCTAGTAATATTTCTACTTTTAAAATGCTATATGTATTTCACATGTGATTTCTGTTAACAGTCTCTGTGTTCAACTGACTACAATAACCATCTCTGTTCATGCTAAGTTCTTGGTCATGTTCTTCATAAAACCTGCAGTTTCAAAGTCATCACGAATTAGATTGTCCACATGAAAGCGTATCAGTTATTATTGTTATTATTACATGACATATCAAGCCGAATTCAAATTCGGATCGATCTGATTTAAAATCTACGCTCGTTCCACAGCGCGACTTTACACGTTCTTAAGTCATGGGGGAGTTTAGGGGAGTTCAGAATGCATATTGATATGGACGCTTCCAGACATTAGCCCAGGTCCTATCTAAATAGACATGAGCTCTTGAAACTCATGAAGATTAGTAGAATTGTGTATTTGTTGACTTGTGAAGGTTTAATTAAATCACCTATCATTAACGAAAGCGTCTTTTTATTGGGCAGATGCGAAGGCTTTGAAACATCACATGTTAGACACGCTCGCCTTCATTCACCCATCTAACAAAACCAACTTTGTAAAGTTCTGTCTGCACCGGCACTTCTGCTCTCACAAGTCGTTCGCTCCAAGACCAGGATATTTCCACTGGCGAGATGGTACTTCAAAAGCAGAACAGGTTGGTCATCTTCATTTACGACCCAACATGATCAATGATAAAATTTATGCGATAATATGCTATAGATATTATGACAGTTTCGTGAAATGTAGCTAACTTGTGGTGTAGTAGTTGTTCAGATGTATCAGGTAATATTCTGACGTTTATCACGTTTTTCTTTTTCAGGAAGGCTTTTGGCAAACATACACATGCGTACTTAAATCGGATATAAAGCTATGTCCAAGTAAGTATCGCTTTCCCGTCCACTGGAAAAAACCAAACGGTGTCAAATTTGAATCTGTTAATTGTCACACTAAATCGTTTAAACGAAGCCAATCGACCATCAGGAAATTGAAGTCCGCTCCTCTTCTTGGCCTATATATCTTTCGGTTTGTGGAAGCATAAACACCAAACATATTACTTGGGTAGCTAGTTAAATGCAGACCACGGAAGATTCGAGTGTTCTTCAGCAACCCAGTTTGTCTTGAGAAGCGACTAACGGGATCGGGTTGTCAGGCTCGCTGACTTTGTTGTATCCCAGTTGCGAAGGTTGATGTTCATGATACGAGTATCAGCTGGAATATTTCTGAGTGGGTGTTAGAATAATAGATGCGACGGGATCACCTACTATTAATTTCGGGATAACTCAAATGAGATAAAAGAGACAACTTTAATTGTTTACAGTTGACGGCCAATGGAGTCTGTGGGTGGAGTGGTCAGCTTGTTCAGCCGCCTGTCAGGGGGTGGGGAACAGGACGAGGACCAGACAGTGCAATAACCCCCTCCCAGCTAATCATGGCCTCGGGTGTTTTGGCAGATCTGTCGATATAGAAGTCTGTAGCGGTAAATGCAACAACTGTAAGTACAAACCATGTTTCTGTTAGTTCGGATGCAGTTGAAATGTTCTACCCGAATCAGGGGACACTTGAGCGAAATTCATGCATGTTCATCTTTGTGGAAGTGGATCCAGGGCCCCGTTCCACAAAGTTAGCGTAGCGCTAAGGTGATCGTAACTTCCATACTTTAGCATACATTTACGACTGTCGTAACGACTACGATCGCTTTCTGAAACGAGGCCCCTTGGTAGTAGACAGTTTTAACTGGAATAAGTAGCCTAAGTCCGTTCTTAAACTATAGTGTTACGACAGGTTGTAACGTTACGAACACTTTGTGGATAGGGTCCCAGTTTTGCAGATTGATTTCTTAAAACAGTCACACTCCTGTCATTTGTAAAACCACATTGACAGCTTAGCGAACTTGCTATTTTTGGTTTTCCATAAGTTTAGCATGACTAATATATGTTGTGTGATGTTCAGCTGCTTTGGCGAACGGGCTGAAGGAGGCTGAGGAACACCTGGAGGAAGTCCACAAGGCCATGCCACAACTCCGTATAGAGTGTCTGATCGGTCACTGCACCTACAACACCCTCAAGAAGTTCCTCAAACCCTTCATGCGAGTATGTCCACAAACATCCTTCCTGAGTTACCTGTAATTAATAGCTTTAATAAGCCACATACAATAATTTAAATCAGACTTATTACTGGTCTTCGATCTGTCTTCAGTCTTAATTCAAAACTTGTTATATGCATGTACTGACAATGAGGAGGTTAGCATATCAGTATTAAAAGATGATACGAGTCGTTCATACGATTAACCGCGATTTCGCGAACAAGTGAAGATCCTGTTGTCCAAAGGAAAAGGCGTACATCGTGTAAACCCTTCATGGGAAATTATTGAAAGAATAGCTGATGACATTCAAAGGTCATGCTTCTCGTGAGACGGGGGCGGTTGAGTAGCCCAAAGGTTAAAGCGACGCCCCCATTCGGTGCGGGTCCGATGTCGGCCATTTGTGCCCAGGTGGTTTCAAAGCGAGTCGCCCGCTATCGGGTGATAGTATTTAATAATAATAATAATAATAATAAAGACTGAAAAGTTTCACGTTGTAGATATGTTTCAGTGCATGATTTGCGAGTTTACTTTAGATACATCGATACAAGGCAAGGCGAGGGTTCTGTACGGAATGTCTTGCCTTGTGCATTTCGGACATTCGTGAGCTTAATCATTCTCTTCCCACATACTTGTCATATCTTCCTACGAACCTCTGTTCTAATACGGCCATCTTTCCCGGTTCTGGTAAATTCCTTAGCGGCGAAAAGTCGCAACACGAATTGTCTCCCTTCTTTCTATCCAATCAGAAGACGTGTTACATCGACTTAGATCCAACTTGACTAATACAAGCAAATGTGGGGCCACAGATTTCCCTCGGGGACTCGTGTTGATGTGACACACAAGACATTTAATGGCTGGCGTGTCCGTTGTCAACGAGGGCAATGGAGATCCGCCAATGAGCCGCCGTTACATTACTGAGTTCTGTCTAGAAGAAACATTTGCGCATCGCGCAGGGGTTCTAGTTTTCCCGAAGCATACGGATATTGCCGAGGCCTTGCGAATGATTACTTTTGAAACAACGTCGCTGATTGCACAACCAAATCTGATTGCAACCAATCACGAATCCTGAACACTCGCACCATGAGGGCCGTACTAGAACAGAGGTTCGTAGGAAGATGTGACGAGTAACCTCCGTGGGAAGAGAATGGAGGTTAATGTATTCGGAAATTTTCAAGCAAGGGCTTGTGATGCCCAGCTCATGATTGTTGCAAAAACTGACCTCATCAATTGTTAATGACGTGACAAACGAGATCCCAACGTTCCAAAATCTCACAGCAAGTCATTGGAGGTGGATGATCCACGTCGCACATACTAAATTCTCTAATATTTCCTTGATAAAAATATTTCTTGTTACAGGACAAATATTGGTCTCACCTGATCTGCTATAAATATAAGAGGGCGTGTCCAGGTAAGCTGATTATTTTAATATAAGATACGTGTATTAACTCAAATGACTCATACACTTGAGCAATCGTCGTTGGAAAACTATTTCATAACATTTTAAAACTTAAAAAACTTCTATCTACTGGTGTTGGTGTGTTTGAAATCTAAAGACACTGTTGTGTTAGTCTCTATATATCTATTCTGTGTGTCACAGTGGACGGAGGCTGGTCAGCGTGGGGGGCGTGGTCAGAGTGTACAGTGGCATGTGGCAACGGCTACCTGTACAGACAGCGGGCTTGTACCTCCCCAAGTCCCGTTAATGGAGGTCAAACCTGTCCTGGGCAGGCCTACCAGAAGAAATCGTGTGTCGCGAAGAAATGTAGTCATATAACAGGTTGGTGAAGACATAGCTCATTGGAGTTGGTTGGTTGGTGTTTCGTTTTAGCACCGCATTCAGCAATATTCCAGCTATATTGCTGCGGTCTGTAAATAATCGAGTCTGGACCAGACAATCCAGTGATCAACAGCATGAACATCGATCTATGCATGCAATTGGGATACGACCAATTGTGTCAACCAAGTCAGCGAGCCTGACCACCCGACCACGTTAGTCGCCTCGTACGACAAGCATGGGTTGCTGAAGATCAGTTCTAACCCGGATCTTCACGGGTAGCCTGTTTGGGCTTCATGAGATTATGTACCTCACTCATCTATCGTTTTAGCACCGCATTCAGCAATATTCCAGCTATATGGCTGCGGTCTGTAAATAATCGAGTCTGGACAAGACAATTCAGTGATCAACAGCATGAACATCGATCTATGCATGCAATTGGGATACGACGACATGTGTCAACCAAGTCATCGAGCCTGACCACCCGACCCCGTTAGTCGCCTCGTACGACAAGCATGGGTTTCTGAAGACCAATTCTAACCCAGATCTTCACGGGTAGCTTGTTTGGGCTTCATGAGATTATGTACCTCACTCATATTAACATAAGTAGAAAATATTTTTGGAAAACTCGTGACAGACGGCGTTAACGTGTGTTTTTTTATCCCCAAAGTATGGCTCTGCCAACCAAGATGCATAAGCGATGCACATCTTGAAATTTGTCAATCGGATCCAGGCTCCTCTAAGAGAGATAACTTTACAGCGAATACAAGTAGTGGCTAAGATTACTAGGCCACACGTGCCTATTTCATGCAACTGGTATATGTCGTTTGAAAGATCATTTATTTATGGCATATTTAGACAACAAAGATTGTGGATATATCCACAACAATACAATGGATTATTGACCGTTGGCAGGGCGTGAGAAGGCTGTGTTTTCCGAGTGGTCCAAGTTCAGCCCGTGCTCCGTATCCTGTGGGACATACGGTAGTCAAGTAACTCGAAGGTCGTGTCTTCTCAAGGGAAAGTGTCTTGTCCGGGGAGAAACAGTGGCAAACCTCATCATCAGCAAGCCGTGTTTTCAGGGGGCCTGTCCTAGTAAGTACCATGAGCAGTGCTCAGTCTCATCAAACCAGGGTCTCGATCAACAGAGCGTTCTTAACGTTACGACCTGTCGTAACTCTATAGTATATCATGGGCTACCGATACGAACGCTTTGTGGATCGGGACACTGACCTCTTAATTCGCTACCTCATCAGCTATGTCATTATCAGTAAAGCTGCGCGCAATCTCGTGAAATGTATTTGTAGCCTAGTGGTTAAAGCGTTCGCTCGTCACGCCGAAGACCCAAGACCCGTGTTCCATTCCCCACATGGGTAAATGTGTGAAGCCCTTTTCTGGTGTTTCCCGCCTTGATATTGCTGGAATATTGCTAATACTAGCGGCGAAAAACATGCTCACTCACTGTGAACTAAGCGTGGCTTGAATTATTTTCTTCGGGAACCGCAGAAATACGCTCGTTCTTGCCGAAATCTAATATCAAATTGGATTGGGAAAGCTGAAGGGAAAGTAATTTGAAAATAAGTAGCCTAAAGCTTCAGGTGATTACTACGCATGGATTTCGATATCAGTGGGATGATTATACTTACGTTTCTTTTTTAGGAAAAGGCGGCTGGTCAGATTGGTCAGAATGGACTGACTGTTCCGCCGTATGCGGGGAAGGCAGGAAGACACGACTACGCATGTGCGCTGACCCCTATCCTTCCGGTGGGGAAGGTTGTCTGGGCCCAGAGGTTGAAACGAGTGACTGCAATCGTTCACAGCCTGCTAGCCAAAGTAAGTAAAAAGGGAGCAATTGGTTTCTGTTAACAATACTGAACATTTCAGCAATGTGATTTAAATGTGTGTGTTGTCCATCCATCCATCCATCCATCCATCCATAGAGAGTGAGTTACATTTAGCACTGTTAGTGACCAGTCTTTCTCAACGTCATGTATGCTTAAAGAATCAACAATCCCCAAAGTGACACAATTCCTATTTTACGTTTGCTTGCAACCAATTAACACGTGCAAAATGTGGACAACCAATCAAGGATCCTTATCGGTGCAAAACCCACGTTCAGCTGACCCTACTGCAACTAAGGGAGGCAAATCTGCACAGCGTATTTCAGCGCGCTATACGACTTTATGAAAATAAAGGGCATGTAGAAAAGTAACAAATCATACATTGATGTAATTTCATAAGGGGTAAAACTCCGATGCATCGTGTTTTCATGCTATGAATTAATACAAGCTATATTTGTTATAGATAGATAGTACACACGGAATCGTATAATACTTCACACTGTCTCTGATTTGGTTGATCCGGGTCCCGATCCACAAAGCCTTCGTAACGTTACGACCTGTCGTTACTCTATAGTTTACCATTAGCTTACGAATATCGTAGCGCTACGAACATGTTGTGGATGAGACCCCAAATTCCAAATCCACAAAACATTCGTAGAGCTACGACATTCGCAAGCCTATGACTAAACTATACAGTTACGATAGTTCGTAACATTACGAACGCTTTGTGGATCGGGACCCCGTTGTACCGTGTGGTAGGGTGAGGCAGTATGTCCCATTCACGGGAACAACGGCATCCTTGTTTCTCTGTCCATACAGACAAGACCACGCCAGTAACTAAAGCCGCCTGCAGCAGCAACAGTTCCCAAGAGAAGGGGGGCAATTGTGAGTTCTTCTGCATATGTTTGTTGTTGTTGTTTTAATACCGCTATCAAATTTAGGGTTACTGACCTTTAATGGTCTTACTACGATGTATGCTTGTTGTAATAAGCGATTAAATTATCAGTTGTTAAGATTAGTTTACATTGTTGATGCTTGTCATTGTGTCTTTAATTAATTTAATCTGTAAACTGGTGCTCATGATGTCATCCTACCGCAAAGTCCCCATGGGCCTCAGTATGTTCATATAGTCTTTATTCATGTAAATGTAGGCCATCGGCCCATGGTACAACGTTATACATTGGCAGCCTTCAAGCTGTAGCGACGACGACTGTGAGCATAGAAGATGAACATGGCAAGATTTCTTAAAACCAGAGGAGTAGCATTACTCATCAGTCGATTAAATTTACACAAGGTTGGATGGGTGAAAACATCGACAGGGATAAAACGTTTACGTAAATCCTCATAGACAGTACAAATCAGTAAAAAGTGGTACTCATTTTCTACATAGTTACAGGAACACATTTCACACAATCTTGAGTTTTTTGGTTTCTTTATATATCTACCAGTTTCTATGTTCAGTTGGTGTGAACTACACCTGAACCTCGCTAAGGCAATACGAAATTTCTTGATAGTTATGCAATGGAGATATGGCTCAACACCAAAAATAAATTTAAATTGAGAATATAGATAAGTTATTGAGCCACTAGACAACGAGGAATGCCATTCCTGTAAATATGTGTTTTGGGCTCTAGATATGAATTATGGTGGTGATATACCTTCAGTGGTTGACGATCTGCATGTTTGTTATATGTTGTGTTGTCTATAGTTTTAGATTTACATGCTCGTATTACATCTGCATTTGCGATTTTCGAGTTGTTTTTAATGTAGTTCGTTAACAGGTTTTAGTTTCTCGGTTAATGTGTCAACAAAACTTGGTTTAGTCACTATATGGCTGAAATACTGCCGATGTGACTAGAAATCTTAACTCACTGATGTCTACCATTGGATTGGCTATCCAAAACCGTGGGTATTTTGCTGGAATATTGATGCGTACGGCGTTAAACTTCAAACAAATTTTAAGATAACACAATGCCATATGAACACATTGTCGTAACTGGTTCAAGGATCTCAATGCGCGTCGTGAACTCGTAATATTTAGAGACTTGTGCCCACCTTACACCTGTCTCAAATTGACCAATACACCAAATAAACTAAATGTTCTGAGAGGAATGTGCGCATACCCTCTGCCATTCCCATTCAGGTGACGCCAGCCTGGGGTGACCCGTACTACGAGCCGTATGACAGGTCCAGAGAGACTCTGTACAAGAAGTGGGGAGAATGGTCCCCCTGCTCCAGATCCTGTGGTGGGGGGTACAGGAAGAGGGAGAGGGGGTGTTTAACTCCCTCCAATGCTACATGTTGTGGGGAGATCAAGCAGATACAGTTCTGCAACATTATCCAATGCCCAGGTACGTTAGGATTCGGTTTTTAAAGTCCATATTGTTCAACACATATTATGAATACATATGTTGAACTTATTCGAAAATACTCAACAACATTTTTGTCAAAAGTGTACCAACATATACACTTCGACTTATCCGAAGAAACGCAACCTATAAAGTATGAATTAATAAGAAATATGCAGGGACCAAGCTATATTTCCAAACAACCGCAACTTCGACACATAGAAGTGTTCGACTCGCTCCTTAGACAATAACCAAGAGAGTATGATATGAATTAAGGTTACAAACCACAAAGTGTCTAGATTTTGACTCTCGAGAAAGAAACTGAAATAGAACCCGAAATGTTTATTTTCACTGTATCTTAAAATCCCATCTAGTACATTCTGAAAGATATTTTGCCCCCATGTTTTTCGAACATCTAGAGAACATAACACCAATTGGGGTGTAACAAAACAGCATTCTTGCAGTGCTTCATGTCTGTACGTATAAGTTTGTTTATATATTTAAATCTTTCTGAAAAATATCATCATTGATTACATACTGTAAGACAGTTCATTGTTAATTTTGCTGCGATTGCGGTAAACTTTCATCCGTTTTATACCAGTACCCCCGGCCCGTGCTTGACGAATCTAATCTGAAAAGTTTGGCTAATGGATTTACACCATACTGATACATTCCGATTGGCTGCAAAAACATTTTAAACTACATGTATTCACTTTCGCCCTATTGCGTATTCATTGATTGAATTAACATTGACTAAGGAATCTGGGTCCCGATCCGCAAAGCGTTCGTAACGTTACGACCTGTCGTAACTCTATTGTTTATCATAGGCTTACGAATGTCGGAGCGCTGCGAATGCTTTGGGGATCGAGACCCAGGATCATAAACGACAACCGGAAGAGTTAGTTGAAAGCCAGCCATCTTGTTTTCCAAAACCAGTGACCGCGCACATTGACAGGGTGGATTTGTAGCGCCCCCTAGCGATATATAAAATAGGTGATTAAAGTGATATGGTAACCGAAGATAATGCTGAAAGATACATGGTATAAAAGTAATTGTTTCTACAGTGAACGGTCGTTGGAGTGATTGGATGCAGTGGTCCACCTGTGACGTTACGTGTGGCAGTGGATCCCGCCGTCGTTATCGCCGCTGCGACAGCCCATTGCCTACCAATGGCGGTGCTTGTATAGGAGAAGATAGCTCTTCAAAAGCCTGCAAGAATGCTCCTTGTAAAGGTCAGTCCCACAAATAATAAACACCAGCCTAATGAAGACGCTTATGAACATCAGTTGCTGGTTGGTCGGTTTGTTGTTTAACGCCGCACTCAGCAATATTCAAGCTATATGGCGGCTGTCTGTAAATAATGGTGTCTGGACCAGACAATCCAGTGAACAACAGCATGAACATCGATCTACGTAATTGGGATACGATGGCATGCGTCAACCAAGTCAGCGAGCCTGACCACCCGATGCCGTTAATCGCCTCTTACGACAAGCATTGATTGCTGAAGACCAATTCTAATCCGGATCTTCAGGGGTCACCTTCAGGTGTGTTTTATACGGAAGAATGCATTTATTTCACGTTTTATGGGGATACTGACAGGGAGACCGTGTACAAAGAATGGTCATGTAGATTTCTACCTGACAGATCCAGACAACCACTGGTCACGCTGGAGTCCGTGGTCAACTTGTGACAAAACCTGTGGTCAAGGACATATCAAACGTGTTAGAGAATGGAAAGGTGATGGACAGAAGAAGAGCCAGACAATGAAAGCGCTGTGCAACATCCACCCATGTCCAGGTAGGTTAAGGGGTGTGTGTTAAGCGTCCTTCACACGGCAAACTAAAGTTTGACAACATATGTTGTTGAAATTTTAAAAGTTGTCAAACCCGCATTTTCACACGTCAAACACATGTTGTCAAACTTTCGTGTCATTTGAGCGCCATGTCCCTATCGATGCGGTCACGTGACAATTTCGTTGACTGCAATTGGTTGTTTCTGAACAGCACGAGTTTGACAACACTTCACACGTCAAACTCGAGTTTGACAACACCGAAAGTTTGATGGAAAAGTAGGTGAGAATAGAGACCGATCCTATTTCTCGACAACTCTTTGACAACTGAAATTGGTGTTGGTGGCGAGTTGTTGGAATGTTCACACTCTCAAACTCGAGTTGTCACGTGTTGTCAAACTTTAGTTTGCCGTGTGAACGCCGCTTTAGCATGCTTATATCAAACTCAATGTCTAGTTAGTCTGCTTATATCAAACTTGTTGTCTAGTTAGTCTGCTTATATCAAACTCGTCTAGTTAGTCTGCGTATATCAAACTCGTTGTCTAGTTAGTCTGCTTATATCAAACTCGTTGTCTAGTAGTCTGCTTATATCAAACTCGTTGTCTAGTTAGTCTGCTTATATCAAACTCGTTGTCTAGTAGTCTGCTTCTATCAAACTCGTTGTCTAGTTAGTCTGCTTACTGGAGTATATCAAACTTGTTGTCTAGTTAGTCTGCTTATATCAAACTCGTTGTCTAGTTAGTCTGCGTATATCAAACTCGTTGTCTAGTTAGTCTGCTTATATCAAACTCGTTGTCTAGTAGTCTGCTTCTATCAAACTCGTTGTCTTGTTAGCCAGCTTGTATCAAATTTGTTTTCTTGTTTGTCCGCTTGTATCAAACTCGTTGTCTAGTAGTCTGCTTCTATCAAACTCGTTGTCTTGTTAGCCAGCTTGTATCAAATTTGTTGTCTAGTTAGTCTGCTTCTATCAAATGTTTTGTCTTGTTAGTCTAGTATATATTTTTAAATATAAATTGTTATCTTGTCACTCTTGATTTGAACTTTTTAGTCTGCTCTCTCACGCTTGTTGGACACTATGTGTAAAATTGGTTGTGTTGTTAGTCTGTTTGAAAACAACAACTGTTGTCTTCTTACTCTGCTGGAATTGAACTTGTGAGTCTGTTTTCTTCGCACTTGTTGTGTGAGTATTTAGGCTGTTAATCTGTTTAGGTGATTCATGTCTTGTCCGCCTTTTTGTATAATATTGATATCGTATTACTCTTCTTGAATTGAACTTGTTAGTCTGTTTGTGTCATGCCAGTTTTATGAAAATTCTTGAAATATAATTGTCAGTCTGGTTGTGTCAATCATGTCTGTAAAGGTGGAACTTGTTAGTCTGCTTGTGTCAATCATGTCTGTAAAGGTGGAACTTGTTAGTCTGCTTGTGATCATACTTTTGGTCTTCATATAAAATTGTTAACTTTCTCAATAATCTGTTTATATCCAACTCATTTTCTTAGTCTGTTTGTATCAAAAGTGGTGTCTTGTTAGTCTGTACATGTCTTGACTTATTCGCCTTGCTAGTCTGGTTGTATCAAAACAGTCTTTACAGTGAGTATCAAACATGTATGGTTAGTCTGTGTATTTAAAACTGTAATTGTTGTTGTTGTATAAACATTGTATGATAAGTAAAGTCTGCTTGTATAATTTTGATATTCGATGAATAAATGTCAGTACATGCCGTTACACTATGACGTAATCTATCCATATGAAGTTGCCGGCAAATGGGGAGCATGGGGTCAATGGGCGGCTTGCAGCAAGAAATGTGGCCTTGGACACTACTTCCGCGACCGCACGTGCACGGACCCTGCCCCATTCAACAACGGTCCGATATGTCGCGGTCCAGGAACCGAGTCGGCATACTGCTACAGCCAACCCTGCCAAGGTAGGCGAGTTTTTTCGTAATTCATAGACAATATCACCCTTTTGTCCTTTCATATCAAATGTATCACTGAGGTTCTTTAGGCATATACAAGTTGGTATTAAGTATAAGACCATTCTCTTCCCACAGAGGTTACTTCTCATATCTTCCTACGAAGAAGATATGACAAGTAACCTCTGTGGGAAGAGAATGGTATAAGACAAAATATATCATTTTCCTGACGAGGGGGCAAGGAAAAGCTGAGAAACGTTGTGAATATAATAAAGAAGTTGACATCCATAATATTTTGTCTTATAAATACATCACTGAAAGTGAAGTTTTAAAACTGAAAAATGTTTACAAACAGTAATAACCAGTGGCACAGAGGTGAAGATATATTTCGTATAACGTGAGTTGTCTGCTAAAACATTGTACTGCAGTTTCAACTGACTCTCACCAATATCCCGGTTAGAATTCAGCAGCACATGCTTGTCGTAAGAGGAGACTAACTGGTTCGGATGGTCAGGCTCACTGACTTGGTTGACACATGTCATCGTATCCCATTTGCGTAGATCGATGCTCATGACGTTGACCACTGGTTTGTCTGATAGTGGAATCGCCTCATATAACTTGAATATTGGTGAGTTCGACGTTAAACAACCCGTGAAGATCCGGGTTAGAATTGGCCTTTAGCAACCCATGTTTGTCACTTGAGGCGATCGGGTGGTCATGTTCGTTGACTTGGTTATCACATGTCATCGTATCCCAATTTCGTAGATCGATGTTCATGACGTTGATCACTGGATTGTCTGTCTAGTTCAGACCCGATTATTCACAGACAGCCGCGATATCTGGATTATTGTTGAGTGCGGCGTTAAATAACACACAATCAACGTTAAATAACACACAACGTTAAATAACACACAATCAACGTTAAATAACAACCCAACCAACGTTAAACAAGACACAATCAAAACAACGAGAGATCTTTCATGCAGTGAAACTGAAGTTCATAACTGATTACGGGGGATGCTGTCATCCATTGTTCATTGGGGCAGCCTAGTGGTTAAAGCGTTCGCTCGTCACGCTGTAGACACGAAATGGGGACAATGTGTGAAACCCATTTCTAGTGTCGCCCGCCGTGATATTGCTGGAAGATAAGCGGCGTACACCCATGCTCACTCACTCACTCATGTTATGTTAACAGCGGCGGTGGGGTAGCCTAGTGGTTAAAGCGTTGGCTCGTCACGCCGAAGGCCTGGGTTCGATTCCCCACATGGGCACAATGTGTTAAGCCCATTTCTGGTGTCCCCCACCGTGATATTGCTGGAATATTGCTAAAAGCGGCGTAAAACTAAACTCAGTCAATCAGTGTTATGTTAACAGCTCCATATACTTCCAGGAGACGAACCAGCTGTGAAGTTCAACAAGAAAAGTTATTTGACGTACAGTCCCCATGCTAAACCAATCCGATACCTGTTGCTGTATCTACGCTTGAAGCCACTGTCTCCGTCCGGGACGCTGATCTACCGTCACAGGGCGTGTCTGGAGGGGACGTGGGACTGCTCCCACACCCTCATCCTTACCCTCGTGAATCATCTCCCAGCTTTGAAGGTGTCGATTGATGGACAGAAGATTGAACTCGTAGCCAAAACGCCAGTAATGGTAGGTGTTACATGTGGAAATGTGCCGTTAACGAGATGTAAACCCTTGCCTCGCGCAGCCTCTCAGTTATCCTGCCTGGCCAAAGAGTTAGTGAGTGAGTAAGTAATGGCTTTAGGCCGCTTTTAGCAATATTCCAGCAATATCACGGCGGGAGACACCAGAAATGAGATTCACACATTGTACCCATGTGGGGAATCGAACCCGGGTCTTCGGCGTGACGAGCGAACGCTTTAACCACGAGGCTACCTCATTGTCCCCCTAGCAAAAGAACTATACACCCAGGTGGCTGAACTACACCAACGTGAAATGGCTATTTGATACTGGTACCATCATGTTCATGGCTCTGTTTACAGTGTGTTTTCGGTGTAGTAGCGTTTTGATTTTTTAAAATCAAATCCAATATTCAAGGGCATACTTTCTTTTACCCGGTAGAGTATTCAATTCAGGTGTTTTATCTATTTATGTTAATGGAATATGTTGGCAAAAGTATCTGGGTACTGTGATTAGTACCGTGGCCAGTTCAACAAAGCGATTTTAGTGTTAAGTCACTGTTAAGACTGTCGAACCTACTGCAACATACGTTTTCGACAGTTGCTAGTTCTAATATTGTGTAACGATACCTGGTTCAAAGTGGCTTGAAACCATTCACTGCTGCTCATTTGACAGCTGAAGATCAGGGTTAGAATTGATCTTCAGCAACCCATGCTTGTCATAAGAGGCGATTAACGGGAACAAGAGGTCAGGCTCGCTGACTTGGTTGATACATGTCATCATATCCCATTGCCATATGCAGGAAATGAAACAAACGACGTATGTTATTCAGTGTGTGGAAAACAAAATATGATTACTGATCATTACTCATTGATTATCTCCTTGACATTTCTTTTCATCCAGGCATCGGAATGGAACGACTTGCTTGTGTATGTGTCACGTGGTAAAAGCTACATCCGGGTAAATGACGGCGAACATGCTCGATATATCCCTGACACACCCTTTCTGGAAGAAATGAATCTAGATGCCTCCATGAGGGTTGGCATTGGAGACAACGACAGTAACGGTAAGAAGAATCTGTAATACCAAATCATCCTGAAACGTGATGCATATATTGTACTGTTTGTTGATTGTTTAACTCCACACACAGCAATATTCCAGCTATATGGCGGCGGTATGTAAATAATCGAGTCTGGACCAGACAATCCAGTGATCATGACATGGGTTGCTGAAGACCAATTCTAACCCAGATCTTCACGGGTCTTTACTTTCTTTAGTTCTTAAACAAAGATCCGCGCCATGGGGTTAATGTGAAAAATCATAGGACCAGGTTGCAACAATTTAAGGCCATTGGAAATACATGCATGTATATTCATATTGACTGACTTAATATTGTGTTACGGCGCATAGGTAGATCTGCAGCAGTACTCTGCACGTTCAAAATGAATGGTTACTGTGTCAGAAGTCAGATTTTTTATTTGCGAGGGGCGGTGGGGTAGCCTAGTGGTTAAAGCGTTCGCTCGTCACACCTAAAACCCCGTTGTTCTGATTTTGCTGGAATATTGAAAAAAACAAATGGCGTAAAACTAAACTCACACCCCAAATAATTGCAATTAGCTTTAGGTATTCGTAACACCCATACCTTCACATAGCTTTTGAAGAGAATCCTTTGCGAAACGCGGATATTATGGAAATTAGGCTGAAATTATCAGAAAATACTTTGTTCCATATTTGTTCAGGGTCCCGATCCACGAAGCATTCGTAGCACTACGACATTCGTGATAAACTACATAGTTACGACAGGTCGTAACGTTACGACCGCTTTGTGGAATACTTTGTGGAACGGGACCCAGGTCCGTTAGTTGAGGTTCCGTTCCACATAGCCATATTAGCGCTAAGACGATGGTGCCTTCCATACTTTAACATCCTATCGCTTTCATTAGATTAGAGGAATTTCATCAGCAAAATTAACTGGACCAAGATAGATTCAAAGTTACAGACTGTTTCAGTTTTCGTTTTCAGCATAGTTTATTGGCCAAAAAGACAAATGGTTTCTGCTCATCGCGTATTGTCGCCTTCTCTCTAATGGTTTCCGTTTGTTTCAGGTTTCCATGGTGTGATATCCAAACTACGTATTAATTTCAAGGACATTGCACTTTACCAGTCCCCTTACTGGATGGGGTTAGGTGCCCCTGACAAAGAACTGCTCATTGAGAAACAGACATCAGGTAAGGGTAAGCACACGATGCAGGAACTACAGTTGGTGGGTAAAAAAGTTGGCGAATCATCTGAAGCCAGGATCGCATGATTTATGATGATGGAACTGTGAATGTGAAATTTAATCGGCGGGCTAGTTCAGTGGTTAAGGTGTTCGCACGTCTCGCCAAAAACTCCGGGTTCGATTCCTCACATGGGTGTCGCTGTCACCAGACAGCTACTTTACACACTAAACCACGAAGACGGTGAAGTAATTATAAAGGTTAGAGGCTTAATATAAGCTGTGCTGAAGACCTTGATGGGGCGTTAATTATGTTGGCTTGTGTCAAAATGGCCGAAATAACGCCGACACTCACTCTTATGGCACCCGTTTGACAAAGGGATCGTAGCGTTAAGACAGTCCTCTGTTTAAATGTGAGAGTAACGCTCACCTCAGTGCTACGACAGTCCTCTGTTTAAATGTGAGAGAGTTACGCTCGCATCAGCGCCACGGTCGTTCTGTGGAACGAATCCAAGGACAGCAACTTCACTAACATTTTTTAGTTCATTTAACCATAATGTGAATTTGTAAACGTCACGCACCAATGGAATTGCATTATATCTTCCCCTGTTTTTCAGACGGTGGTGTCAATTACCCTGACTTCCGGAGCCGCCATTACGCTCGTTTAAGCTTCAGACATGACCAGACATTAAAAGTTCTTTTGACAGTACGCATGCGCAAATCTAATGGCCTCATCCTGTATAATGAGGGTGTTGTGCCTGGCTCCCACATTGCCCTGTTCTCCGAACAAGGCGCCCTGAAAGTCTGCTTTGCATGTAACCGGAAAAACGTCTTTTGTGAAAAAACATTTGTATTCCAAGTAAGTAACGTAGTTTTCTATTTGTTGTTTCTCTTTGTTAGTTTGGCGTTTTTGTTTTGTTTAGGAGTTTGTTTTTTCTTTTTTGTATTTTGTCATTTTTCGTTTTTGTTAATTTGGTATTTTATGTTTTGTATTTTGTTTCTTGGTTTTTAAGATGGCAGGTAGATGCTCAGCAAATTCTAGGCTTAGGTCGTTCCATTATATACGCAATTATCTTCGATATTTAACTCTTAAATTAATTTCTAGTTTAAGTAATACCATTGTTCGTTTTACCATACACGGACACATTGGTTGCCTCGTCGTCTAAGGCGCCGCGATTCGGAGTGATCTGCAGATGAGCAAAACTGCCGCGAGCTTATGTCCTTTAACTAAAGGTTAAAAAGTCAAATGTATGTTTAAATCGATTAGTAAAATCAGAGATATATAATGATTGGTTCTGGCATATTTTGCAGACCCGAACTTGGTACTATTTATCACTAGAGGTTGAAGGTAACGGGTCTGAATTAAGGATGGACAAAGGCAAGGCTATGCAACTGTCTTGTGTTGGAAGGAAGTACCGTCCTCAGAAGGAGGTCTTCATTGGTGGCGCGCCACCATCCATGTGGACCATCATCACCAACTGGACCGGTGTCACAAAGGGGCATGATGGCAACGTCGACAAAGTGGTCGTCAACGATGAGAAATTCTCCTTCAGACTTGGTGCTTTGTTTGATACAACTGGGACAATCAACTCCATGGGATATTCCCTGTCGGGTAACTATGATATGGTTTGTTTGTTGTTTAACGCCGCACTCAGCAATATTCCAGCTGTATGGGGACCAGACCATCCAATGATTGACATCATGAGCATCGATCTACACCATTGGGAACCGATGACATGTGTCAACCAAGTCAATGAGCCTGACCACCCGATCCCGTTAGTCGCCTCTTGCGACAAACATGAGTTGCTGGGACCCGATCCACAAAACGTTCGTAGCGCTTCGACATTCGTAAGCCTATGATAAACTATAAAGTTGCGACAGGTCGTTACGTTACGAACGATTTGTGGATCAGGACCTAGAAGACCAATTCTTACCCGGATCTTCACGGGTCAGGTAACCTTGAAAATAAGGTGATCACTTGCTTTATAAGAGTGTTGGTTTTCTACACCGAAACTTCGAACTTATTGTAATGAAGTTATATATCCATAAAAGTATGTCCCCTTTACATAATACTAACTTACTGAAGAACCTATCTACCGTCGAAGTCTATCTTTAAAACAGTGACAGTAAAGATCGCATTAGTACCAGGATCGCTTTGTAATATTGTACCTCATATACAACGCCATCTATCGGTGCAGCACACGTGAGCAATGTCGTGGAACATCCAACGAGCAAGGTGACACTTCGATGCGACTTCACAAGCTTCACCAAGGGCGGACATCATGCGAAAGCACAGTGGTTGCTTGGAGATAGGCTCCTCAACTCCTCAAAGGGAGCTCTTATAATGCCAATGGTAATTGTGTAAACATTGTTTCTCTTCACATCAGGCACACCCGCACTGAAGTGATTTTCGATTATCACATGTATTACATCATTAGTTTGTTGTAACTTATAGTTTCCCGTGAACACCGCTCGTCCATCTAGTTTAGTGTTATTTATCATTCTACATTTGTCCTAGTTTTGAGTATGGTTCTACGCCGCTTTTAGCAATATTCCAGCAATATTACGGCGGGGAACACCAGAAATGGGCTTCACACCTTGTACCCATGTGGGGCATCGAACCCGGATCTCCTGCGTTACGAGCGAACGCTTAACAACATATTTGCTCAGGATTTTCTTACAATACAAATATCAAAGGTCAGAGTTCTGCTTTAAATATTTGGCTTTGCAGCTGAAAAACAAATCTCACAATAGAAAAAAAGATAAATTTACGCATGGTGTTTTATGTATGTTTTATTGTAGTTGCCTGGTCTTCAGAATGAGAGCGCGGTTACTCTCATGCCAAGCCACCACAAACAAGGCTTATACGCATGCGTCGTAAACCAAGATGGCCGTCTTACCATAACACATGCATTTGCTCTGACCCGAAGTAACGAGTCCGTCGGTAAGAATGCATTTCTGATGTTATTGTTTTAATATGATTATGTACAAAAGCCAAAGTCAAAGTCGTGAACAAACAAAACAAGACAAAGTCATAGAATTCCCCAGATTTTATGAAAACATCATTCGTGACTGTTGATAACAAGTGATAACAATGGTGATAGTGAATGTTATCAGTGCAAAATATAACACTGACCAATGTAAATCTCCTTAAAGAGGCCATAAAGAAAGATCGCCTTTTTAGGATATGATTTCTTCAAAAGCCATGCGTGCATTCGTTTTTTTTTTATGAGGATTCCAAGTTACGTTACTATTTGCAGTTCTCGAGGTGACGCCAGAATGGACCATCATAATCGTTCTCATTGTCATCGTTGTCTTCATCTTCATCGCCACGGCTCTTATTGTCAAGAAGGATACAATGTACGTCGAGGGCGTAGCTTGTCTCTTATAACATGTGATATATCGGGTTCGATTTTAGGTGGAGAACCAAAAAATGTAAAACTATTTATAGCACCATAAAATGTAAAGTAGGTAGGGAAGACAATATATTTCGGTTATTTATTCACAAAAAAACAACATTTTTTTATTGGAAACCCAATAATTAGTTCAACAAATTTTCCAGGAAATCCACGGAGTGAGTGAGTTAGTATTTTGTATAAATTTGATACGAAAACGTGTTTTCATGGAATTCAATAGTATGTGTTATCTGTTCTTTGACGGCTGTAATATTTGGTGTGTATCCCATGTCACTGGTTCTAAATGGCCTTCCCCCATAGATACTGTAAATAAATGTTTATCGACCGTTTGAAAATGGCACAATAATGATTAAGACATGAGAATATAAACTTTTTAGGCCCAACAGACACCATAGCAAATGTATAGTATTACTTAAAAAGAGTATCTTTTTTTTCTTCACGCATCTACCTGGATCTGTCTATGAAGCTGAGCGTGGAAAAACAATATGCACGATCATAATGGATAGTGTTAGCAGCAAACTAGCTTTATCCTGAGTTCAACATAGTCAACAGAAAATTTCTTTATAGAAAAAACATGGCCGCCGGCTATGCTGACGCTAAGGCAAAAATTCTGGAGGACATCAAGAGCAGCCTTAATAAGCCGGACCTGATGGAACTGGGGGACATCCCAGAAGAGGACGAGGACGAGGATGCGAGTATGGTCAGCGCTGTGGAGGATCCGGCTGATGATGAGGATGGAGAGATGACGTTTGACTTGAATGACATAGACTTCGGAGATGACGAGGAAGATGATGTTGATGGTAGGTAAATTTGTCACTTTGTCGTAGCCATGGCATAGAATTACACCAGGTGCTAATTTGCATATGATGGGACCGGATTTTTCTGTTGGCACTGAAGACAGGCTGATTCTAAAATAAGAGCAGTCAAATGGAAACGTTCACAGATTTTCAGCAGTTTCACTGCGGTTCACATATTGTTTTATTCGTATTAAGATATCAACAGTGAGAAGTATAACGATTCATCTTCTTCAATAGGATTTCCAATTCGATCTATACAACCTTTTGTTGAACAAAGGATTAATTAGAGCAAAATATATCTTCACGTTTGTTGATATTTTCTCAATGGATCATTTCTTGAAAGATTTAAAAAATCAAATCGATTACCAGGCATAAGTAAACATTTAACAATTGGATTTTAAACACACACACACACACACACACATTTAAACTTTACAAGACCGAAAGCAGTCACCTTAGAACTGAAAAACATATTAGATAAGGTTCAACAGAACTATGAAACCGGTATCAAATACATCTAAATAGCCATTTCTTCATGGGTATGTACGTTTTATTGCACGGCAGATTAGATGAAAAATATGTATTGAGCAAGAATGCACCGTGTACGAGGGGACGAATCGTCACATGTCGCTGTCATGTGGGAGAGGCACCAGCAGGTGACGTCCAGGAACCTTGGGTTGTATCGCTATCACTAGGATGTACCTTAATGAGGTCCATTTTGGACTTTTTAAAGCAACTTATCTTCTTCATGGAAAATTCGTTGAAGTAATGTACCCGTGATCTGAATTTTCTTTCTTACAAATTCCAGAGACAGAGAGAATGCATCAACTGGGGAGTCAAGTCGCCGCGAGGTTGATCGAGGAAAACAAGGACAAAGTTCTCGAACTCATAACATCAATGATGAGCCTCGATAACCTCGGAGAGTAAGTTCATTGATCAAGCTTTCTTGTATCAGTAACTATGGTCACCTGCTAATACCTACTTTCTGAAAGCACGAACATTTTACTTTCGAAACAGGAGCAACGCAACTTCCGATACCCTCCATTTTCTACTATGGATTAAATATTCATTCATCTTGAAAAGCAACAGCCATGACTTCTTCATTCAGTCAGTGAAATGGGTTGCCAGGTGGTAAACAAGGTTGCGCCCCTCCATGTCAGGATGAGGTTATTGTGAGGCTGAGCATATGGTTAGGGCATCATACCCCTAGGGTTTGAATAGGTTTCACCAAATTGGCAAACATTTCCTGTCTGCCTCTCATTAATATCTACCGAAATACAGCTAAAACACATAACTGACTTTGGAACAAAGCAGCCGCAGTATGCAGAGTTGCCTCCCTTTGGCACGCCAGAGACCTATGATCGTGTGATGCCAGATTCTGTCAGCACCATACTCAGGTTCATCAATGGGTTTCATGAAAGTGGTAAATGCAGGCATCACTTCGTGCTTAACCTGCAGCCGTAATACAACAGGAATGAGGTTAAAGCGACGTTACAATCAGCTCACATAGTCATTGAAACTGGCCTACTGGATAGGTCAAGTCTTGAAATTCTTCCTTAAATTATAAACAGTTACTATAATAGCTTCAGCCCAAAGACTGATTCATTTGTTTTCGTAGAGCGCCAGCGCCACCCTTTCAGCAGGTTACCACAGGACAGATTAGCGTGCCATCAGAGTCACATCGTCAAATTCCGTCAGTTCCCGAGCCAGGATCACCATTTTATGACGTCAACACATCTGCTTTAAGGAATACCAGGTAAAAAACTAATCAAAAGTCTGAAGTACAACTTGTTATTTGATTGATTTGAAGTCGTTTGGTGATGATAGAGAACTGAAAATAGTAACGTTTGATAAGGTCGCTTAAGGTTATTAAATGTACAATGCAAACAGCTTGTATAAATTAATGTGCTTCCCCTTCTTCAGCAGTTCACAAGTACAAAGGCGCTCATCGCCATCACCAACTCGCATGCCACCTGGTCCCATGATTGATGGTGACCAAGAGATGTCTCCAGAGAGAAGATGGTCCGTGTCACATCGTTCCTCGGGCACCTTGTCCCCATCCCGCCGGACGTCAAGTATTTCACCACGCAGACTGTCTCGGTCCATATCTCCTCCAAAAGCATCAGATGAATACGTCATTAATGCCAGACCGTTAGGCTCACCAAGACAAAGCAGAGCCAGTCCACCTTTCGAGTATTCTGATGCAATGGAGTTTTCCGATCCGTACAGTCAAGTTCTGGAGCATGATGATCCACCAATTCAAGCTCCAGATCTTCCTGATCTATCTCTCCTACCTCCTGGGATGTCTGGACCAGCCACACCTCCACTGTTTGGTAGTTTTAGACAATTACCAGTCGTAAATCAAAGGGGGGCACCTTTACCTCCGACCCCCTCTCCTCCGCCTCGACCACCAAGTCCACCTGAGTTACCCCCACCGCAGTTGTGAAGACGATGTGGAATATTCGTTGACAGTGAAATGTCTTCACTTTTCCACAAAAATATTTTGTGTTCATCATGTCCGATAGTAATCGGTGTGATTGGTATCCTTGTTTTTAACAAGTCTTTGCACCCGCATAGGGCATTCTGACGTGGTTTCAATGGCAAGCGTTGCAGTATGGCATGTGTCAATGAGTGATGTGTTTTGTTGTCAGCTCATGTTGTTTCAGTCGTGTTGATTGGGGTCTGCCATAAGGTGTGAGTATTTGTATATATCCTTGGAGGATGTCTTCCGTCGAAAAAGCACGTATCTGAAATGGATGCCATGTGTGTACATGTATATAAAAATATGTTCAATTATAGGTGTGTTATTAAACAACGTATTTCTTAATGAATAATACTCTGTTTGGTAATTAAAGATATGCATGAAAATATGTCATTGATACCCATCCACTGACATGTACGTACGATGCGGGTGATATTGTTAATGACGGACGTACGATGCGGGTAATACCTTTACTGACAATTAGGTACAATATGAGTGGCACTGTTCCTGACAAGGTCGTACGGGACGTATGATACTGTTCTTGACAACGACGTACGGGACGTATGATACTGTCCCTGACGAGGACGTACCGACCATTTGATACTGTTCCTGACAAGGACGTACGATACGTGTGATACTTTTCCTGACAATTAGATACGATATGGGTGATACAGTTCCTGATATCGCTGGTACTGTTTATGATAGGGACGTACGGTATGGGGGGATGCTGTTTCTGACAAGGACGAGTGAGTGAGTGTGATACTTTTCCTGACAATTAGACACGATATGGACGATACAGTTCCTGATATCGGTGGTACTGTTCGTGATAGGGACGTACGGTATGAGCGATGTTGGTTCTGACAAGGACGAGTGAGTGAGTTTAGATTTAAGCCGCACTCAGCAATATTCCAGCTATATGGCGGCGGTCTGTAAATAATCGAGTCTGAACCTGACAACTCAGTGATCACAGCATGAGTATCGATCAACGTAATTGGGATACGATGACTTGTGTCAACCAAGTCAGCGAGCCTGACCACCCGATCCCTTTAGTCGCCTCGTACGACAAGCATGGGTTACTGAAGATCAATTCTAACCCGGATCTTCACGAGTTGACAAGGACGAACGATACAAGTGATACTGTTCCTGACAAAGACGTAAGATATGGGTGATGGTGTTTCTGATAGGGATGTACGATGCATATGATACTGTTCCATTCAAGGACAACGGATATATGTTTGATGGCAGCGACCACAGACATAAAGACGCTCACCTGTAAAATATAGCTATCACCACAGCTGCTAGAAGCGGTCCAACCCAGAACACGTACTGGTGAGACCATGCTTTGTGGGAATACAGACACAGAACTACCGCTGAACCAAAGCTACGGGCAGGATTCAGACTAGTGCCGGTTATCCGAATACTGCAAATTATTATATACTCAAATTGAAATTCAAGATACACATGGCAACACACATTTAAAAAAGTGACAGAATGAATGTTTTGTGGGGCGTACTACTCTCTCACGTCTGTGGGTACATAGCACGAACATCGAGCCACTCCATTCGCATATGCTGTAACAACCCAGTATGGCTTAGTTTAACTCGCGAGCATTGAGATCGCCAGTTTTGTGAGTGGGTATGGTTTTACGCCATTTTTCAGCAATATTTTAGCAATATCACAGCGGGGTACACCAGAAATGGGCTTCACACATTGTACTCATGTAGGGAATGGAACCCCGGTCTTCGGTGTGTCGAGCAGATGCTTTAACCACTTGGACAGTAGGGATACCCAACCAACCCACCACATATTTTGTTTATTTTCCGTACGCACCCTGAGAGAATGCCGACGACATACGCGAACCCCACTGCAGTTGGAGCGGCATGCGTCTTCGTCTTCTCCTCCAGCGTGGTCAACAACACAGCAATTACCACAAACGCAGTCAGCAAGAACTCGCAGGCAATAGCCCGCCCAGGTCCCACGGCCATCTCAACGTAGTCATCAGTCAACACCTTGGTGAACAGCTCATCTGGTTCAACAACCTATGGAACAATGAAGTTCTGCCTTAGTAACGTTTCAAACGGTGGTGACATTTCTTGAATAGCTTGACCCCGTTCATCAAAACAGCCATTGCACAACGATGGACATCTGAGATCATTGTAAAGATGGATTTGTTGAACAAGCTCCAGATTATCAAACCCCAGCAAAATGTCACCACAAATGAAATGTCGTTGTACAAAGCAACCTTAGCATTTCGACTGGTAAGTTAGTTACGATACCTCTGCTACGACATTCTTAAGTCTATGTTAAAGTATGGGAGTAGCGCAGTGGTTCAGCGGTACGATCGCTTTTCTGAACGGCGCACAATTGTTTAGCAGCTAAACGACAATCTCCAGTGATATTGTTTATGAGGTTAAAATCTTAATCTCCGCTACAATATTTCAACTTAATCCATAAGAACAATCCCGAATTCTTCGGAACGGGAAAGAGCATCATATATTCATTTTAATCATTTATGTTCTTATTTCTATATTGGGGGGGGGGCGTTAGATTTATGACAAAACTGAGTGTCACAGTTCGATTTTGTAACCTTTTCAGAGCTTCTTTGTGTGGCATTTTAGAAGTTGGAAGTCAGGTAGAACAAGTATATATGGATGACAACTTCTTTTATTCCAGAGCACGACGTTTCCATACAGGTTCTTGTATCGTTTTCAAGTATGAGTCATCCATACTTGAAAACGAAACAAGAACCATACTTGAAAACGATACAAGAACCTGTGCTCTACAACGTCGTGCTCTAGAAAAAAAGTTGTCATCCATATATACTTGTTCTATCTTTTCAGGGCTGCACGACGGTGATGAAATTTGCGTCCCTAGACGAATGTAACATATCAGTTCGAAAAAAACTACTATAATCATTAGTTCATTACTGTAAGTTAGTTTAACATTTTCTATAGTCGTAAGACCGAAATATATATGACAGTTAAGTGTTGAAATTTGATTGTGTGTGAAAACGGTTCGTATATACCGTGTATCTATGACTATCGTAGCTATCTTGGATGATCTTAACTCACATTTGAACATATACTTACGACAGAAGACGCTTTAAAGACAATGAATAAGAAAATAGTCTAGGTGTAATAGCGTTAAAGAAAATACTCTTGGCCACACACGAATTCTCAGTTGTTCGATGGATTTTTACACCGCACTCAGCAATATTCCAGCTATATGGCAGGGGTCTGTACATAATCGAGTCTGGACCAGACAATCCAGGGATCAACAGCATGAGCATCCATCTGCGCAATGGATTATCGGTACGATGACGCAGTTGCCAATATGACTTCATAGTGATGTGACGTTTTCTGGCGCCTATGGTGAGGCTATTCGATCGATAGAGTTGCCTCCCTTAGACGTGCCAGAAACCTGTGATCATGGGTCCTCATCCCAGGTTCGGCTGTCAACTAACATTGCACTGGCACGCCATGATGTAACTGAATCAAGCAACAAAGTTTGCTCTACACCAATATGAAGCGTAAGAGAGGATAGTTTTGACCGTAACTGTTACAGTGAAAGAACGAGGACGATTTTACTGTTGCGGTAAACTAGGCTGACACATGCAAGCACTCCTACACTGACCATGGCGAGGGCGGCTCCGGCGACTCCACCCAGCATCTGCATAACGATGTAAGCGGGCAGTAGGAGAGGCTTCAGAGAACCGGACACACACACCGCTACGCTCACAGCAGGGTTGAAGTGACCACCACTGAAAAAATCAAAATGCAATACTTTATCTTATACAATGGAACCCGACTTATCCGGAAACCTCTCCTACCAGAAAAGCAACTGCAGTCATGGCTGCAGATCAGCATCAGTAAGTAAAACAACCAGGAAACAAAATTAAATAATAGGATAAATAATAATAATAATGGATTTCTATGGCACCTGGGATCCAACTCGAAGCTGTTCAACGGTGCATCACAAAGTCTAAGAGGGATGCTGTTAACCGGAAAATTGCCCGTCATGTTCTGGAAGGTTAGATTGTAGTGAGTATGATTTTACTTACACATACTTTTAGCAACATTCCAGCAATTTCACGGCGGGAGACACCGGAAATGGGCTTCACACATTGTACCCGTGTGGGGAATCGAACCCGGGTCTTCAGCGTGACGAGCGAACGGTTTAACCACAATTCTACCCCACCTCACCACGAAAGATATGCCTGTAACGGATCATACTTTAGTATGACAGAGTATGATATAGGAGGAGGAGTATGTATCATATGCTGATGCGTTTCGCTGTATCGGCTTTGAGTTGCAGCTGTTGTAGAGATCGGGAAATTTATGTTGCAATGGTTGTTTTAGAATTACATGTTTACCGTATATTTCATTTATGAATATGTCCCTGTCACATCTGCACGTGGGAGAAATAACAGATGCCTAATGCACATTGAGTAGCTCAATAAATTGTTATCATTGTTTAGATGAGTATCTAACCTCCTTGCTGGCATATACTCTTGTAAAAAAGAAACGCAAACCCATATTTTGGTGATTGGAAGTATGATTAAATTCTGGGATGACAACACTGAGGATGACAACTGTGCATAGAGTTCCTCAGTTGAACGAATTCTCTTTACTCAAAATGGCGGTCAAGGTCACCTGCAGTCAATAACATGTATGTTCGCCCCGAGCATTGTCTGGTCTGATCATCTCCACATGCCCGGTGTTGCCGATACCGTTGACGTTGTCGTTGTCGTTCTCCACGTAGGTGGCGTGCACGAATGTAGCGGTCTTGGACGTGGTAACACGTGGTCTTCCAGATCTGGGTCTGTTCCGTGTAGACCCTAATTGTTCATAACGGTCCCGTAGTCTGGAACCCGCCGTGATGTTGCTGGAATATTGCTAAAAACGGCCCAAAACGAAAACTCAGTCAGTCTGGAAATGGTGCTTGTGGCCACATTAAACTCCCTGGCAACGACCGTTCTGGGTTTACCTGCTTTCAAGCAGCGTCCCTCTGCGCTTCATTGAGTCGAGGCATCTCTTGTGACGTCATTCGCCCAAATACAGTCCACGATAACACAAAAGCTCTGCCTTCTTATATGGTTGGTGTTTGACGTGGAGTACCTAAACATTTATTGACTGGGTGGTTTGCAATTGATTGCAATCTAGCAAGATTACACGTTTTTTATCAATCATGTTTTGCTGACATCCAAATTCACAACCTATGCACAAAACCTGAACCACGAGGTCAAAGTCACTTTCACATTTCAATCCTTTTGCGTAACTTTTGTTTAGGAGTATATTATTATCACCGGCTGTTCACTTACATAACTGATAATAGGCGTCCCATTGAATGGCCCTGAGAATGCCAACAGGTGGTTTCTAGAGCCATTGTCAATGCTGGGGAGTCGTGGGAAGTACGTGTGTGGATGTGTGCGTGCGTGTGTGTCCTTCAACGATATATTAAAAAAAAAACTAATTAAACGTTTGGATGGGTGAAATCAGCTACTTCAATCCATGCATTCACAACGGATGCTGTGTATGCTGGAGTTGTAATGTTATTACTTTCAATGGGAGAAAGCAACCATAAGCAACTTGTGCCTCATCATTTGTCTTTTGGGTTAGACGATGGCCATCCTTTGACACATTACTTATCTTGATATGCGGTACTTTTGAACTTCCATGTCCACTAGTGCTCAAAATTAATCATACCACATTTCAAGTTGTATTCGCGAATTTATAGTCACACCGCAGTATATGGCCTTCTGGTGGCGCACAATAGAATGATTAGTATCGTCGCATAAAATGCGTAGTCAGACACTCCACTGCGAAACAAATGTACTGAGCATATACCTGTACATGACTACGTTCTACGTTAACTGTGTCACTACGTCGTTACGGTGTATCAGGTGTACGTGTTCGTGCACGTCTTATCCTGGCACTTGGTCTGCTAAGCCCCGTTACCCGAGCCGATCCTTGCGCTAAGGGGTTCATGACTATATTTTAACATAGGGCTGCGATTAGACTAAGGCTTAGTCTCTGAATATATATAATTTTGATAGTAACAAACAAGCCCATTTATATTGAAAAGGAGCCCTAGGGAGACCAGAGATTCAGAACCTGAGGAAATCTAGACTTGCTTTATTGAGGGCTTTAGCACTGCAGAGAGGGCTTGGCAGTAGGGAAATTAATGTGGCTCAGGGACTGTGACACAGACTAGGCTGCGATTGTCGTGCTAAGACTTTGGCTCCGGATCCACAATGTGTCTGTAGCGTTACGACCTATCGTAGTGCTATTCTTTATCATGGGCTTACGAATGGCGTAATTGTACGAACGCTTTGTGGATAGCGTCCGTGTTGTGAAATGAGGCCCAGGACCCTGCATAATAAATCGATCTTAGCGAGGCGATTGCTGTATGTCAATGTTAAAGTAATTGAGTTGAGATCGTCTCAGCGCTAAGACCGCTTTGTACAACGGTACCCAGGTCATTACGAAATATGTTGCTTTTACCTTGATTTAGTCTTGTAAACTGTGAATTGGTTTTCTTTATGTTTATGTCAAAGAACAACCATCGTAAATCTGAATGTGAATCAATTAAAATCTCAGAAACCGTCATGATTTTGTGGTACCATTTATGTACGTTTAATAGATTCATCCTTTAATACTGTAGCATCTGACCGTCAGATTATCCAGTGGTACCTATGTACTGTCACTGTAGAGATCTACAAACATATTGCGCAGAATATTGAAAAAAGTAGCACACCTAATTTTGACCTCTTCAGTGTTATCTTATCTGACACTATTTCCTGCAAAATGTGAAAACTTGTTCCCTTTCTTTGTTTAATTCTATGATGACTTCAGGAAGAAAATATAATCAGACGCTGATTAACACACTGATTAAGAAGTTAGCATATCATTATTGTTTAGAAACTGGATTTTAATTAAAAATGTCAAGATATATATTAGATATGAAAAGTGAATAAATTTGCGTATGTATTTGATGTGCACACAGTTCAATTCCAGATTGCACATATCACTTACATCAGCAGTATACGATATTTTGCCCTGTTTCAACGGTGTCCGAAGGTAGCTTAGATCGTCTTAACGAAATGATCACCGTATGGGAATAAAGATCTCCTTAGTGCTAAGATCGCTTTGTGAAACGGAGCCCAGATATGATACAAATGTTGAAAGTCTATGTTTAGTATGGGAGCTTATCGAAAAGATAGCTTTTTTAAACGGAACCCACATATGATACATTTGTTTAAAGTCTGTGTTAAAGTATGAGAATAAGATGGCCTTTGCACTAAGATCGCTTTGTGAACCTGGTCCCAGATAGTACAACTATTGATAGGTTTTTGTTAAAGTATTCGAACAGAGCTCGTCTTAGCGCTAAGATCGCTTTATAACGTGGGGCGCTTATCTTTCGTTGTCAACACCATGTATACCATAAGCGTAAATGTTGAAACCAAAGCATGGCAGACATCACCTGATGGACTTTAGCCACTGACCCATAATTCAAAGCATAACATAGAATTATATGCATGGGAGCACCGTAAAAATATATAGCAACATTTGGTGAGCTTCCTTATGTCTTGTTTTTACATACTAAAATTTATATAATAGAATTTGATTTTTTCTATTTATTTATCTATCTATCTATCTATCTATCTATCTATCTATCTATCTATCTATCTATCTATCTATCTATCTATCTATTTATTTAATGTTTGTTTGTTACAGGAACACAACAAAGAGGATACAGTCCTTCACAACAATGAATTCTTTGGCTCTATTTTGTAATAAGAATGTGACGTGTCACCGAAACTGACTGATGCGATACAACGTTAGTTTTTACACAAGATGGATACATTCTATAAGTAAACCAACGTGAATCATTCTATAGAAATCCAATTCTATTACACCATGCTTAACTGTCAACACACCTTCGTCCAGAAACTGCAACAACATCTAGAATACGAATAACTACCTGTTGATTGTCACAAACATGACCAATATATAACCCTTTTAGCAACATTATACAGATAAGAATGAGATGGTTACAGATAGTCATAGTGATGATATAATCACTATAATAATAGTATTGTCTCGCTGCTTTATCAAAGGTACCCAGAAGTTAGTGAGTTTAACGCCGCACTTAGCGAATATCCCAGCAACATTACAGCAGTGGACAGCAGATATGGACGTCAGTCATTGTACACATGGGAAGACTCGAACACGGACCTTCGGCGTGACGAGCGAACGCTTTAACCACTAGGCTACCCAATCGTCCTATCCCGTTCAGAATTAATAACATTATATTCACATACTGGATTAGTGATGTGACGTTAGCCTTCGCATCAGTAACATCAAATGCCATTACCATCTTCGTCGAACCGTGGACTCAAACTGAATTTTCAATTTCATTCAGTAAATACTGTAAATAACGGTATATTGGACTTGTATCATGCCATGACGCTTGCAATCATGCTGCCATGACGCTTGCATGCTAATTAAAATCATCTCCTTGCACAGTACTGCTGACAATTTGACAGACAAGAGAGGCCCAAGAGAGGATCTTTTAGCTCTATGGTGTAGAATATGTTCATCCTGTGACAATGATTAATGTAGCTAAATTGAATCCCTTTTGTATCCAGTGAAAGGAAATAATCATTACTTTTAAGACGGATATGATTAACTATACTGGAGTCAAAGGTGATTGAATCAACAGCTGTGATTAAAATGCAATATCTAAATCGATATTAATTGATTACCCTTATCGAGAATATCCGGTGTCATCACTTACTGTGAGTGGTCCATGCCCATCTATTATCCATTAGTTTGCATTTTTGCCAAATGGATATTATCTCTCACGCGCAAGCGCGCCAAATGGAATATATACACCACACACACAAACACATCAAGTGGAATATATAAACCTCACGCACGCGCGCGCACACATACATTCACACGTGTGTATTACAGTATTCAGAAACCTACACACCTAAAACCGATATGAAACTCATCACATTCATTCTTACTGATAATACAATTAGTTCATGTTGTTTATTTTCAATGCATATTAACCACGTACCTCATTTTTCCAAACGTTGCCATCAAGGCTGCCACTGTGAAGCCGGCGCACAGAGCAATAGGCACGATCATAGGCATATGTTCAGGGGGTAGAATCCCAATACCCTTCACCCCTGAGGATACCAGACACGCGATTAACACATAAATCGCCGTTCCCAGAAACTCCGCCGCACATGCTTGCATAATGGCTTCAAACACTCGCCAAAACGCCTCCCTCTCTTCCGCCATCTTGTCACTCTCTGGGTCGCCAAGGCAAGCCATCTGGGCCCGAGATTTACACCCCGTTGCGAAATCCAATAATTTAACGTTTTATATTGTGCACAGACGATCTACAAAGTATACGATAGTTGCTATCAGGATGTATTGTCAACGATTTCTCCGCCAGCTGTTGAAGATAAGGTTGGTTTTGAACGCAGGTGTCTCCTCGACCGAGTCGCAAATATGCTCTGTCAGTTCTGGTTATGATTGGCGTTTTATTTCATACTTAGTTGCATTTATTAAAATTATTATATAGATAAATATATATGGTGGTGTATATCATTTACATTCTGACGTCCAATCAGCTCTGAGTCACCAGCTGAAAAAGTTTCTGAGAACAGCTGGAACCTTAATTATATTATGTTGGACTCACAAATGTATGACTTTGCAGACCATGACGATTAAACCATACATTGGCATTATCACTAACGTTCCTGAATATTGCTATTGTGAGTTCACACATAAAGTTGAGTATCTATTTGATGTCAAATACATGCTGTTTACACTCAATCTCGTGTTACTGGACTGACTCCGTTGTCAAAGGTGCAGGTCGTCGTGAAGAGTTACGTCCCTTTACGTCCCGGAATCGAACCAGTGTCAAAAGATTACTCAAAAGACTGTTGTTCAAAACTTTCATTACGTATCATTTCAGTATCAATAATATACACTTTGTTGTTGTTACAATTTAGAAATTACTGTGATAAAAGGCTTGTGAGTCCCATTTAAACCAGCAAAATAAAACACAAACGATTCTATAATATTCAATTATATATTAAATAAAAGATAAACAATGTTACAATGAATGACAGTACAGATTTCTAATACAATACTATTGGGTCAAAACTAAAATATTAACTCAATGTCTTTAGATACCAGAGTCTTGATCTTTGTAGATCTATGTAGACGATCGAGGCCTATTGAGGGGTCGGTCTTGAAACGTTGATGTTAGCAGACAGATGAGAGTAAATCCAAAGTCGTCCCTCCAGACATCTCAGCAACAATCCCTTATATGCCTATTATACAGTTCCAGAGAATTCTAGCAAACGCCACGCCACATCACGAGTATTTGGAAATTACTGGAATCCCACCGTCTTCCACCGGAAACAAAACAAAGGGGAGGCAACTCCCCAGCCCACTCTCAACAGGTGAAAACACATTGCCTAAGTTCAAGGTGTGAGTTCAAATCCACACTTAGCGCGTTAAACTTTTGTGACCCATAACAACTAAAAGTTAATCAACGTGACATTATAATTAACAAAAACACATACCCATAATGTTATGCACACCATGGCATGAACCCATCATACTTGTGATGAAATAATATTTGTGTGAGTTTTACGCTGTTTTTAGCAATATTCCAGCAATATCACGGCGGGGAACACCAAAAATGGGCTTCACACATTGTACCCATGTGGGGAATCCAACCCTGGTCTTCGGCGTGACGAGCGAACGCTTTAACGACTAGGCTACCCGCCCTATAAATCTTTGAACAATAAGCCCCAAAATGATGTGTGAATTTCTGCATGTGTGTGTGTGTGTGTGTGTGTGTATACCGTTACTTACCAGTGTGTGTGTCACACATGTACCCATGTGTGTGTGTGTGTGTCTTCGTGTGTGAGCAAACGCTTTAACCACTAGGCTGTGTGTGTGTGTGTGTAAATGTTGTGTGTGTGTGTGTGTGTCAGTAAATAGTAAGGTTGGGTACGCTCAGGGTTAACCATGAAGACATGTTGCTATCCGAGGTAAACATACGATTTTAATGAACCTAGTATGGTGCTCGATACCTAGTGGTTAAAAAAGTGACACCTAATTAAAACTTACTTAAATAAAATTATGAAAAATTAAATAGTTTCGAGAATTGATCTCCGTATTAACTGTACTTTGTTGTACTGGATAAATATATATAGATGTGTAATTGTATACCACCAGATGAAGTCAAACTGTCGTATTAAAACAATATCCATTATAAATGTAAATGTATTCTGCCACTGAGCAAACATTCCTGAAAAAAATATGCTGTACTGTTTACAATTACCATAATAAAATACATGTGTTGCCTTGAGTGGGATTGGAATCGCGAAATTCATGTCAACAGATCAATCAAACACATATCTTACACCCACGTACATTTAATTCTTTACTTTTGGTTTCCATGTATGAAGACCCAATATGACAGCCAGCCCTGTGTTAACACTTTAATACTTTCAGTAGCTGCTTCCTTCGGGCACACCCGTAAAGATCCGTGTTAGAATTGATCTTCAGTAACCCATGCTTGTCGTAAGAGGCGACTAACGGGATCGGGTGGTCAGGCTCGCTGACTTGGTTGACACATGTCATCGGTTCCCAATTGCGCAGATCGATGCTCATGCTGTTGATCACTGGATTGTCTGGTCCAGACTCGATTATTTACAGACCGCCGCCATATAGCTGGAATATTGCTGAGTGCGGCGTAAACCTAAACTCACTCACTCCTTCGGGCACGCCAGAATCATGTGGGTTCCAATACCGATTAATCTGGAGAGTGTCAGCACCATACCTCTGCTCGTAGATTACGCTAAAGTGGTGAACGTCTGGGCCCACTTGCACAAAGCCATGTTAGCGCAAGGACCGTCTTTAGAGTATGGGAGTTGTGAGTACCAGAGCGTACTAAGACCGCTTAGTGCAAGCTGGCCCTGCATGAATTAGAACCATGCTCGTGCGTTAAGTCCCCACATGGGTTCTACGGTGAAGTAGCCTACCTCGCTGTGATATTGTTGGAATATTATCTAAAGCGGCCCCAAACCCACGCTCCCTTACTCCATAGTTTACATGCGGAAAGAATTTTACTGGAATTCTGTTCAAAGGGCGTCCAATAACCTCACTAACACTAACAGTTTTCATCACCACAGCGCTGTTCAAAGCTGGTGATGAAAACCGGAAAATATTAAAGGAACGCTTGAATTTTCCTGTGTTCCTTTATTTGTTTCCCTCAGTATATAACCCAACGGAGACACAACCAACCTTGTAGATACACTACTCTTCTTGTTTCTCGTTTCATATAATCCAGAGAAAAGGAAGACAATTTTAAAAGCATTTATGTTATACTATGGCTTGTTAACTCCGTGTGGGAGGAAATCCGACAATGATGCAAGCCACAGCTTCAAAATCCACGAAGACTGATATGGTGCTGATCAACACTGAAACATAATCGGTACTAAACTTCACGAAACCAACAATCGGTTATACCTACTTGGGTTGTCAGTCAAGGCGTGATGAGGTCATTTTACGACGACGTATTGGCCACAGTCGGTTTACCCATGACTATCTGCTGAAAACGGATGGAGATGTGTGTCTCTTGCAATGAAGTGTTCACCTTCAAGCATATTCTGCTTGACTGTGTGTACTTTTCAACAGCGAGGGGCTCACGTTATGAAGCCCGGAATCTGAAAGATATATTTTCGGGCATCTCATCTTGAACTATACTACCCATCAAAAGTTTGATGTGTAAACAGTAGCGTTTGCTCGTCACGCTGAAGAATGTGTGAAGCCCATTTATGGTGTTCCCCTTTGTGGTATTGCTTGAACATTTCACCGTGACGCGTTGATACAGTTTCACACATGACTATGTAATAGCAGCCTGGTTCCCTGGGTCTGTTGCGCCTGCGCTATGCTCAGCGGAGCGTAGCGTAGGCGCAACAGACCCAGGGAACCAGGCTGATGTATTAGCTGTGGGTGATAATACCGGTTAACCGGTATATTGCAATTCGAAATTCACAATACGATATATTGCGGTACACTTTCCGCGAACCGGTTCACCCGATACCATCGGTAATTTTCGTGATGTAGTCAAATCTACTAATAACATTTGTATTTCCTTTATGTCATTGTACATTTATAGTTCTGAGAATGTTTATTGGTCATATAATTGCATTTGCGTGACTTTTAAACCATATAAATATAGATTGGTAGACCGGCACTCGTTGTAAGGATAAACAAACCAAAATGGCGGACGCCGCTGCAGACGCTTTTTCTCGAGTTCCAAACTCTAGAGCGAAGTATTTAATTTGAAAATTGATCTCTTGTAAACAATCACATCTGAGTCCTGACAGTGGCCAGTTGCATTGTTTCAAAAGAAAAGAAACAGTACTTTCAGAATGTTAAACCATGTGTTACACTTTCCCAATATATTGCAATACATGTTGCAATACGCCAACACATATCACAATATATCGCAATACGAACATTTTGGCAATACCCAACCCTACTATGTATATGCTTTATTTTTCAGTCGTCAGCGTCTTTGACTCCGAAGGAGCATTCAGTTGTTGTAATCCCCAGAAGCTCTCTGATAACGGCGTGCAACGATTCTGTCACAGTACAACCAAACACAGCAATTTAAGCACATGTGCCTAACAATGCATGCATCATGATACTTAAGGCCATTTTGGTTGCCCAATCATTGTGTCCCGGGATGTTTCAATAATAGTACTACAACACAAGACTTAACGTTTGGATATATATTTAATAACATCATAAACTTACATCATTTAGCAATTAAGCTTCATGCCGATTGTCTACATAAACGTTATATTTTCATGCCTATGATATTATTTCAGCGCACCAACCCACGCCAAAAGCAGTGGGATTTGAATTTAGACGATTGAGACAAAGCTGCAACACCATTCGGTTTATCCGGAATGAAACGACTGGCCTATGCTGAAACGACATCCTTGTGATAAAAGCATTCAGTCGTAAGCCGTCACTGTAGGTTCGTATCTACAACACATCTCCTGATACGTGTATTTCTTGCAGTATAATTTTATAAGCGCTTCCAACTAAAGCGAGTTTCACACTCAAAGGCCTCTTTGAAGTCATCCGCTGTTTTGTTTGTTTGTTGTTTTAACGCCGCACTCAGCAATAATCAAGCTATATGACGACGGCCAGTAAATAATCGCATCCAGTGATCAACATCATGAGCATCGATCTGCGCAACTGGGTTACGATGACATGAGTCAACCAAGTCAGCGAGCCTGGCCACCCGATCCCGTTATTCGTGACCAACGACAAGCATGGGTTACTGAAGACCAATTCCAACCCTGATCTCCTCAGCTGTTCATCACAGAAGCTCTTGGACAGGCCAGCAAGATAACGCTGTTGCATAGGCTAGTCGTTTGTCGTTGTGGCTAGGGCATCACTCACTAACTATTGCATTAATTAAGTTGTCCTGATTGAGGGAAACTCGTCATCTGAGAGAGTTTAGCAGTCTTGAATTGATAGCCGTTGGATCCACATACCACGAGACGTTTCTCAGGGCTTGCAAGTACGAACCTGTCAATAAAAACAGAAATCATTGGACATGCATTGAGCTTTATCAATACATCATGGTGAGTCGGGTTAGTTGCTGCTTGTAACAGTATTCCTTTAATATAGCACAGTGCGAGCTTGATGTGGGAGGAAAGCCAGAGTGAGTGAGTTTAGTTTTACGCCGAACTCAGCAATATTCCAGCTTTATGGCGGCGGTCTGTAAATAATCGAGTCTGGACCAGACAATCCAGTGATCAACAACATGAGCATCGATCTGCCCAACTTGGAACCGATGACATGTGTCAACCAAGTCAGGGAGGCCTGACCACCCGATCCCGTTAGTCGCCCCTTACGACGAGCATGGGTTACTGAAGGCCAATATTCTAAGCCGGACCTTGGGTAGAGGAAAGCCAGAAATGACGCAGGTCTCAGATGTTTTCCACAATTATTGGTATGGTGCTGACAAACCGGGAAACATAATCGAGACGAACCGGGATTCGAACCCACAATCTTAGGTTTCTGTTTGGTTGGTTGGTTTGTTGTTTTAACGCCACACTTAGCAATATTCCAGCTATATGGCGGCGGTCTGTAAATAATCGAGTCTGGACCAGACAATCCAGTGATCAACAACATGAGCATCGATCTGCCCAACTTGGAACCGTTGACATGTGTCAACCAAGTCAGCGAGCATGACCACCCGATCCCGTTAGTCGCCCCTTACGACAAGCATGGGTTACTGAAGATCAATTCTAACCCGGATCTTTACGGGTGTGCCCGAAGGTAGCAGCTACTGGAAGTATTACAGTGTTAACACAGGGCTGGCTGTCATATTGGGTCTTCTTACGACAAGCATGGGTTGCTGAAGATCAGTTCTGAACTCAGTTGGTCTGAGTTACATCACACAACAGCTGATACGACAAAATAGCTGAATAAACATCTTGTAGCGGGAGTGAGTTGATCGGGTTCTAGTTGTGATATTAGAACAGCTGTAATTTGTTCGGGAGCAGTACTTGATAGTGTCTGATCAACACGTCCGTGAAGCAACTGAATCTTTTCTTAAACTGTTACAACTTGATATAACTGAAACTACCATTTTCATTCAAATAGCTGTCTTCTGGTTTTATAGTATTTGGTTATGTTCTAAAAACAGTGAACTTCAGTAAAAACACATCTTCTCTTCAGTTATTTAAGACCGCTTTCATGGCCCAAAGGATAGTGTTTGGCCCGATTCTCCGCCTCGCCATACTTGTCGGTGGCTCGAAGGATTAAGAGGGATAACAGATTGACTGATCTCCCAAAGATAACTTTTCAAGACGAAAAGCATTACGTCGTACAGAGGGATCCGTTCGTTTATACGGATAGCTGTTAATCCAGGCGATCACACTGAAAAGACTATATTCCGGATTAAGGGGTTTACACTGTATATGATCACAAGGGAGCCGGGTTCGATTCCCAATATGGTCCTGACTCTCTATATAATATAGCTGGAATGCTGATTAATGCGTTGGAAACCCACTACCATTTTTAAAACTGTTGAAATTAACCAGATTTATTTCCCTTTCTTGCTTAGTTTTGTTTATTTTAATAATACCAGGCGGCTTGTAAAATGAGATTGGCAAAGATGCCATAGCTGTTTTAAGCAACGTCCCAGCAGTCGCGTAAGATGAAATGCTTCAACGACAGTGATCTAATCACCCGATCAATGAAGACACTGCATACAACAAGCATGGTTGATACGAACCAGGTGCAACTCGGCAGTAATATATGGTTATTTCATATAAACTATCATTGTGGTACTGAAATCCATTGTTCTGAAGACACACCTGTAAAACAATACGGCAATGGCGGCTCCGAACACAGGTCCAGCCCAGTATATGTAATGGAACTTCCACACGTCAACATTGTAGGCACTCACGGCGACAGCTGATCCAAAGCTCCTTGCAGGGTTCATGGAACCGCCAGTTGTCGCGACTCTGAAAGCAGGTCAATGATTGTGTTTATGATTTCAGACAACTCGAAAACTAATCGCCGTTAGACCATCATTCGTCTACCTTTATCTTTAAATGTCAAGGCAAAATACAGCCTACAATTGTCCACGTTACTGTTAATGGCTATCGTTTACTGTGACAAGACCGTTTATGGCTATTGAGGTCATACAAAAGTACTGACTCTAATTTTACGCCGTTTTTAGGAATATTCCAGGGATATCACGACGGGAGACACCAAAAATGGGCTTCACACATTGTACCCATGCGTGAAATCGAACCCGGGTCTTCGGCGTGACGAGCGAACGCCTTAACCATTGGGCTATCCCGTCGTTCGAGGCGACTGACGAGATCGGGTGGTCAGGCTCGCTGAGTTGGTTGATCGATCCCACATGCTTAGATCGATGCTCATGGTGTCAATCACTTGATCGTTTTGTCCAGACACGATTATTTACAGACCGCCGTCATATACCGGGAATATTGTTGTGTGTGGTGTTTTACAATAAACAAACAAACAAACAAACAAACAAACATACAATACTCACCCTGCGAGGGTACAGACAACGACGGAGAAGCCGATGGCGATAGGTCCTCTGTCAGACTTTGTGTTGGGGTCGACGACAGCAAGGATGTAAGTGAGGACGACTGCGCATGTCAACACCGCCTCGCACAGGACACCCTGCCCGGGCCCCACATGCAACACGTGCGCTCCGCCATTAATGCCAATATATACATTCTCGGGTAAAATGGCCTGTTAAATGTAAAGGAAAATTATCTTTATTCAGTGATCTATCATATCGTGACGCATTTCGCTTCAATTTGGTTGAAAAACAAGTTGGAAATAAATGTTCGGAAAATTATTCAGAGGATTTCCTGTCTCGTACACAAAAATTCTATAAATCGCTGGGGTCCATTGGAATACGTTGATTTGTAAGGTTAATTTCGCACGTTCCCTGTTCGGATTGCATCTTCCGGTGCGTTTCGAAAGAAATTAATGATGAAAGACACCGGAAAGTTACCATATTTTTCGAATGAAATAGAAATGGTTTGAAACAAAAGTGTTCTTGTTTTCGTGCGCCAGCGCAAATTATGGTGGCTGGTTAGGGTCTATCGCTTTCTCGCTTTCTCGCCTTGTTATATCGCTTTCTCGCTTTCTCGCCTTAGTATATATCGCTTTCTCGCTCTATGGCTTTCTCGCCTTGTTATATCGCTTTCTCGCTCTATCACTCTCTCGTCTCGTGTTATCGCTTTCTCGTCTCGCGTTATCGCTTTCTCGTCTCGTGATATCGCTTTCTCGCTTTCTCGCCTCCGAATTTTAAGGCGATAAAGCGATGGCCCTAATCAGCCACCATACTATATGCCTATAACTGTAGTATTATTACCGAATCGGACCATATCACTGTGTGTGCGGAGAGACGGATGCGTTGATGTATGGTGGCTGATTAGGGCCATCGCTTTCTCGCCTTAATAATCGGAGGTGAGAAAGCATATCACGAGACGAGAAAGCGACAACACGAGACGAGAAAGCAACAACACGAGACCTATTGATGTACTCTTGGTTTTGTTTTGTGTTAACAGAGGGTATACTTTGTCTAACCTCACATCTATATTAGCTTCTGGATGGTTAAGGGGCGCGCATTATTATGCTCAGGAACAGTGTATAAATTTCAAGTAGTTCGATTACAAATCAATCGGAATACATCTATAAGTTAGGCGATTTAATTTTTTGGGTATAGTTATTTTTGAGCTTCTGAAATGAACCGATGTGCATCCGAAAGCACTGGGTAAAGGGAAGTAACTCGGTTTGTTTACATCGTCTCCATGGTTTTCACTCCAGACAGGTGTCACGCGTTTGACTAACTATCGTTTGGATAAAGTCGTTGTCAGCCGGTGTGGTGAACGTAATTAGTTACACAGCTATCTTCATCTTGTATTGGATAGTACGGTCCGTTTGAATACGAAATAGGCATAAAATAGCATATTCTCAAACAATTTTGATTGTATTAAGAGTCGAACCCTCCAAGTGAGTTGGATTTAAATGTCAAAGGTCGCAAACTGTCATTGTAGTCCATATTACCCATGAAACTTTAGAGTATTAACCAATCAAAAGTTTTCTAATTCACCAAACGGGTAATAACGGCTCATACACTGGTAACACCACACCATTTCGCGGTGACCAACCTATAGTGAATATTAATTACCACCAATGAAATGTATACCATGGTATCATGTGATATCATGTGATATCTTAATGGGTACTAAAAGACAGCTGATCCCTGAGGTCTACTGTCCCTTTCCTTTTGTTTAAGCTCGATATTTCTTCACCAGCTATGGTTTCTCGTCAGTTAAGACAGGTCAACTGACCGATTAAAACACATGTCTTGAGGTACTGACCTGGGGAAAAAGAAGATTTCTAGATTTTCAAGAGAATTTCTATGATTACACGATCAAGTCCACGATTCATGAGTAATTCTTTTTAACGCACAGAAAGGTAACATAACTCCTAATTGTTCTCTGTATACAACAGGCAATACCAAGACGACACTCATCAACTACAGCTATGCGCCTTTCCGTAAATGCATCCCTAAATCTAAGTTCGTAACGGGATGACAAGGTGATTCATTGCAATAAAATTATCTCCACCGGACACTATATTGAAGCACTACGTTTACCGAATCCTCTTTAACAGTTAAATATCAGTTATTGTGTCACATTACCCTGTTTTCGATCTGAAAATCTTTTTCATAGTTTACTTTCGATAAAACTAAGTACCTGCATTTTTAATTTAGAAAGTAGGAAATAGGTTAGTTCTTATCATTTAATATTTTTAAAATTTGCATATTGATCTCTTCCTTAATTGCTATTATTCTGAACGTAGCACACTCATGTAATGTTTAACATATGTAATTAGTCGTAGCTAGTTGGTGATGTCTACGTGCGAGGTGAACCTTCCAGGACACGTTATAAGACTTTTCTGAAAGGTCGATCAGGACGTATAGCCCCAATTAGTGACGGAAAAACTGATTTTAGACTACGAACAGATTCGATACGCCAACCACCATTATACTCACCCTGCAGAGTGACGCTCCAATAACACCCGCCACTGTCTGGGTGGCCACATACGCCAGCCCTGCCCCCAGGCCCATCTCGCCACACAGCACCACACCCAGTGTCACGACAGGGTTGAGATGGGCACCGCTGGAACATGGAGGTCGGGAATAACACCAGGGACATACCACATATATCCCCCTAGTTCTGCACGAGGGCGGTGGGGTAGCCTAATTGTTAACGGGTCCACTCGTCACGCTGAAGAGTCGGGTTCGATTCCCCACATGGGTACAATGTGTGAAGCCCATTTTCTGGTCCCCCGCCGTAATATTGCTGGAATATTGCTAAAAGCGGAGTAAAACCATACTTATTCACTCACTAGTTCTGCACAACAATTGTTGACTATACGTATTTTATGATAAAAGCGACGTAAAACTTTACTCACTCACTCCAAATTAATACCTGGAAACTATTTTTGTGTGAAATAAGGGAACTGATTCTATTCCACTCCATTCTTTCTGTTCAACGTCGATGTCAGTTCTTGTACGTACGCTTCGATTGGACAACAATACCAATTTCCCATACACAATACATATCTTACCGGTACTCTCTGTACCACCAGTGTGACAATCTCTCATACACAATACATACTTTACTCTCTATAACGCCTGTGTGACAATCTCTCATACACAATACATACCTTACTCTCTATAACGCCTGTGTGACAATCTCTCATACACAATACATACCTTACTCTCTATAACGCCTGTGTGACAATCTCTCTTACACTATAACGCCTGTGTGACAATCTCTCTATAACGCCTGTGTGACAATCTCTCATACACAATACATACCTTACTCTCTATAACACCTGTGAGACAATCTCTCATACACAATACATACCTTACTCTCTATAACGCCTGTGTGACAATCTCTCATACACAATACATACCTTACTCTCTATAACGCCTGTGTGACAATCTCTCATACACAATACATACCTTACTCTCTATAACGCCTGTGTGACAATCTCTCTATAACGCCTGTGTGACAATCTCTCATACACAATACATACCTTACTCTCTATAACGCCTGTGTGACAATCTCTCATACACAATACATACCTTACTCTCTATAACGCCTGTGTGACAATCTCTCATACACAATACATACCTTACTCTCTATAACGCCAGTGTGACAATCTCTCATACACAATACATACCTTAATCTCTATAACGCGAGTGTGACAATCTCTCATGCACAATGCATACCTTACTCTCTTTACCGCGAGTGTGACAATCTCTCATACACAATACATACCTTACTCTCTATAACGCCTGTGTGACATTCTCTCATACATCATCTGCATCCTACATCGCTATCAGAAACACCATTACCCATATCTTACGTCCTTGTCAGGAACAGTATCACTCGTATCGTTCGTCCTTGTCGACTTGTGAAGATCCGGTTTAGAATTGATCTTCAGTAAGCCATGCTTGTCATAAGAGTCACTTGACGGGATCGCGTGGTCAGACTCGCTGACTTGGTTGACACCTCTTCTTATCCCGATCGCGTAGATAGATGTTCATTATGTCGATCATTGGATTGTAAGGTCTAGGCTCGATTACTCACAAAACTCCTCTAAATAGCTAGAATATTGCTGAGTGCGGCGATAAACAACGAACAGACAACCATCTCATTCATTCATACCGCCTGTGTGACAATTTCTTATACACAATATATACATACTCTGCCTTCTATACGGCCTGTGATATCAACTCTCACACACCCGGCTTTCTAGACGGCCTACACTGCATATAATAGCACAGAAATCGGTTTGTAAAACAAACCCTTTCTAGATCCCGCACATCATACAAAGTTTGAAATGCAAATCAATCCAACCTGATCTTCAACAGCGCAGCGCTGAGGAATGCCAGACCCAGTCCATGAGCAAGTGCCACAGGTATAGCTCCTGCTCCCGGGTGTTTAGTTCCAGGGTCCACTCCTTCAGGGTGGGGGGTAGCCATACACCCGATAAACACATAAAAACATACCCCAACAAGCTCACCCGCCAAGGCGCGAAATAATATCTTTTGTTGATCTGTAAGACTAAAGCAACGTCGTTGATCGCCATTGGCCGAGTTGCCATCTTTACTCGTGGTGCTGTCGTAACTAGACCCATAGTCATCCATGTTCTCGTCTTCCTGAATGTCGTACTTCTGTTCCATTAGGCGCTGTGTGATGGCCATCATGAATAAGCTCACCGTGGTCTCCTTGTCATTCAAAACTATCACACATTGTTTTCATACAATGGTGCAGTGTCCTATATATCAAAACGTTTACAGTTTCAGTAATAATTTAACAGAAATCTGTTCTTCTGTAAACGACTTCCTAAAGATCGTACTTCTGTGTGCGCTGTGTGATATCCATCTTGACTAAGGTCAACGAAGGTATTTCAATACGTTTACAGTTTCAGTAATAATTTATCACGCATCCATTCTTCTGTAAACGACATCACAACACAATTTGTCAGCAAAACATTTAGTGTTATAAACATCGCTGTAGGCTCGCAGCGATTAAGATGACGTCACAAAAGCCAGCCTCTTAGCCCAGCAGGAAGCAGGAACTCGGAATAAGTCCCGGTGACATCGCTCGTGTCTCCTCCGACTTCAGCCTAGGGTGAGCTACAAACACACCAGGCTTGATCTGACGATGTATCTATGTCAATACATCAACTCCTATCGTTGTCACAGAGTATCATATACATATGTATATCAATTCATATTTCATGTAACTTTATAGGATGATTGACATATATGATATACATTAGCAGAATATCTGAAGTTCGATATTTATATACACTATACTTATATGTTGGTCTGCAAATAAAAGCAGGTATTATACGCACAATACATTGATTGATCTGGATATTTCAATATTATGTTATATTTCGGCAAACCCTGTGCAAATAAAGTTTTAGTTAGTAATGTTTCCTGTCAATAGAAAATATGTAGTAGAGCTTTTAATAATTCCTAAAAATATGCGTGTACTTGTATCAACGTCACACTACATCACGTACATATATTTCGTCATCGTATAAATAGTGAGTGAGTGAGTGAGTGAGTGAGTGAGTGGGTGAGTGAGTGAGTGAGTGAGTGAGCTGGATTTAACACCCCTTTCATTATTGACAGAGTGCTGTTTGTTTTGTTTCTTGTTTTACGCCGCACTCAGCAATATTCCAGCTATATGGCGGCGGGCTGTAAAAATCGAATCTGGACCAGTGTTTATTTACCCTTTACCCTGAAAAGCTACAGGCCGTAAGGACCCCAAACAAAAAAAAGAATAATATGCAATTCAATAATAAGAATGTGTAGGCCCTATATTTTAATATGGGTATTATACTCTTAGGTATTGGGGATGAAAAAGTTGTCGGCCATAGGGACCTGCAGAAAACCAAAGCTGTGGGTCCGAGTGGTTTTCAGTCGGTTTCGGGCCTAAGGACCGACATCAATTTCATGCGCTGTGCTGGACCAGACGATCAAGTGATCATCTGCATGAGCTCCGATGGGACACGATGACATGTGTCATACAGACCGCCGTCATACAGCTGGAATCTTGTTGACTGCGGCATCAAACAATAAACAACTAAACATGCATATTGTTGTGTATAAGCAAATGATCAGCGTGTAGATATAAAGACAATAAATAAACTAACTAACTAACTAACTAACTAACTAACTAACTAACTAACTAACTAACTAACTAATAAATAAATATCTTGTATATAGAAAGATATTGATACTAATATGTACACAGACCGATTGAGGAATCCTTACTATCAACGGACTTGTAACACGCCTCGTAAAGAAAAGAATTCATTTTAAAGATTTTAAAAATACCTTTTTATGTATGACTAATTTCCGCCACATACTGGGCAGGTATGGAAAATAAAACACATTTGTGACAATAGGTTTATTATTATTATTTATTTTTGTCATTGACTAAATCCCAAGCGAGGCAATTCTCTGTATTGAGTTGCTTCCCTTTGCCATGCCAGGATCAGCACCTCTTGGTTCGAATCCTGAACTCGCATTGATTATGATCCTTGGTCTTTGCACCTCATCTATGGTCATGGGTTTGACTGAGGAGCAAACACGACGTCACATCAAACGTAAACGTCAATTTTCCCTTCCTTCGCCCATAATCTTACGTACCTTGTTAAAACTGAATTACTGCACGAAGAGGCGCTAAACAATCGCACTCAATTTTGCCGAGTCACGGTGAACAGTTACTGTTGCCTCTGTCACGCGGCCATGTCACGTTCATAACATAATCAGATTATATACATTGTGTACATTCCATTGTCTACGTCATGATTACCGCATGCATAATATCATTTCTGATACAATTTTAGATCATTTAATAATTGAAAACGTGTACATAGTACATTGACGCCAAGATCACATATTACCGACAAACGTGGATTTCCAATAATGTTAACACATGTTTTTTAACTCTTGTTCATGTATATATTAAAAGTAACGGCAAATAATGAAATCCGCGGCTTTGAGTATTTTTGATTGACAGCTATATTTTACTGCCACTTCTGTAACTGTGCAGAATTTGAGTGCGTTTAGTTTTAACCCTATCTTCATGGGTCACCCTTTTCTGAATTACATCCAGGTTCTACCCGTGAAGGTCCGGGTTAGAATATTGATCTTCAGTAACCCATGCTTGTCGTAAGAGGCGACTAATGGGATCGGGTGGTCAGGCTCGGTGACTGGGTTGACACTGTGATCTATCCCAATTGCGCAGATCGATGCTCATGCTGTTGATCAGTGGATTTTCTGGTCCAGACTCGATTATTTACAGACCGCCTCCAAATAGCTGGAATATTGCTGAGTGCGGCGTAAAACCAAACTCACTCACATTTAGGTTCACCACACGAAGGAACAGTATTTCCCAAATTAAGTCACGCTGGGAAATAAACGTTTCGTCCTGCGGCCATATGAACAACTTTTGAAATCTAAGTATCATTTGGCTGTCACGTTTACGGAGGTGTTGAAATAAACCAACACTCAACTCTGTATTTACATGTGTTTCATAAGTGTGGTAATTTCAAATCTGGCATGTGGCATGTGTAACTAACGTAAATGAATGTAGGACATGGATTTTAATACCCTTTAAATCTCGTATGACCAGGGTTAGGTTTGTCATATACTTTATTCCCCAGTTTTTTAAGAAAGTGTTTATGTCCAAAACCTCTTGAAACTTGGGATGTTGAGAACCTTGGAAGTGTCATATTGGTCACAAGGGTGCAGTTAAACCATACTAAGTTTCAGCTCCTTTTGTTGAAGAATAATTACGAAAGAAACGTGTTGCTTTAAATACAAAACATTAAGTACCTACTTTTATGGACAACTAAAAATTTAAACCTAGAAAACATTTATATTAACAGTGTGCCTGTCGTATAACGTTCATAAAGATATGCAGGCCTCAGTTTCAGTAATATCTAATGATATACACAAAAGACTTACACATAACATTGTCATGACACTATGAGCATCCATCTTAGCAAGTGGGATACGATGGCATGCATCAAACAAGTAAGTGAGAAAGATCATCCGATCACGTTAGTTCCCTCTGACGACAACATGGGTTGCTGAAGAACAATTCTAACCCAGATTGTTTTTCAGGTCCAACATATTTATAAACCTGTGAGAATGGTTAATGAATATATGCATAGTCATTCTCATGATATGGATTGTAGGTCATTCCCAATGTCAATATAGACAACACAATGTATGTCGCCAATATCAACCGGTTTCTGCGTAACTTGTACCTCATAGCCGAATTAAGCAGCCTCAAAGAAATATTATATACACTAAAGGGACAAAATATATACAAGAACTATTTAGAAGAAGTATTTTATTGCTAAATTAGATAAACTGCGAATAAATGTTACAACAAACGTGATCAGTAACTACAACGATGCTTGACAGACGCCATTTTGTCCGAAAGCTTGACCTAGTTACTACCGGAAATTGGTCTATTGTCGAGTTACATACTATCACTATCACGCACAGAAGTTGGAATAGACTTTGGTAGACGAGTTAGATGCATTTGAAATAGGTTTTGTGCGGTTAAACTTGAAATCGTATATACATATTGACAATAGTCCAGTGGCGGATCCAGAGGGGGGGTTCAGGGGGTTCGAAACACACACACACACACACACACACACACACACATACACACACACACAACAAACACATCCCTTTGAACTTTTTTGGATCTGCCTATGTAGTTGGTGACCTCGCCCAGATGGATCCCATCACGCCAACTGTCGTTCATTTCAGTATGTCGCATGACTACGTTGTCCTTCAAGCAGAGAGTTAATGAATTGACAATAGTAAGCGCATAATGGAATAGGCTCGTGTGAATCACTATCTTCATCAGCTGATGAACGTCAACAAGACAAAGTCAGGCCTAAAATATATACAGACCTCGCCCTGATGAACACTACCAAGCCGGCTATCGTCAACTGCATTGTTCCAACAGAGATTAGAAGGTCACCAGCTGTGATCAGCAGAGCGTGTGTCACATGAACGAAATCTTCCGCTTGCCCAGATCTATATATTTATTTTCCAAAATACGAATATTGATACGTTTAGGACATTATGACTTGACTCCGCACATTGACCGCAAGGAACTCTGGGTAGGAACGTGGCCTATGACGTCATAACTTCTGACGTCAAGTTTGCTTGCAAGTAATACCAGTGTTTTAAACTTAAAGCTACACACAGAGTTATGAACAGCTGTAGCCTAGCTAACTAAACGCATGTCGTATAGTTCATGAGCAGTGTTGTGTTTAATATGTAAACACGACACATTTAAAACATTAACACCCTAAACACCTATTTTTTTCAGTGTAGTCTGTCTCATACTTCAAACTTCCCGTCCAACCCTTTCTGTACAGAATGAAACCAGTCTAGACTCCCACTGGTTCTGAATCTCCGGGAGCGGTGGGGTAGCCTAGTGGTTAAAGTGTTCGCTCGTAACGCCGAATACCTGAGTTCGATTCCCCACATGGGTACTATGTGTGAAGCCCATTTCAGGTGTTCCCCGCCGTGATATTGCTGGAATATTGCTAAAAGCGACTTAAAACCATACTCACTCACTCTGAATCTCCGAGCTCAGTGGAGATAATTCAGTATAAACAGAGTTATCTATTTCTATCAAACTTTCCTAGTTTCAGAGACTTACGCTTTGTATTATGTGCCATGATGCGGTAATTATGGATTGAAGGTGAGGTGAAATTGGGTTTAACGTCGTGCTTGAGAATATTTCGCTCATATGACGACGTGCATGCGTGTGTATGTGTATGTGCGGCTGCTTGTACTAGCCCAGACAGAAGCTGGTTTTATAGTGCTAGCCCACTGAGATACCATGCCGCAGTAAGCATGAATACCCAACTCAGACACATTATACTGACTCCGAGCCGACCAGTCCTTGTTGTACCCATTAATGCCGAGCGCCAGGCAGGGACCAACAAGTACCATATTTTAACGTCTTTTGGTATGACGCGGTCGGGAATCGAACCCGCGACCTTCCGCTCTCCGGGCGGACGCTCTAACC